CATGGGGGGTCGAAGGCAAAGTACGCGAGAATGAAGACATGTGCTTTCTGCGAGAGAAAACGCTCCGGCCGATCCATAACATTGGGAAAGCACTGTCATCTTGGGGAGTGTCCCATGTTCCATGCACTGCGGGGAAAGCTCGATGGTTCTTGCAAGCCACTCCGAAGGTCGAACGTACCGATCCCAAGGTCCTGAGAAGAAGGTCCTTATGTTGAAGATTTTGGGTGGCCCAATGCAGCGGACTGAAAAATGATCTCCTAGGAATGACATGGACTCGGACCAGGTAATCGGCATCCTCAAGCCAGAAATCGTTCGTGATGTTGCTGTTAGACCACCATGCTGCAAAGGTTTCGGGGGAAAAATTCTCATCGAGGAGCATTCCCTTAGTGACAGCGTTGATCTTTTTGGGGTAGAACAAGGCGGTGAAGGACTTATCGCAAGAAGTACTCGGAGATAGGGAAGCAGTGTCGTCGTGGAGCCTGGAGGCCTCATCGGAATCCACCATCCAGCTAGTACTGAAAGTCCCGAAACACTTTGCAACCTCAGTGAAATCCTGACCCCCGCCACAAAGAAGTCCCCTTCCCCCACTCTCATCGGACATGTGGTCAATATATTGCTCCCCGTGCGAAAGGATCTGGAGCTCGTTATCCTCCCACTCAGCACTGCTGGCTCGGTGGGGCGGAACAGAGATGGGAAAGATGGGGAAAGCAGGGTGACCCGTATCTGTGTTGGTCAGCTGCATGTCCCGAACATCAAGAGCGCGAAAGGTGGCCCGGTTCTCACTGACGTCGATGACCATCCCCATCTTCGCCATGGCCCCTCTGGAGATCAAGAGGGGGACCTCACCATTGACCACGGCGACCTTGAGAGCCAACTTGTGGGAACCCAGCCTGAACCCCACCAACACTCCATAGTTGGCCACGAAGACCTTTGAGGCACCGAACTTGAAGGCTTCCTTGCACGGAAGGAAATGGGGCTCTCCTCCATTCTTACGGATCTCGGCGAGGCAGGCATCCATCCACCCAGCCCCAGCGACGGACCGGGCGCAGGCGGTGTCCGTGATGCCCACGAGCTGGTAGCCCGACTTGTCTGAGATGTCCCAAGTGACGTGGACCACATGGCAGGGAAAGTTGGTCTTGGCACCTTCCTTACCTCCTTGGCCTCCAGTTCCGCCAGTCGTAGCCGAGGTAGAAGACGGATTTCCACCGCCCGAAGAGCGATTCAAAGGGCACACACTGTCGAGATGCCAGTGCCCCCTGCGTTTACATCCTGAGCAAAAACTGCGGGCCTTTGCTGCCTGCAGCTTCTCGGCAGCAAGGCGTTTCAGGCTTTCTGCATCACTGCCCCGGAGCTTTGCCGTCTCCCTGTAGCGCTGTTTGGCCGTCTCATGGGTGAGGAAAGCCTGGTAAAGGTCATTTGCCACCTCCTCGGGGATCGGACTCTCTCCGCCGTCATCATCATCTCCAGCGAAGTCGCCAGCGTAGGAGCCTTCCTCAAAGTCGGCGACGTTCGCACCATAGGGCTTCTTGACGGGCCTTTCCTTCTTAGGATTCTTGCCTCCGCTTTCCCACGGTTTCCGCATACCCCTGTCGTGGACGATCGCCGCCTGCTGCAAGTCCTTGAGGGAGTACTTGTTGCCGACGGAGGCGAGAAGGTTGAGCTCCGCCTGCTCTTCCAGCCCCATCCTATCCACGAAGACCCAAGCCGCCGCCACATCTGGGAGCTGACACCCAGCTTCCGAAAGCCTGGAGAAAGCCCGGTCGAAGTCCGCCATGTAGTCTCTCACCGACTGGTTCTGCTTGCGACGGAGCTTCCTGAAGAACTCCGAAAGGCTCCTCCCCACTTGGGTGACCTGGACATCCAGGTACCGATCTTGGATCCACGAGATCAGGTAATCGACCCCGTCATCGCTGCCCAGTCGGTTGACATCGAGTCGTTCTGAGTCCACCCAAGCACGGTCAGTGAGGTGTTGGTAGAGGGTAAGGCCTTGCTGGTCCTTGGACATCCTTGTCATTCTCCTCCATGCCGCAACTTGTCGTAAGTAGGACCTCGCTGAGGTCCCCAGATCATCTGAGCCAGTGTCCAGACCCGAAAAGGAAGGAACGATCATACGTTCCGAAGGTCCTCTAGAAGACTCGTGGCCCCCGTTCCCGCCAGAGAGCCGGCGAGCTTCTGTTGAAGGTCCCCAACCGACAGGTACTCCACGATCGTCGCCTGGTGGAGCTCGAGAATCGCCGCACGAGTCGCGTCTCGCCCACTGATCTGAGTGCGACCCTTTGGAGTCCCTTTCCTGAAAACCGCCATCCATGGAACCAACTGATCCGGTAGAGGCGGATCCTTGTCCTCCATCCTTCTTCTGCTCATCATAGCCATCGTAGTAGCCCGAACTCCAGCCACCACGACCCCACTTCCAATCAGCTGCCCCCCACGAGCGGTTCCATTGACTGTCGAACCAATCATGGTCCCTCCAAGGCCCCCAAGAGGCCCCATCCGGCTGAACATCAGCCGCCTGCGAACGATCACCACGAGGTTGGGGGTTTGGTACATTGCCGGGAACATTCGCATCTCCGCCATGCCCTGGGCCTTGCGGAGAATCGTCACTAGGAGGCGGAACATCAGCCCACTCGGAGCGCGCATAAAAACTGGTCGGCACATCGAAAGCCATGGCACAGCAAGACTAAGTAGCGAAACCCTTGGAGCACTCAGTGCTCCGCTACCAATCTAAAACTAGAAGGAAGCAAACCCCTCCCCGGGGCGGGCCTCCAGAAGCTGGCGCCGAGACTTTTCTCGCAACGCTCGATCCACATACTCGTGTGCCTGCGAGAGGGCATACTGGGGGTCAAAAAGGGGGGAAGTTCCCGGAACCTTCAAGCTTTACAGTTAGGGGCTCAGGGCTTGGGGTTTGCAAGGAGTCCAGTGTTTGGCAGTACGAGGCCCATGGAAGATCGTTCTGAACATGTGGGGCAGAGTTGCCCTTTATCTGGACAGGGGCTTAGGAGCTTATTCGGTTCAGGGTTTGAGGTCTTTAGGGCGGTTTGGATTCTTAAGGGTTCATGCTCGGCTATAGGGTGGTGACAGTAATAATGGCTCTGACATTGTTGCAGTGAAGTGGCGCATTCAGAACAGTCGCAGCACACGTCAGGCGAAGGCGGCTGCTCAGCGATTGCAGGCTGCTGTCAGTGACGCAGAGGCCAGAGGGATCGATGCCTTTACACGTCAAAGCAGCAAGGAAGGCACTTTTGCACGCCAGGAATATACTTTTGCTTTAGTAGAACAGGCAAGTGCTGCCTGCAATGTCTGCGTACGAATACCTCCTCATGCCTTTCAAGCTGCAAAAGAGGAGCGCTTGCGGGCCGCTGGGCCCTCCCCGGCTCTTCGGGGCGAGGAGCTGCGACGAGAGCTGAGGTGGGGGGGAGGTGGGGGGGGGGGTGATTCGAGCGAGAAAATTGCACCCTTAGCCGACATGATGGAAGCCGTTTTTCAGCAGGAACCGTGGGAGCACATCTCACTTGATCGTGTTGAAGGGTCAGGGCTTCCCTGTCTGGATGCGTGGTTCGAGTGATGTCACGACCTCGGTCCCCACCGAAGAGCAGCCCCACCACCTTGAACATCCTGAACAAGACGCAAATGACACGATTGCTTGACATTCTACAGCCCCGGACCTCAGGGAGCTGGAGGCAGAGGCGGAGGCGCTCAGGGTGCAGGACAGTCTGGTTATCGGGCTTGGGGTTGCAAGCTGAGTTTAAAGTTTAAGGAAGGCCGTCCGGGTTGTTCAGCATACCATGAAGCACAGAAGTTGCCAGAGAGGCCGGACCTTCCCACCTTCTGTTTAACATGTTTAATTACCCCACCAACCTCAACACTTTCAATGGAATCAAAACAAACTCGTAGGAAGTCTCCTGGAGCCTCCACCTTATGAAGGTACCAGCAAGCCAAGATCAACTCCGTCCCCCAGGACAACACGTCCGCGCTCCGGCTCTCGGCCTTACGCCAAGCGGTGCCGGCAGAAGATCTGCCGCGCCTTCGAGGCAGAAGGGGGAAAAGGGGGGGGGGGGGTGGTTGCTGTTCCTGCGAGGTGTCCCCGCCGAACCAGAGTCTAAAGGACGTGCCTGTGCATGCAATGCACATTTTATATATGTATACACACATGCATATAATCGAGCTCATACATGCGATCAGATGTACAACTGCTACGGATAGAAGTTGTCAGCAGCATCCCTTTAGCTCCGACGGTTAGGCATCAGCCCATCAGCCCTCAACGATATTCCCTGGCTACGAAGTGCAAAAAGTTCTCCTAACATTCCAGAAGTTCCACCTTAATTACCGTAGCTCTGGAAGAATCCCTATAATTCCGGAAGACATCTGGAATAACCCCCCCCCCCCCCCCCCGCCAAAAAGCCCGAAGAGAGACCCCATAGGACCCACACTGGCCTCCCCCAAAAGGCCAAGAGGAGGCGGTGCGCACGGAGGCCCAGGAGGCTGGAGCTTTGCTGGCGGAGCTCCGGGCCAAGGCGGGGATTCACAAACCCCACGTCCTAAAACCCTGAAGCCTGATTTATCAAGTAATGAACCCTGAACCGGAAGATTGGTAATTCTAGGTGGGGGTTCATCGTCATGGGGTTTGTATAGGGTTCTTCCGGCTAGGGTTGACAGGGCTTAGGATTACAGTGGCGGTCGGTCCGACCACTCGATGTCGGCATTATCGGTGGAGTCCTCCTTGAGACCCTTGGGAATTTCATTGCTTCACGGTTCTCCGAGGCTAGCTAAGTTGTGGAAATTCGGCCTCTGATAAGGCGATCTTGGTGGAACACACAAGCGACGTAGAAACAGCGGGCTGAGACCATGCGGGTACGATAGATTGATTTCTGTCCGCCGCTTCGTCTGGGCTGCAGCAGCGACCTCTCAAAATCTGGCTGTAGTTTGCAACAAGGAGGTCACCCAATGAGTTAGGGCATTAGATCCCTGAGGGGAAACAACCGACACCTGTGATTCCCTGCCTCATGCGTCCAAGATGCGACAGCGGTTTCTCGAGGCCGCGCTCGCGTTCGCGCGACCATTCATCCCGATTGGTGCATGTTTGGAAGACTTCAGGGGAAGAGGCAGCTGCCATACCCATGGACGAAGCAGGAAGAGATATTCGGGCTTTGAAGCAGCGTTTACAGAGATCGTGTGGCTTACCAAGATTCCGGCAAAGGCTTCTCAGCAATGGCATGATTTGGGACGACGACGCCGTCATAGTTTCGCCGATGGATTTCGAGCTAGAGTTGATGCCTTATGCTGCTGCTTCTGACGAGCAGGTGAGGCAGTTCTTCATGGCAGTTGGGGGTGGTCTGGCAGTGGAGGTAGAAGAGATTCTCAAGCGTCCACAAGATCCAAATTTGACCAACAAGTCTGATACAGCTTTGCTGCGAGCGTCGCAGCATGGGCATGGCAAAGTGGTGCAACTGCTGTTGGAGGCCAGCGCCGACATACACGCATACCCTTCACCTCCGCTACCGACGCCCGTGGAGGCTGCAGCTGAGAAAGGCCACGCCGATATTGTGCGCATCCTCTTGGAGGCTGGTGCCAACACGGAGCATAGCCGATGCACGAGGGGAGAGTACGGGCGAACACCACTTGGTCTTGCATGTTGTGAAGGACACACCTCCGTCGTGAAGTTGTTGCTGGATGCTGGAGCCGATCGTCGTTGCACCGCTTCTTGGGCTGATGAACCTGCCATCGCAACGGCTGCTCGGTCTGGTCATGTTGAGGTTGTTCGTCTTCTGCTTGAGGCAGGCGACAGCCCAGATACGTGTATCGATGGTCCCTACTTGTGGACACCGATTGGTTTAGCAGCGCGCGAAGGTCACGCACAAGTTGTCCGTTTGTTGTTGGAAGCGCGAGCAGACATGGACAGGCGCTGTATAGAGAGCACCGCGCACGGCTTCGGACAAAAGCTGACGCCCATCGGCATCGCATCTCGCGGAGGCAACCCGGAAATCACGCACCTGCTGTTGAGGGCTGGAGCCAACCCAGATCCTAATCTGGAGTGCCTTCCTCTACATGAGTCCGATGATGATGATGATCCTTTTTCTGATTCTGAGGATTGTGGGGATACTGAGACTGGACAGAGCAGTGGTTCCGAGACCATCTGATGCGTGAGTTTGCTTGCTGGGCATGTTGGAAAAGTGAGGCTCGCTGTCAGGATAAGGGCTGCGGGGGCGGGTGAGTCGCATGAGGACCCCACTGAAAGACCACGCAAGTAAGCTCCAAGCCATGCGTGAGAAGGCCCATACTAGGACTGGAACCAGCTCTTGCCCTCAACCTCCAGAGATCAGTATATTTTTGCATCAGGAATGGGCCGGTGTCAAATCGGTGTATATATACATATATATATATATACACAATCGTATATGTGTTTCTCCTTTCCCGGGCCCCTGTCAAAGTTTTTTCGCGCGTTCATGTTTTGGGCTTCCCCCTCGGCAAAAGATAGAGTTCACCGGGGACCCCAGCACATGACAGTTTCTTTGCTGAATGTGCCGTGCCTGACAATGAGATGAGCTCAACATCAGTCTAGCATACCCATCCTTAAAAAATTTAGAAAAAAAGGCTGCCCTTGAGGTCGGTCCACTCAGGGGCCCACCTTCTTTCCGAGAGAGAGAGAGAGAGAGGAACAAAATAACAAAGAAGTTGTCAATCAAGTTCTGTTTCTCCCTGGCCAGGAGTCGGCCACTGCGCAGCGTGTGGGGACACTGCGGACCTCCGTGGCTGAGCTCCGCGCTTGCCAGGAGTGGCGCAGTGCTACCGGAAACATGTGCCCACTACCCTTCACGCCACCCAGACAGCCATCGGGACCCCTGAGGTTTCTCCTTAGAGGCCCTCTGACAGAGATGCGCACACCTACCCCTGACATGACTCCACGACCCGCTGCGCCTCCAGAGGCCCCGAAATTTCCCATCCGAGAAACCGGTTCAACAAGAAACTGCATCCTAGTCCTTGCGAAGCCCTACACACTGAACAGGCCCTTCTTTAAACCTCTCAACCCGGAACCCTGAAACTTGTAGAGCCCAGGCACTCTCGACCCAGGCCGAAACTCCTATAAACCCTATGCCCCACATTGGGATTGCATGGGCCCTCCTTTGGTAAGGTACCCTCAAATATCAAACCCAAAAACCCTAAAACACCACCCCAAAAAACACCACCAGAAACCCTAAATCCCCTAGCTAAGCATGAGATCCCCTAAAACATCCCTAAAGCCACCCAAAACACCCCCGCCCCCCTCTCCCTACTAGCCCCTAATACGGTTCTAACTGCATTTATAGTTGGTCAATAAGTACCATGAACCTTCAAGTACCATCTCCCCCTATCCCCAGTTTGCTAAAGGAGGCGGAGGCCTCGGAGGCGGCGCAGCTGGAGCTTGCGCTCCAGGCCGCGGCCGAGGTGTGGCGTCGGGGGGTAGTGTTTCCGGTTTAGGGTTTTGGTCTTAGGGTTTAGGGCATAATATACGGACGGGCAAAGGTTTAGGGCGTCTCGCTGTGCAGTGGCAGTAAAACGCTCGATTCTTGTGAGAGCAGAGATGTCACTCTTCTTGGCCCGCTGATTCATCTGCCGTGCCGTGAGAGACGTGAGACATAGGGATGATGCCTGCCTGATTTTTTTGCAGTGCCTGTTTCAGGGATCCTTGCCCCTCAGGCTCTACCCCCCTGCGTCCTCGATAGGGGTCGCGGGGCCATCACATTGACGCTTGCAGATTGCTTTGAGCTGATGTTATCGCGTCAGCGAGACGCTAGCGTGGGCTGTCATCTCGACAGTGGCGAACCTTGTCGGTGTAGAATGTCTGACTGACCTTCTGAGACCTGCTCGCTAAGTGGATGCAATGCAATGCACTGCAACGCACTGCAATGCACTGCAATGCGATGCGATGCAATGCATTGCAATGCAATGCATGTAGATTTAGATATGTAGATATGTACGTATGCACGTACCTAATTGGTGCTGAGCTGTTTTTTGGGCTATGGGGGGGGTACCCCCCAATAAAGCACCGAAGGATTTGGCACTGGGTTAGGGTTCTCTCTTCTTGAGAGAATCGCGGGGTTCCCCCTCGTAGGTACAAGGGCGCGGCCCTAGGAGTGGAATTCGACTCCTCTAATCGCACCGCCCATTGTCCATCCAGTTAAGATGTTTCCGGGCTTGCTGGGTGGTGTGTTCTGGGTCCAGGCGGCCTAGAAAAGGGTGGGTATGGCCTCAGGTTTTGGGTTTAGGCTTAGTAGGTTGAGGCTACGGGTTCTTGGGCGATTTTGAAGTTCGCAGACTTGTTTGCCAATACTGAGTGGTACAACCCCAGCCGACCAACAAGCAATCGTGTCTGGAGGGCCGCAAAATGTAACACGTTAGAGATATACATTCAAATTTCCTTCCACGCAGTAGGCAACGCCACTGGACGCGTGCTAGTGCTATCATTGACCGTGTGGTTCCTACTTTGGGTAGTAGAGTGTATAATTCACGTCTTTGGGCTCAAGTTAAGGCTCGGGGTTTAAGGTGAGGAGGGCCGGTTGCAGAGGTTTGGTAGTTTGGGCTCAGGTGCGATCTCCTCGCGATCCAAACTGGACCCCTGGGGGTAGCTAGGGAGACTAACAGCACCTGCGGGTGCGGCGCCATGGCGCCGACGTCGGGCGGGCGACAAGGATCCTCCGTCATGACCCATGCCAATCACATGGCTGATGTGATGAGAAAGATGTGGAAAAAGTTGAAGAGTGAAGCGAGCTTGAGCTACCCCTCATGGTTCGTACGCTTTCTGTGGAACAGAAGCAAAGGCTGCCTCCTTGGGGGTTTCGAGCAGCCGACCACCATGGACTTGGGTTGTCCAATGGGGGTCCAGTCAAGCAATGATCGTGATCTGACAACACTCAAGGCCATTTTGGCCAGGAAATTCAATGGGCAGCACCAGCCCGGAGTGGTGCACAGTGGGTTCGGCGAGCCTCTCATCCCGAGAGGGCTCTACTTCAGCATGTGGTGGCAGAAGGACCTCTGCCATGGAATCAGCTCAAGCATGGCAGCTTGGAGCAGCGGCGCCCCTGATGAGGCGTTGAGCAGCGGAGGCGATGGCAGCGGCAGCAGATGTGGCGGCAGCTGTGGTGGCAGCTGTGGCGGCAGCTGTGGCGGCGAGTGCGGAGATGGCAACGGCGGCTGCTGTGATGGCAGCGGTGATTGCAGGAACTACAAGATCGACAGCGGCGACTTCCGGGATACCGGCGGCTGTTGCGGCAACTACAAGGATGGCAGCGGCGAGAACAGTGGCTGCTGTGGTGGATGGACCCATGGCTGCGGTGATGGCAGCGGTTGCGTCAATGCTGACTGCCGCTCAGGCGGCGGTGGCAGCAGCTGTGGCGATGCTGGCTGCGGTGGCGGCAGCTGTGGCGGCGACTGGGGCGATGGCAATGGCGATGGTGCTGGGGCAGAGCTCTTTTATGTCCACCCCGACGCGACTCTCCAGAACCAGACTCTTCACGAAGAACCTGTTGCAACAAAGGACTCCCCGACACACACTGGAACAGCTTGTGCAGGCAGTGATTGCAGTGTTCTGTTGCCGTTGTGGGTTGAGTGCAACCATGTTTACCATGGATATTTGGAGTCATGCTTACATGTCTTTGGCACGCCAATCTTGCTGCATGAACGATTTTCGCTTCATGAGTGCATTGAGATGGTTGGCGTTCCCTCAGCGCCCGCCACCATTGAGGGAGATTTCTCCAAGGAGCCTCTCAACAGCAGTGCGTGTGAGCAGCAGTCTTGTGTAGAAGAGTCATCATCTGCGACTGTTACCTCTGAATGTGAGCAGTCATGTCCTATGCCAGCGGATGATTGTGACTTTCGTCGGGGCCCTTCGGGCCCTTGGGACTCCTCTTTCACTGGGCATGAGGATCTTTCTGCTATGCTTTCAGTCAGTGCATGTGAGCATCATGTCAGTGCGTGCGAACAAGTCACCAGGGCATGTGAACAGACCTACTCCGAGGGCAGTGCAGGACCTTGTTTTGCAGATGACGGTTGCGATTTTCTGGGGGGCCCGATTCGTACCTGGCATAGGCAACCCTACGATGATGCAGGCACGGATTTTCTTGGAGGGCCTCTGGGCAGTTTTCATGGCTCATGCCGGGGCCATTTTGCCACAGAGCCTTCCATCGGGCCTTTCAGTGATTGTGCTACTCCCGACATGAGTGGCAGAGATTGTTTCCATGGAGTTATGCAGTACCTCCCCTCACTACAAGCATGTTTCAATGCCCTAATGGGGTGCCGAATAGGCGAAGCTGCAAACCCAGGGCCTGACTTTGACCTGAACCTGCAGATGGGAGGGCTCGGTGATCTTCTCGGGCCCTCTTTCATCGAGTCTCTCAAGAAGCAGCTTCAGGCTGCGATTCAAAATGCGATCAAGCAAGCGTTGGCTGGATTCAGCCTTGACATTACGGGCGCTCAGTCCTCTCAGGGCGACCCGAAAGGGCAGGCCGACACTTCCAAGGAAGAGTCGCAGCGCGCCAAGAGAAGGCGCAAGGGCAAAGGTGATGCAGTTGATGCTACCAAAGACCCGCCCCAACCTGAGACCGCTCCCCCAGGCCCTCCCAAGGGTGGTTCTGGACGCGGAGTGCAGCCTGAAGGCAAAGGCAAAGGGAAGAGCAAGGGAAAGGATCCTGTGAAGCCCGACCCTTTACTTCAACGTGCGCCTCGCAAAGCTGATGGCTGCGACCAAGGCAGCTGGCAGCAGGTGAGCCGGAAACCGCCCCAGGAGGTCTGGGCTCTTCGTGCTGAAGATTGGGACTCTCCGGTCATCGAGTATAACGACGTCGCTGACAACCTCGACAAGACCACAGGTGTGTTCAAGGCCATTGTTTTGTGCACCGAGGAGCAGGTCGCTGCTTTGTCTACGCTACTTCAAGGATCTGGCAAGGTCCACGGCATCACGGCTGTGGTGATCACCAACAATGTGGCAGACGAGCGCTGCCCTGGAGCCTGTGGCCATAAGCTCGTGTTCAAGCGGGTCCGGTACACCCACGTTCAGTCCCCTGGTCAGACCAGGCCGATGCCAAAGGTTTTGGGCGCCAAGCTGGCCAAGGTAGCCCCCGAGCCTACGGTGGTCCTATACGCCAGGTTCTACAAGCACTTTGTGACACCTGCAGCCTGGGATTCCATTCTCAAGACGCCCCAGATTGCCTTCCACATGTGGACTGCAAAGCGGCATCTTCAAGTCCATGAGTCCTGGGGCTGGGGCAAGGAGAAGCATGGCTCCACCTCTGAGTTCAACAAGGTCTTTGGTATGGTCCGCGTATCCACCAAGAACGCGGAAGCCCTGCTGAGCCAGTCTGGCGTGGAGGGCTGTTTCCTGGATGTGCCTCGTTGGACGCAGATCGCTGCGCAGACCACCGAATGGATCGAGAAGTCGCCGAAGGAGTCCTACGCCGACTACCTAGCCCGTGCTTTGACTCTTGGCTCGAAGTTTGGCCTCACCTATGGCATGCGCAGCTTGGGGAAGCGAGTCGCCAGGGAAGCTCATACCAAAGTGGCCTGTGGATGCTGGAGCGGGTCCCGCAGGCCTGGACTGCCGAGCAGGCCCGCCTGGTTGTCTCTAAAGAGTTCGAAGGGGTCGAGATGCTTCGGCAGCACCGCACCAAGAAGGGCACCGACTTCGTGTTCAGGGGGTCCCACACTACCGAGCATGACATCATTGCCATCCCAGTGGAGGACGCCGACGGCCAAAACCCTATGGTTTACTGGTGCAGATGGGCCCCCTCGAAGCGAAAGGTGGAGCAGCAGGCAATCAAAACGCGGAGCTCGTGGTCTTTGGCCCCGCCGCGTGACCCTTTCGCGACCACTGAGCAGGTCGTTCAGCCACCCCCGCAGCAGGATGCCTCCATGGAACCTTCTTCTGGTCAGGCTGCTGGGACTGAAGGCACCGAGACAAAGCAGGCCCCGCCTGCTAATGGCAAAGGCACCAAGCGGCCCGAGGGCAACGATGCCAGTTCCAACGGCAAACGTGCCTGCGCTGCCCAGAGGGCTCTTCCGCCGGAGCTTGTGCTTAAACAGGCTGACCCTGACGGCAACTGCCTCTTCGCCTCGCTCTCTGAGGGCCTCGCACACACCACCGACGAGAAGGCCATCAACCCCAAGCAGCTCCGTGCGGAGATTGTGCAGCACCTCACTAAGAACCGCGAACGTTACGAGCCAGGCTGGGACCACGAGCTTCCGGATGGCACTGCCAACCACGACTTCAACAACTACCTTCAGGCGATCGCGCAGGACAAGACGTGGGGCGGACTGTTGGAGATCCAGGCCTTTGCTCGCCGCTACGACACGAGGGTTATCATCTACCCCCGGGCACCCACGGAGCCGGTCTGCGTTGTCCATGCAAAGGCCAAGTCCAAGGTGGTTGTGCTCGTCTTCAACGGCTCCCATTTCGACTACCTCCTCCCGGCCTCTGGGCGCCGCTTCCCGAAGAACCTCATGGACGTCAAGGAGGGCCCTCCGCGCGTGCCTATGCGAGGGGGAGGGCTTTCGCGGGCAAAGTCTGTGGCCACGCGCCAGACAGTGTGGTCTGACAATCGGGCCTCTAGCAAGTCAGTTTGCTCGCGCGATGGACCTCGATCTGCTGCTCCTCGCCTGGCCTCCCGGCGGACAGCCTGGACTTCACAAAAGGCGTCTAGCATGGCTAGCGATGTCAGCCAGGACCTTGAGGGCTGCAGTCTCAACACGCAACGAACCTTGAGCAAATGCGCATACCGGCATATTGCCCCGGTCCCTGCCAACCTTCTGTTCGCGTGTACCTTGTGTCCTTTGAAACAGCAGACGAAAAGCATTGGGGCCTACCGAAATTTTCGGACCAAGCACTACACCAAATTCCACGACGGCCAGCACCTCCCGGGCAAGTTCTACAGGCCGGTGGTGCGGCATCTTCTGCCGGATGAGGAGGTCTTTTGGAGATGCCCCTTGTGCCCCATGGGTATCTCAGTGGCCGTGCGGAAACAGATCTTGCGTGGCACTTTTGCGGCAATGCGGCGTGCGCACCGGGACACACATCACTCAAAGGTGACCCGGGCCAAATGGAAGAAGCTCATGGCTTTGCCCCAGCAAGGCCCCAAGAACCTTCCAAATCACATTGAGGACTGCCGGCGCCGCATGCTGGCCAAGACTGTGATGAAGGAGGTCCAAAAACCACGCTACCCGGGCCTCAGCATGTTCGTTTTCCCGCGGGCAAAGTTTGCTCAAGGCACCAAGACCATCCTCAAGGTCTCCTGCGAGCACGCTTGGAAATGTCAGAAGTGCCAGGCCGTGGTCAGGTCGACCCCGTTCGTTAAGCGCCACTCCAAGGGGCCTTGCCCGGAGACGCGGCCGGCCTTTGCACAGCGGCAGATTCAACGACTTCGTGACATTCGACAGTGGTTGCAGACGCAGAAGAAGTACACGGACGAGAAGGCTCGGCTGCTCCAGGCCACCGACGCAGCCATCAGTGCATGCGGGCCATCGACAAGCCCCTCTTTGCAGCCTTCACCTTCTTTCTGACGGCGAACCTCAACAAGACGGGCATCTCCAAAACCCCTCTGGCCGCTGAGCTAGCCAGGGAGGCCCAAGCCTCTTTTATTTCTCTGCAGGAGATCGATGTGAACTATCTCTCTGCTCCCGGCTTTGTGGAGGCTTGGCGGCACGAGGGCTACAGTGCGCTCCTGAGCGCTGGCGATGTGAACAAGGGCTCACATAGGGTGGCTTTGGTTTCGAAAGTGCCCCTTCGACAGGTCAATCTGGGTTTGGCTAGGGCGCAGCCGCGCCATGTAGCTGGGCTGGTGGAGCTGTGCAGCAGCTCCCGCAAGCATCACCTCTTAGTGATTGCGGCCTACGGCTTTCCTGGCGACCTGGAGGCCACCTCTGAAATGCTGCGCGAACTGGTGGAGGCTGCGCGGGCCTTTGGTGGCTCCTTTGTGATCTTCGGTGACTTCAACGCTACTGCAGACGAGGGCTACATCGTCGAAGCTACTGCGAGTGGAGTGGTGAAAGTGCTGGACGCCGACTTCGAGGAGGCCCTCCCCTTCACCAACCCCTACCGCGCGGACCTGAACACCGGAGAAAAGCGACGCACCCGCCGCATCGACTATGCCATCGCGGACCGCAGTACTCTGGCCAGCAGGGTGGAGCACTTTGAGCGTCCGGACCTTTCGGACCACCTCTGTGTGGGCTATGACCTCGAGGTGGAGTGCCGCCGTTCTGACTACGTGCTCCCGAAGTTCCACGAGCTCTCACTGCAAGATGAGGCGGCCATTGGACTCAACTTCGACGCCGTCTGGGACGAAGAGCTGTTCTCCACCTACCTCGACGCGGCTCAGCTGGACGAGGCCTGGACGCAGCTCTCGGATGTGGCCGAGTGCTCTCTGGGTGCCGACTTCTTCGGCTGGGCGGACAGAAGCAGACGTAGCTCCTTTTGGGAACCTGTGCGACCTCGACGAGCTGCGCACCGATGCGGAGAGCATGGGCACGAGTCTCGTGCAACGCAACTTCTTCGTGGCCTCCTTGGGCGACTGTCTCAGCTTCGCCAACAGCCTCACGATGAACACCTTCAACGTGCTATTCGACGAGGTTGTGGTCAGCTGCGGCGCGTGGTCCCGGGCTTCCCCTACATCGACCTCTGCTACATCGACGCCTCCATCGACGCCGTCTCCGAGCTCTACAACGTCTACTCGGAGCAGGAGCGCAACGCAAGGCTGGAAAGATGGCGCGTGGACACGCAACAGCAGTGGGCCAAGGCCCACACCTGGGTCAAGCGCAAGGCTGAGGAGGCGTTGAAGCTCCAGGGGCCCACTGTGAGCCCTGATGCGATCCCCACCTGCGTGCATCCTGCTTCCATGGTGGCTGAACATGCAGAGTTGTGGCACAAAAAGTGGACCTCATCTAGCACTTCGAATGACGCCAGTGCTGTGCGCGGCATACTGGCCTCCTTGCAGCAGTTTCCCCTCTCAGACCTGAAGTTCGACCTCAGCCCTGAGGACCTCATCAGAGCTACAAAGAAGATGAAGGGGAAGAGCCCTGGAGCAGACCAATGGACGCCTGAGCAGCTCCTCGCCCTCCCAAAGGCGTGGTGGGCTGCTGTGGCGCGCTTGTGGTGCCGGGTTGTTGCCTGCTCCTACGTTCCTGTGGCTTGGCGCAGAGCAGTCGTTGCGCTGCTTCCCAAGCGTGGCGAGGCCACTCGGCCAATCGCCTTATGCTCTGTGATCTGGAGGGCCGGGGCGAGGTGCATGAATGCGCAACTTCGGGGTTGGGTCGACACTTGGCTCAACCACCTGGCACTTGGAGCGGCCCCTCAGCGGGGAGTTCAGGACGGCCATGCACGAATCCTGCAAGCTTGGCACATGGGATGCCGCCGCTACGTGAAGCAGGATTTGTCTGCCTACTTCGACAGCTTGAACATCGAGGCGGTGGAGCTGGTCCTGGCACGACTTGGGGCTCCTCAGTGGCTGGCGGGGCTCCTGCGGTCCTTCTACACTGAGCCCCAACGCCTCTTCAAGGCTGGGGGCTGCTTTGACGCTCGCTGGCGCACTACCACCGCCGGTTTCTTGCAGGGGTGCCCGTTGTCTCCGGTCATCGCATTGGCGGTGGGGGCCACATGGGCCGAGTACTGCAGGTGCTCAGACGTGGACTTGATGATCTTCGTCGACGACAGGGCTCTTTGGCCTCTGCCTCATGCTGCTTGCCCAGCTACAGCTCTCCGGGCTGCCTTGCAAAGGAGCGACCGCTTTGACGAGGCCTTCAAGTTTGTCTGCAAGCCCACGAAGTGTGCAATCGTGGTGCTCGACTCTGACTCTTCTCTGAACGAGCTCATTGCTGAACGGGGTTACTCCAGAGAAAGCTCTCTGGAGCTTCTTGGCATCGAGCTGAAGCTCAGCGACGGGGCCACCTCGTTGTTAAAGCTGTCGTTGCAGACTCTTTTGCTGCGACTTCGATACCTACGACTTCTGCGACCTCGGATGGAGTACCGACGCCGCATCCTCACCAGCCTGATTCACTCAGCTTTGTTTTGGGCGGCTGGGGTGGCTAGGCCTAGCGCGCGTGAAACACAACAGCTTCAGGCAGAGATCACTGCGACTCTTAAGGACTGCATCACCGAGGAGACGCCCCAGGTGCTCGTCTACGCGGTCTTTGGCTGGCAGTTCTCAGTGGAGTGGTACGGCGACTGGGCCGCGCTGAAGACGGCCTGGAGGTTTCAAACCCGCCCTCCTGCATGGCTCGACACCGTCAGCTTGCAGGACACCTTTGTACCGTGGATTCGCGTGGCGCCAGCTGCTCTGGCTGTTTTGGACCGGATGGGATGGAGTGCCTCGGCCAACGGCAAGGTGCTGCAGCGCACCGATGCCCGAGGGGACACACGGCGCTTCTTCTTTGGCTACGACAACCTCGGCGTCCTCAAGCACTGGCTTAAGGAGGAGCACCAACGGCGAGGCGTGCACCGATGCGGGCGAGTTAAGCGGTCGCTTCATCGCGCCGAACCCGAGTGTGCGCGCGGTCTCGCACTACCTGGTCCCCCTCACGGTCAACACCACGCCCTTGCTGGACACCGTCTTCTTGGTCGACAAGGCCCTGTGGAGCTGCGGCGCGCGGCCATGGCAACTGGAGGTAGTGCGTGGCACACTGCTGCGAAACTTCGCCGTCCTCGGGACGTGCCAGTTCAGTGCCTGTGCGGGGGCTTATGGCCCAGCCGGGCCCACCTCGCGTGGGCGTGCGAGAAAACTGCGGTCTGCAGACATGAGGTGCCTTTGCCCCGTGAACGCGCTCAGGAGCGGCTTTTCGCTGCCCAGATCGAGGCGTACCCGCCGGCGCCGCCAGCAGTGGACTTGGAGGGATTCGAGCAGGACGTCGCTGACCACCTCGAGGCCTTCTTCAAGGACGACGCGGAGCTGTTCCTCGCAAGCGACGGCAGCGCCAAGGAGGGAGTTGGAGCCTTCGCCATCGTTACCGCCGAGGCCTCTTTCGGTACGGGTGATGCTTCGGAGGACCAATCTGCGTTCAGAAACGAGGCCCTGGCACTGCTCTACATCACACGTGCTCTACAACGACTGCCTGGAGATCGACGAGGACGTGTTCATGTGCTTTGCGACTGCCAAGCTGCACTGCAAGGAGTGGCTCGGCCGGGCATGTCTGCTCTTCCTTGCATCTTCGAGGAGATTGCGACCAATCTGCGGAACTTGCAAAGTCGGGGCATTGCTGTCAGCCTCACTTGGGTGCCTGCGCATGGCAGAAAGAGGCACTGGAGGCCACCTGATGGAATCAGTGCTGAGTTGTGCCGGGACCTCAACGACAAGGCCGATGCTGCGGCCAACTGTGCACGTGAGAACAGAGCTGCCCACTCCAGACGGGCACTTTGGCACCAGGCCTTTGAAGAGGCCACTGCTTGGGAAACGCAGGCGATCCAGGCTGCTGCGGCTGCTGGGCTGCTTCTGGCTGCTGCTGTGGAGAGGCAGCCTGTGCCTGCAACTGAGCCTGAGGGCTCCCTGGACTAAGCAGCTGCAGCTGGGCGCTGGCTGCTGTGCTGCTGGCCTTCGGCTGCGCTGCTGGCGAGCACAGCTGAGCTTCTGCACCTGCACTTTTGAGTTGGCTTCCCGAACCCACTTTCCTTACCAGTTTTGAGCGCAGCCCTTTGATGCTGCCTTTTCATTCAGTGACGATGCTCTTGTCTCTGAGCTTCGGTTCGCGACTTTCGTGGCAATGCACTTGTACACTTTTGGCGTTGCATGTCACTTCAAGTATAGTTTTGCCCTGAAACATGGTTTTCGTGGCATGGTTCGTTCTGGGTTGCCTGCGAGCTCTTCAGGCTTGTTCATGGCACCCGCTTTCACGAGAGTGAGGAACCCGTGCTGGTCGGACTTTCTGCTTCCCGGCAGGGCCTCACCACCTTTACAAAAGTTTGCTTGTTTGAGATGTGAGCAGCATGCCTCTGGCAGTTTGTACAGCGGCCTCGCATGTCTGCCAAACACTCGTCAAGCCTGGTTCGGTGTCACGCCGACTGACCTGCTTAAGACAGGGCGAGCAGGACCTTTCTTCTTGAGGGGCCTGACTTGTCCGTTAACCGAGCGTGCAGAGGTTTGGTCACATCTGGGTTTGCCCGAAAAAAACTCAAACTTGTACTCGTCTGAGCCGGCTCATAGCTGCAGAGGCTCTCAGTGATGGCGAGGAGCTCGGGGACTTGGATCTGTCAGAGGCCTGGCATTCAGGGGGGCATTTTGTGGTTTAGAGTTTGGGGTGCGGGCATACTCGTAAAGGAAGGGCAACAGGTTCCTATCGAACCGTCCGCAGGTGAGTCCTTGATTTTCTCGCGTAAGTTCCGGGGTCGAAGTTAAATTCAAGGATTGCTTAGCGAGCTGCTTCCACTCTGGTGTCCATATCGGGACCAGGAGTCATAGGAAAACCATTGGCAGCTCCAGCAATTCTGTGTTCGCATGATGCAGGTGGACGGGGATTCCAGCATCAACGAGAGTGCCCTTCAAGAGGCTTGGCAGCTGGAGGATGAGCTTCGAGAGGCCAAGGAAGAACTGAGGCAGCTCGGCCTCCGATGCCATCAGGCTGGCATGGCGGGTCTGGAGCGAAAGCCTTTTCCAGCATCGGCGTCTCCAGCTTTCCGGCCCGAAGTTCCGCAGGAGCCGTTTAACCTCGAACCTCCGCCAATTGCGAGGAAGCAGCACGACTCCCTGCTAGAGGCTGCGCAGTCCTTGGTGTCCAACACGGGCAATGCCGATTGCACGGAGCTGTCCGAGCGTCTGGTGGCAGAAAACCTTCGCCTGGAGTCTGAGATGCAAGAGCTCCAACACTTCATCGAGGCCCATTGTAAGGGCTCGTGGCTGCTAAAGTGGCTAGCGGCACTCGTAGTGTGTCATGGTACAAGAGCATGCGACAGCAACGCTCAACAACAGACTTTGGGATGCTTGCTAGAATTGCAGGCTGCGCACAATGATTTGTTGTTTTCCTGCGTTTGATGGTCAAGCTTGCAGGCCCAGCCGCTGAATTCTGGCGGCCACTGGGACCCATGGCAGCCCCTGGCCGGTGCCATGCACGAGTCGCATGGCAAGCTGCGAAGCTCCATGCAGCAGCAGCTGCAAAGCTCGCAGGAGGCCCTTCAACTGCTGCGCCAGGCGCTGCATCATCTCGGGGTGCCTTCATGACCAATGCTGGAACGCCGTGATGTCATGAACACTTTTGTCTTCAGGACATCGCAGACGTGGCATGCGTATCAGTATTATCAGTTTACCATCTCAGACTGACCTAGGGCCTAGGGTCTTCCGGGCTTGCAGAGTTTAAAACCCCGAGCCCTACAGCAATCCTGCCCCCAAGGCCCAGGGTGCCCAGGTCCCCCCCCAGAAGTCCGAACTCAAGTTGTGAACCTGTTGCAGGGCATCGCCGCGGCAGAGGCGCAGCTTGTGTCGGAGCGGCGCAAGCGCCGAGCCTGTGCCAGGGAGCTGCGGGAGCTCGAGGGAAAAAGATCCGAGTGCTTGGGAGCTGTCAGGTTCACGCTTGCACGCAGTGATTTAGAGTTCTAGCGCCGCAGAAGTTAAGAGTTTAGGGTACGAGGTCGCGGGAGTTGATCCTCGCTTCGCCAGATCTCGAGTCTCGGAGTCGTCATTGCATGATGCTTCTGAGAGATGATTGAGAGTGGCTGAGAGTGCGACGGGCATCGTGAGCATCGTGGCTTCAACAGTTACAAGTGATCCAGGCGGCTGACAATTCGGAAGCAGCCTTTCCCTTTCATATGACGGATAGTCTCGCAGAACGGACGAGCATCGAGTTCTGGTGCGGAAAGCCCAGGCAGCCGGCTACCTCAATACACATACGAGGCTGCCTTGGCTGGTCGGGATCGTTCTGTTCGCGTCGGGCGCGCGTGAACCATAATTGTCGCATAGAATCGCCAGCATGGTGTTGAACCAGAATGAGAGAGCCTAGGACAATACTCACGACAGCTACTGTAGACTCTATCCAATTCATGCCGCTTCCCAGGTCATGCTTGAGCTCTTCAAGCTCCTTCTGGGCAAGGGCACAGAGGGCTTCCGCACACGACAGGTGGGATCGTAAGACATCACCGTTCCTACACACGACTTCGCTTGTGCTTGCAGAGCCAACACACGGCTGATTGATCAGATAGCCGACAGCAGCTCGGTGCCCAACACCACCCGGAACGCAAGCTCTCCTGAAGACGTTGACATAGTAAACCTGGCTGTAAGACGACCGACCAGCATGACATCAGGCCCACAGTGGCCTTTGCAGTTTTTGACCGGAAATAGAAACAGAGAGAGACTCTGAGAGTGCGATGAAAGTTACCTCCAAGTTCCGAAGAGTCTTCCCGGAGGTTGGTCTGGCCGTCAACACCTACACCTCCTTTGAAGCTCAGGACTCCGAACTCTTTTCACGGGTATAGTGAGTATAGTGGAGCTCCCAGGAGACCAGGGCAGCGCCAAGCTAGGACGGCATTGTTGACTTGTCCACAGGCCCCAAGAAGGTGAATTGGAGACCGGACGTCTCCAACACGTTGACTTCGGCACTGATAGAAGTTTCACGTCCCGAGCTCATGCCTGTCAACAGTTTTGTTGGGCTCGTTTCCTATGCTTGCGATCGTGTGCCAGGTTTTGTCTCCTTGCTTGCGGGTAGATTGCTCCTGAGTATGCCAGTCCGATGTCTCGTCCTGCACATGCTCGGGTGTGGCAGCGCTGCCTTTGTTGCGTGCTGGCGCTGCGGCACCTCTGGGTCGTGAAGCCGCACTGGACACTCTCATTCCTAGCCCGCCAGCTGATGGGAAGCTTGGCTTGGGGCCCCCTTCCTACAGAGAGCTGAAGATGCTGCAAGCATAGGACAACATTAGCATGGCTCAGAACTGCTATTGCAGGCCATGATGCAAGTCAAAGGAAGGTCGCTAGCAAGTAATGATGCCATCGTGCTTCTCATACCTGGCTGGAACAACTACAGGACCTATGGGTGCACTTGCAAGACTGGCGTATGAGAGGAGGTGTCAGCGTGCGGGCGTAATAGCTCGACTACTGCTGCTGCTACCGCTGCTGCTACAGCTGCTGCTACTACTTCGAACCCTGGCCACAGGAATATATACAAGAAGACTTGGAAAAAGAGTATCAAAGGTCCCAAATAGCCACGTACGACGACGACGATGACGAGACAAGAAACCCACAGCTCCCCGTTGCCCCTTGCCCTCCTCTCGCCCTACCGCTCTCCCCTTCCACCTCTCACAGCACAAGACGCCCCCAACGTCCAGGAGCCAAAGATGTTTGCTTCGGGCGTGGAGAAAAAGGTGCCACGGGCAGCGGGCCCAGGTCGCGCCACAGCCCTCGAGGGTCCTCAGCTTTGGATTCGCGAGGTTAGTTTAGCTAGGGAAAGGAAAGATGGACCTGAAAGTTAGGGGCAGCTCTGAGAAATGGCAGTTCATGACTTTGGTTGCTCGACATGTTTCAAAATCAGTCAGTCGCAATCCAAATGTATGCACCTATGACTCCTGAACCGAATCGAAGGCTCCAAAGATTCGTAGTGACAACCGAGGCAGAGGATCTGCCACCAGAGGCCTTCGACGACGCGGGCAAAATCAAGGCCCTGTCCAGACTTTTGGGTTTTAAATGCCCGCTTGAATGGTTCTTCGACTCTTTGACCCTTCGACTCTTCGACTCTTCGACCACGTGAGCTCAGAAAAAAAACAGCACTCTGCTCACAGAGGCTCGGTGCGGTACAACTAAACAATTTGAGTGAGGGGCGGTCTTGCCGGACCACAGTTCTGTCCCAGCTTTGTCTCTGCTGGAGCTTGTGCTGCTACTGCCACCAGGCCCAGTTTGTGGTGGAAGAGGCCTATGCTGCTTATCCCGAGAAACACAGTGTCTGGGTCCCTCGGTGGCATTTGTCCAGCCGGCCATCACGGGATGCAGATGAGTTCAGTATCTTCAAAAGAACTCCTGATGGAAAGAGATTTTACACTTGCGTACGAAAGCATCAGTGGCCATCGTCCGGCGGACATGATATGATGATCTGATGATCCACAAGCTGAACAATGACGCATATGCGGCACTCAAGTGGAATGATGACATGGGCTGCAGAACAGTAGTTGGCGGCGAATGAATTAAACCAAAGCTCAGAAATAGCTTCGAAATCTGTTCTCAGAGTTGCAGCATGTCTCTTCAGAGTTTTCACGCTTCCCCAAGCCGTACGCCCATATTTAGATCGGTCCTTACTTTTTCCGTATTGCTTTCTTACCTGTCTGTTCCTGGATGCCCCGCCCGTGTAGACCTAACTCTCCCACCCACCGGCCCGCTCATTTTTGTTTCCATGTTTTCCTACTTTGTCGACTTCCCTTAGTTTCTCCTATGTTTCCTATGTGTCCTGGACACCCTTTTTCCTATTGTCCTGGACCCCCGTGTTTTTTTCCGAATTGTTTCCCTTTTTTCACATCTTCAAAATTTTTCATATTTGTCATAGCCCACAGCTGATGCTCACAACTGCAGATGAGGTTGCTTGTGGATGGCTGAGGCTTCTGTTCACGGTTGCGGGGGGCAGGTTCCGAGCTTGCTGGCTTCAAAGGATGAACGATGAGGGGGTGAATTGAGATGACTCTCCTCCTTGCGGCCTTCAAAAGCATCTGAAGCTCAGGATAAAATCTTGGTGCCCACCGGAACCATGACTTTAGAGGCAGGATGTGTCTTGGGCTTCGAATCATGGGGGGTTCAACAATGTTCTTGCCCGATGAACGCCTGCCATGTGGTGACCAGGGCATGTTCAGCTGAGTTTGAAGGAGTGGGCTCCGGAAAACAGGCGGACAGGAAGGGGAAGGTTTTCAAGATATCGGTCGGCATGCAGCTTGAAGGACCTCCGCATTGCTGAATCGGTAATCCTGACTTAGCATTGCGGCCTTCGCAAGCACACGCTCCCGACTCTCTGGGCCCTCGGACCCCGCCAACCTTCTCGCAACCCTAAGCCCTTCTTCGCTGAACCCTAAGCTCCCCAAACCCCTCTTCTCTAACACAGAGGCCTTCAAAGCCTGGCTGGCCTCAGAGCACAAGCTCCAGCCGCTGCCCCAGGGGCCCCAGCTTTTTCGGATCGCTTCGAGTTACGAACTCACTTAATCAAAAGGGGGGGGGGGTTAAGTGGCCTAGGGTTGTATGGTACTGCACGGGCTTCAGGGGGTTTAGGGGCAGCGGGGGGCAGAGATGCAGGTTTTATGACTGGCCAGGCTGGCCATCCATGAGAATTTCCAGGTCTTGTTTGCAGAGCACTCTTTGTGCAGTGGGAATCGAAGATTGCTAGCGCTCTTCTGAAATCAAGGGCTTTGCGGGGTAGGGCTGATGGGGAATTCTTGGCGCGCTCCACAGGCTCCGGAGCTGGAGTTTTGTCCTCGGCTGGAAGAAAGTCGTGGACGAGGACCTGGTGTGCCCTTGTGCACTCCAACGAGGGAACAGCGAGCAAAGTCCTGAAGCTCTGAGCCCCAGCAAGTTAAGAAGTTGGGTCCCCCTCAAGGGCTCAAGCTGAGGCACATGCTCCCAGCTACATTTTGTAGGGTTAAGCGTCCAGGGCCTCAGGCTTGTTGTCCTTGGTGAATGCCGAATAAGCCATACCATCTAGCGAGCTCCATGCTTTGCACCCTTTGCCAGACTGCGGCCCTCAGGTTGTCTGATGTGTCACTTTTTGGCGTGGAGAGAACCGCAAGGAGAATTGACTATAGGCTACTTGATGATCCTTGGGATCACTTTGCCGTGCGGCCTTTTATATCTGGGGACGTGGGCGGTACCCCATGGAATCAGAAGTTGCGCTGTACCTCGCTTAGTCCTTTTTCCGAGTTGCCCTGAGATGGTTCTGCACCCTGCGCTGTGGCCTCCAAAAAAAGGAAGAAGCCCGTCGCTGTCTGGCCGTACCCCTCAACCGGGCCTTGCCGGCTGCTCGCGCTGCCACTGTGCCACCACGGTGGGATTGCTGGCCCTGACGTTCCAATCAATGACTCCGGAAGCCGGCCCGGATGGAGAATCTACCAGCACAGGCACACTTCCCCTTGAACTGGGCTAGTCACCACCCCACGTGAACATGCAGAGCTGTGCTGCTCCCTGGGTTCTTTCAGTGAAGGCGATGTGGTTCATCCACTGGGCAGGAATGCAAGACTTCGGCCATGCATCCACTGGTAAGCCCCCCCTGAGTTCGCAGAGTGGGTGTCTCCTGCCTATCAGTCAGCTGTCAGCGCAGTCGTCCGAAACTCATTCAAGCCAAATCCCAAAGCCTCAATCCGACTCAATCCTCAATCCTAAACCATGACATACCATGACTTTGAACGAGAGGGCAACCTAGCTTTGTTCTTTTGAGCACGCTGCCCGATGTGACTGATCCCGTCGCCTAAGCACGCGCTTTGGCCTTGGCAGGAAAACAAGGAGATGCGAGTGCCCGTCTCCAGCCAGATCTACCCTCTTCCTGTCTCGGTGGACGCGTCGTTGCTGCCACCTTTGACAGATGCGCAGGCCAGGGTTCTGCCTGTCAGCAAGGGCCAGAAGAATCCCACCTCGAGTGCAAACCGGGCTACGTCGTACTGTGGCTCGACTCTACACTGTGTGCTCCATGCCTAAAGTGACGTCCTCTTACACGCAGATTGCGCACTTTAAGCCCGAGAGCCTCGAGCAAGGGAGATGCCATGAAGAAGATCATGGGTTCGACCAAGATCCCACAGGCACAGAAGATGAAGTGCCCCCAGTGAACAGGCAGTAACCTCACTAACGGGAACCTGTGGGAAAGACGGGAGAGACGGGAGAGCCTACGTTAGGGCAGTGCATTGGCTTTGGCGTCAGTCTTTTGGCGGCAACCGAAGCTGGGAGCTTTCGGAGAGGTACCTGAGTGAATGGCAGAAGGCCAAGCAGAGCGGCAAGATGCCGACCTCTTCGGCCCAGGCGGGATGTGCAAGTCGTTTTGGTTGCTTTTTTGAGGGTGCTGTCTGTCTGTCTGTCTGTCTGTCTGTCTGTCTGTGTGTGTTCTCATGTTGGAAGACTGATCAGATGTGGGGGCAACATGAAAGTTGCGGGTTGACGGAGAAGCTTCGCGAGCTTTGCTGCTTTTGTTTAGCCGCTACCGCAACCTTCTGCTTTTGGCCCTTTGTACAATCTGCTTCAAAATTTAATCTACTATTGCCTTTCAAAATGGATGCTACCCCTGTGCGCCTTGCAGGAACTCCGAGCCGACATGTCCCTGAAGGCCGGTCGCTGACACTGACACTTCAGAAGTCGCAACTCGTGTCTCAATTCGGAGCTTTTGGATCCTGGCGTTTCTTGAGGCCGCCCGGTCGGAACCTAGTAAAAAATCTGTGGCTCTTTCTTTCGGCTGCCAAGTGTGACATGCAGAGACAAGCTAGCAACTTAGCATTCGCAGCCCTAAAGCAGCGCAAGGGCACCCGCAAGATGAGGTGGCTTCTTCTTTGCCTCGATCTGTCAAGTTCAACTTGAGTTTGGGTCTGCGGGCTTTCCCGCAATCATACCCCCGAAATCTATGGCTTTGGCTCTGTGAGAGCGATGGATCCAGTCTCTCCTGTCCCGTCCTCTCGATCTCGTTCATGTTGGGGATCGTTGTAACTCATAAGGTGTGTGAGGTTTTGTTCCACAGTTTTCGGAATGTGGACCTGCTGACGATCATATGACCCCGTGGGTGCACTTACCGCATATTCCTGATTTGATGTTTTTAGGTGGAGTTGTTGAGGGTTGCGGTCGCATCTGGATGAGGACATCCTCGCACTGATGGAAGTGCGTGCTGAAAAAGCGCTGCAGGCCGTGACTTGGGATTTTCAGGGTGCCGGAATCGGAATCGACTTTTCAAGGGACAAAAGGGAATCGCGGTGGGGTGTTGCTTTTGTCGTGTTAATGGCGTGTTACTTGCGGTCTCAGGCCAAATTGTAAAAGGCATTTGGCGGGTTGCCCAAATTTTGGGTCCCTGTATGGGAACCTCGTAAAGGGTCCTGGTTGAATGTTTTCAGCCGGCTGCCTCCGACTATTTGCCCACCCTACCCACACTCAGACGCGATGTCCGGGTGCTCTGAAGGCAGGGAAAGGGACCACTCCCAATATCATTCACAGCAAGTGGGGATTCCCAGATCGGGACTCCACAGCAGGAGAACGAGCCAGCTGTGATCCCTAAACCCTGAACCCTGAACCCTAAACCCTGAACCCTAAACCCTAAACCCTAAACCCTAAACCCTAAACCCTAAACCCTAATCATGACCTAATCAATCACCCCTTCCCAGGATGGCTCGATCAACCCCAAGTGGGGGAAAGCCATCTCGGACCTGAAGGGGAGAAGGCCAGGCAAAGTGGTGGTTTAGGGTTTAGGGCTTGTAAAGTTTACAGTTTAGGGTTTCAGGGGTTTCAGGGGTGCTTGCAAGTGACGGGCTTGCATGCGGGTGTTGCGTTGAACTACGTAGGCTACGACGTGACCTGATTGAGAACTACCTTACATGGGCTTGGAAAAGATGCTGTGAAACTTTAAGAAAGCGCGCACGCAAAATTAATGTGATTAAGTATTGAATACGGCAAGGAGAACAACAAGGTTTACGTGTTGCTATAAGGAGGCTGGATGCGATGCGAAGTTGTGCGGTTCTCCTTGTAAAAGGATCAGGAATCCAAACGCGAAAACAACTAGCTGCACCAATCCGATTTTTCTGCAGCCCCGTGAAACAGCCTAAGGCCAGCGCTGTTTAAGACATTTGAAGACCCTGCAAAGACCATGCAAGCCTCATCAGGTTTTGGGTCATCCCCTCTGACCAGACGCCCGACTGCGCCGCCATGGTGGCCTCGGGTGAAACATTGGATGTCCCTGCCCCAGAAGGCTTTTCTGAAAAACTCAGAGGCTTTTGTCGTTTGGGACTTAGAGGTTTTGGGTGTGGGCTTTGGCTGCCGCGATCCGAACGCAGCGCGTCTGGCGTCCCATCGTCTGGTGTCGTTAGAAGTGCTGGGGATCGTTGACGGAGTTTGCCGCGCCCTCTTCCGAAGATTTTTAGGAGTTCAGAAGTTCAGCTTCTGCCCAGGTCCGGTACATGGCCAGACTGGAAGTCCCTCTGACATCCTGAGGAACTTGGAGAACATGCGACTTGAAACACAGTGCAGGCGTATCATTCCCGAAATCCAACATGAATTGGGGTGCATATGACACCGCAGGGTCTACTTAAAAGTATGCATGACGTGTTGTCGGAAGACTTGCAGCTCAGGAGGGAAATATGGGTTTACATAGGTGAAGCCGTTTTTACCTGTCGGAGTTGGAGGAAAGAATTCGAGGCTGTGAGCATTGCAGCTTGAGAGTTTTTATGCTGGGGGAAGTATCGTTTGATGCTGGGCGTCTGGCTCCCTTGCTCCCACCTCCAACCTATAAGTTTTCACGCCGACATCCCGTCCAACACAGCAGTCAATTGGCTGCTTGAAACTGCTGATATGCAGCTCCTGGGCCTCAAGATGACTGAGCTTGCGCTGGGAATCAGCGTGGACTCTAGTGCGCGTGAGAGTGAGTGAGTGTGGTGAGTGTGTGTGTGTGTGTGTGTGTGTGTGTGTGTGCGTGTGTGCGTGGGGGTGTGTGTGTGTGTGTGTGTGTGTGTGTGTGTGTGTGTGTGTGTGTGTGTTCGTGTGGGTGTGCATGTGTGTCTGTTTGTGTTTTGTCTTTGTGTTCGTTTAGTGTTCTCTCCACATACTGGCGAAGTGATGTAACACCCAACCTCCCGGCGTATCTGCTGATGAGCCGGTCGATCGCTAACGTGGATGTCTTTGCTATAGTGTTCGTGAACAGCAACAGAGTGGTCAGGAAGATCGCGTAGTAGAAGGGTGGAAAGAAGATCTTTGGCATGATCTAGTAGCTGCATGGTTCAGATGTCGTGAGCGTCCGAGGAAGCTGGTGACAAGCCAACAAGAGCTGGTCATTGCTAGAAGCCCGTAGAGCTGGGTTTGTGAGGTGTGCTTTTGATCAGGCCATTGCCATTCCTAAGTGGCTCTTGCTTAACTGTAAAGCAAGGATAGGATAATTGGCGCACAGACGGCGAGTCAACTTTCAGACTGCCCGCGAACTTTTAAGATCCTCATGGTGCTCCTTTAGGCATCTGAATGCTGAATGCTGAGTTTTCGGATAGTGACCGCGTAAGGACCAATCAGGCACAGCCCAGGTGCAAACCCAACTTAGGTCTAGGAAGCTGAAGGAACAGCTGGGTTCTCTGCCCATCAACGTCATATGCTTTATGACGGCATCTCCTTCGTGGGGGAACCCCTACTGGTTCCTTCTGAAGTAACTCGGAGCCGGGCCCAACGCAGAAATCGCGAGGCCCAGCTCCTGACATCCGCGTAGAAAAAGTGGGCTTATTGTCATAACTTGTTTAACAAGCAGGCTGAGACCACGCATCCCTTTTTGTCCATGTCCGATCGCCGCGCCAGGTGCGAGAGAAGGTGACACAGCTTTGCGAGGTCCTTCTTCCGACACGGCTGCGGGTTGGGCTATCAGCTGATTCGTCTCCCTAGACCCAAGAAGCAGAGACCGATAGGCACCTTGCCAGCAGGTGGAGCGCGTTCACCTGGATAGCCACTACTTCACAAACCGCACTCCAGAGGACGGGAAGCCAGGGTTTGGGGAGGTCTGGGGGGCGGTGGTTTGGACACGTTTGTGGAATGAATTTTCCAACATCATCCTATAACCTCAATCCGCTCTCTTGAACTTAAAGGCACCCAAGCCTCCAGCCCCGTGCCGGACAGACACAATCAAACGCTTGAAGCAATCTCCTAGACCTAAGCTTGCTTCTACATTTGTTGGATTTCCTTGTATATGCAATACATGGTCGATGGTTGTGTACAAATACGTTTGTACATGAGATCGGCACCGTTATGACTTATTTTGCCTATCCAAAAATTGCAAAATCAAATGACGAAGACAAGTACTCACAGCCGATTCCCCTACTCATTGCGAATCAAAATGTGTGTTTCTCTACGGCTGCTTTGAAACTTTAAATTTGTTGAAGCATGAGGGAGCACCTGGAGCTGAATGCGAATCTTCTCTATTTAGCAGCATAGGCTCGGAGCATGTATCCTCTTCTTGATAAGAAGTATCATAGCACGTCGATCAGCGCTTCGATCGTACTATCAGAGAGCACCTCCTGTGTGGTTGACAGGAAAGAGATCGACCCTGCCAGAGAACCCATCCCCTAAATTGAGTCATAGCGCTGCCCTGGTAGTCATTATCCGTGCATTGTCGTTCGGTCCAAATACTTTGTCAGCTTAGGCCTTTGTTGTTTTTACCCGGAGCTCTTTTGTTGTGGATGAGCACAGTATACGCGTTGCCAGGCTGGCAACTGCTGAATTAAAAAGGAATTAACATATGAACAAACCTTGGAATATCAACCCTGCGCCCCAAAGAGCCCCGATCCAAAGGAAATCCTGGACATGGTCTTTGCTGGATGCACTGCTGACGTCGGAACGTAGGGCCTTTTCGCTTGTTGCTAGCATGTGCTTTAAATAGCAGGACCGTCTACGGGTTTTTAGGGGTTTGGGGGGATGTACTGAAGCTTGACGGAGCTAGTGACTGACTAGGGAAGCAAGCAGAGTTAAATCTAAATGCTGTTCGGAGCTAACGGTGAGCACTCCGCCTAGATGTGACATAGACGATGGCCGTCTGGTGGTTGCTGGCGCGGAAAAACGACAGAGCTGATCGAAGATGGTGGAGGATTACCTGCCTCAAGTTTGATAGCTATAATTTTCTCCTTGACAGGTTTGTAGGCTGCAAGAAGTTGGGCCGCGTGCGACTGCTTGGCTTGCACAGGCACTACAGTAGCCGAATAGCAGCGCTGACAGTTGCGCATGTGATTAAACCGCTGATGGTGGCATTGGAACTGGCAGTGGCCGTGGGCGCCAGCCACGGCATCCCTCTCTGGCTGGTGGAACTGGTGCCCTGTCTTTGATGATGTCCTCCAGCTACATGTGAAGCTACGCGGGCTGTGAGCTTTCTTAGGCATCCATTGCTGGGTCGTTTTCTGCTGCCGCCGCAGCATTGCTGTGGCAGGCCGCCGAGAGCTTAGAGCGGCTCCTGACTTTGTTCGCGTCCTTTGTGTTGGGAGTTATGTTGTTCTCCACCTCAGACCCCACCTTTGCTTTCACGCAAGGGTCACCCAGCACGGGCGCCCGTGCTGCCCGCCAGGCTCTCAGTCAGCCCGCGAGAAAGACCAGCGTGTAAAAGATATGTCTCTTTCTTTCCCTTGCTGGCGCCTTCGTAGGATTATATTTTTGATTGCCTGGGGACAGAGACTTGGAAAACATCCTGTTCTCTCGACCAGGAACATCGCCCAGCGTCACCCTCTGGAACTATCCGAGTAGCCGTTCTTGGAAGGCAGGGAGAAGACGAGGGTAGTATGGTCGTCAAAATGCAGCGGCCCGCAATGTTGTCTGTCAAAAGCATCTTGCAGCACTCACCACTCTCGTCCACGTCCCTCTGCCCTTGCCGCGCCGGAGGCAAGGAATGCCGGCAACGGTCTTGATATTCGCCAATAAGAGACCATCGCATCATTGCCCAAGCTCTTCAAGCCCTCAGCCCTGAAAACCTTGTGGACAGGTCCAGACCCCATTTTATCGTGCTCCACAAGCGCCGTGCCCGCAGCCGGTCGTGCAGACTTTCCAAGGCTGGTGCCAGGAGATGCTCGGCGTGTGCAGTTTGTCGCAGAGATGCCATGGCATCACACTTTTGAAGAAGTAAGCATGGTGGTTTCATGGCTGTTGTCGTTTAGTTCCCAATGGCCCGACGCGTCGCCAGCGGCTTCTGCTGAGGACAATGTCGATGGCTGAGAGGCAGCTGGTGGGCGTGTACAGCGCCTTTGGTGGATGGTGTTGGGGATGGATGGCCGGGGTGGCGCGTCCGTTAGAAAGTTTCGGCTTATGAGCACGAGAAGACCTTGGACAGGTCACCTGGGGAGAAGAGGAAGGGCTCTTTCCAGCAGCAGCGCCGGGTCACCTCCTCGGATAGGGGATGGCAGGGGATCGTTGATGAGCGAGAAATGTGCATGTCGGATGTTAATGTCATTTCTGTTGTTGCTCGTGCTATTGATGGGGTTGGGAGGATTGGGGTGGCCGCAGTCGTCCTGAGCAGGTGCCCCTTTCCTGGGCTCACGGTGCACATGTCGAGCAGTGACACTTGCGGGCTAAGCCGGCTAGGCCTCACTGCTGCGGATTCCAAGGTGATCCTTGGCCAACTGAGCCACTCGGGCGGCAAGCCTTCCACCTGCTGAGAGAAGTTCGCTGGGGCACCCGGCGAATGGAAGATGTCGGGGGAGTGTTTTGCTTGATAGCCCTACACTGATTGTCTTTCGTCGCATGAAAAGGTCGCATTGCTGGTTGGGCCTTCGCAACCCTGCGCTGGCAATCGCCTGCCCTGGGCTTGACGGCTCTGAATGAGCACATTTGGGTGGAGGCCAGCAAGGCCAGGTTTTGGAGTGAGACCGCCCCTTGCAACTCGATATCAGACGTGCTGGAGCCGTTGCAACCGCAGGCTATGGCGACCAACCAACCTGGCACATTCCCCCCTGCAGTCAACGGCGGCCCGCTTGCAACTGATGATAGCAAACGGTTGGAGTTTGAGACATGCATGGAGGTGCGACTATCGGCTGCGCGAGCAGAGGCATCCAAGGATATCCAGAGCCGCAAATTATGATTTCTCGCGAGGTGTGCGGAGTTCTCAGTTTCGCTTGGGGCTGTCAGCGTATGTCAGCGCATTCACTTGCTGGCTTGTGTCAGCGTATGTCAGTGCGTTCACTTGCTGGCTTGTGTTCGCCTGTGCTCTCTTGAGTGCGAGGTCGCTTAGTCCGAGCACGCCTAAGCGGCGAGCTTTGGCACTGCACCGTCGTGGCAGGAGAATGCCCAAAGAAGGCACGGAACATTTGGGCATAGTCGTGGTCATGCGACGCTGTTCATCCAAGCACCTTTGTTGCTGGGGGCAAGCCTCTAGATCCGCGAAGCCAGGCTCTGTACCTCGGGCCAGCAATGGGTCGGAGAGAATGCTTGGATGCGTGAGTGAAGGGGAGTGCCTTTGCCTCATTGCTCATCATGCTCATGATGCTCGCGATTGCAAGCATCCCAAGACCACATCGCAGAACTAGGACTGCGATGAGGCCCATTATTAGGATGTCATGACCGCTGGATCAGAGAGTTGGGTGAATGAACGGTCAATCCTGGGCTTCTGTCTCACGGTTTTCGAGGGTTAACCAATCACTCACGAATCCACCATATAATCCCGTGTCTTGTTCACCCGTGTCATCATGAACCTGTTAACCGCACGAATGAGGGAGATGAAAAGGGCCCCTTTAAAGGACTTATTATTTGGCCCTTTTCACCCTCATTCTCCCATCCTGGCTGTTACCTTCACGACTCAACAGATTAACTCCTAGAGACAGAGGTTAAGGTGTCATGAGATTGATGGTGTACGAAAGGAAAAGTAAAGGTTAACCGCTCTCTGTAACCAATCCACTAAGTTAGTACCAACCTGGGCTGTTGTTTCGTTCATAATATTCGCACGGCATTCATGCGTCTTTTCATTCCTTATAATCCCGTGTGAATATTATTCTCTTCACTTTATAATCCCGGGTGAATGAGTGATAGAAACCGGGGCGGTGAGGGCTATGGCCGTGCTGTGAATGCCTGAATATTCGACCAGAACCTTGCAGTAACAGGATGTCCGCTCCCATTTCAACATGCACGAGTAATCATGCGGAAGTGTATAAAACTTGTGCAGTGTTGAGTTTCTTGGCCACAACTCGTCACACGAGGCTTTCGCAGCTGTCGGTTGGGCTCAACAGCCGGAGCGAGGTACTCAATATAGCCATACCCAGCCAGTGTCACCGAAAGTGTGCACTTGGTCTGCAGAGCACTTGCCGAGCTTATCCCTTCGAATAGCAGAGAACAGAGGCTCTGCGACAGCCAACAGGGCACGAAGCCATCGCAGCTCGAAGAAGAGCTCAACGAGCAGGACAGTATCAAGATCATTGGAGATAGAGGTCGACAGAATTGCTGTACTGTCCTGCATGCACCGCTTCAGCAGATGGAGGATGCCGGGCCGGTATTTGTGGCCTTTCCACCTGGTATTCAGGCGAGGAGCCCTTGTAGACACTCGAAGCCCAGGCTTTGGGCCCTAGGCTCTTCCTGCCAGAGCCCGGGAGGGAATGATGCCCGTCGAAGTGGAAATCCCAGAAACCTGGCAGTCCCCATGTCAAAACCAGTACTGATTGCTTGGGTATTTCGGTAGGATCGAGGGCTTGCTGGGATGCGTGGGCTTTATATTAAGGTTTTTTGTCGCAGGTCCAAGACGGGCGCTGCAACCTGGCGGAGTACGAGACCACAAAGTCTCAGCCTCAATCGACTCAAGCGCACATAAACTTCAGCTCGAAATTCGCACAGCGGCCCCATAAAGCGCGGTAGCAACAGTGGTAGCAACAGTGGCAGGAAATGTGCTGCGACTGGACGCACCCAGGGCCGGGCCTTTCTCGTCTAGCCCGCAATTTTTTAGAGAGCGGCCGATGGTCAGTACTAATTAAGTCCTGGCAATTGGGATTCTTTGGTGCGTCAAGAGGCTTGCGCAAGCTGACATTTGCTTACTGTTTGCATTCTGCTGCGCACCCGCTGCTCTGTTTATGTTCTTGTGTGTGTGATGTACTGAAGACCTGTGTGTTGCATACTTTCGCTCAGCCGTCACTTTCCACTTAGCACCACATAGTTTTCACCGCTGACTGATTTAAATCTTGTTTGTATCGAGCTCTTGCTTTGCCGTGGAATAAGGACTGTCAACGTGAAAATGCGCTGGCGGGGCCGACCCTTGGCCGAGGTGCGTGGGGAACTCTGGGTTGGAGAACACTCAGATACTCTAGCCACGCCCTTCTCGGGCAGCATGAAACATAAACCCCTTGTGGTTCCCAGCTGGTCGCATGGGGTGTTGGGTCTGGGGCCTGTGAACCTTCCGGTGACTCTCTGAGATGATGGGGACATGTGGGGACAGCATCCTTCGTCAGCGCAGCCTCCCGGATGTTGGCAACCCCTTTCCCCCTTCCCCCCTCCCTCCCCTTCCCCCCCCGGCACCATTTTCTTTGAAAGGGAAGGTCTCTTGCCCAAAGTATTGGCAACTGGTTGTTGAGCCAGCATCTTGACCGAAGTTGAAATTTGTGGACAGTTCGTTTGCGGTGAGCATAGCTGTTGGACACAGTGGGTTCCGACAGCCCACCACTTCCACTGACATTCGTTGACAACTGACAGGTCATGCTAGAGGAGTTCGGCTTGAGTGCAGACTATGCCCGCGCCTTCATCGAGGCTGAACTTTCCCAGCACCTGAACAGAGGAGTTTGCTGCAGGAAATGGGCAACCAGTTTAAGCTCTCTTCAATTCTCCATTGAGTCTTCATGGCCCCAACCCCCCCCCCCTTTGCTGGCACCATGCTCCCAGGTTCGGACCGCAGCAGCTGAGGGCCGCCTCCGTGTAGGCGGCCACCCAGCAGAACCAGAACTCATCCTCGCCAGGGCCCCTATAATCCCGCGTATCGCTCCCAGACACGACAATTCCAGAGTTTTGAACTTGCAATTGGGGGGGGGGGGGGGCAGTATTTCGTGTTTTTGATTGTCTCGGGGGCTTCAAGGTTATTAAGGTTGAATCAGCGTTGAGACTTTGGAGCGCGCGCGCCTTTGGGCATCACGACATCACGACGCCGTGAGTCTGTCTATTGTGATTCTGGCCCTATATGCAAAAACAAAATATATATATATATATATATACACTTATTTGTTGATGTATGTTTTTATGTTGCAACACATAAGGAGAACGGCGATGTGGTGACTCACACCTACATGATGAAGGCCTGTCTCGGGCGTAGACTTAAGTCGACATCACGGCTTTGTCATTTGGCTTGCTGAGACCGTTTTATACTGGTTCGCCAAGAGTGCACAGAAGCTTGGTACGAGGACTTGTGAGTCGAGGTTTGCGTAGGGAGATCGCAACGGAACAACCTCACCTAGACATGGCAATGCCAAGCACGCTCCAGACACAGAAGCAGGAGTGGCTATCAAGCCTGCCTTGCAAGATGTGGCCAACTGAACGCATGTACTGCACTTAATTAAGAAGTGCCGACGCACTGAACAATACAATGCACCAGCGAACAAGAGGTGGGGGGGGGGTGTACGCATCGAAGCCCGGAATTGAAGCATCACTCCGAGAATGGTTTCACGACACAGCTGTATACTGTATACGCTGCTGAGCCACAGTTTTGGTAGCCTCCACGTCCGCCTCCGACCCTGCAGACACAGTAGCTCGCAGAGAGTCGGGGTTACAGTGGCAATACTCGAAGTTGCAGAGTCCACTCTTAATTGCGTTCCACCTCACTTTCTTGGAGCCCCTCGAAGCACAAGCTGGTCTTTTCTGCGCCCGCTGTTCGTGTTAGGTTGCGTCCCTTTGATTTCTACAGATCGTCGGTTCCTTGTGGTTCCTTCCTAAGTTCAAGATCACGAGGAGAGATGTTAGAACAAAGTTCAGGCGAGGCCTCGGGGTGGAGTTTCCTTGTTCGCTCCTTTGGTCATCCTAAACCTAGAGAGGAGTTCAACCCAAAGCCTGAACCCATGGCTTCACCCCTCACGCCAGGAGCCCTCCATCCCATCGGAGGCCGTAGAGGTGCTGGCGGAGAACGCTTCAGCAGCTGGCCCAGATTTCCTCAGTTCAGAACTCTGGAAGCAGGGTCTTTTGGGAGAGCGTTTCAGATTCAGATGCGCTGTGCTGTATAATGGTTGGGGGCGTTATCAAGTTGGAACCGCTGAAAAGCTTCAGGGTATCAAGCCACCAGAGTATTTCAAAGCCTCAGTAGCAGCGAAAAAGGTTCTCGTGGTGAGGAAGCCTGCGGGACTACCTTGCCACCCGCAGGCGGGGACAACTGGCACCCTCACTGCCTGTCAAAGCCAATTGCAGTAGTCATTAGCAATCATTAGCAATGATGGTATGGTACGAGGGAGTTTACAAGAAGGGGGAAACTTCTGTGCCATCTTGTCTTGGCAGGGCAGGTACCAGCGCTGCTCCCTGACAGAGATCTTGCGGGTGTCTCATTTGAAGGACAGACCTTTCTTCTCAATGAAGTGCCCAATGTGGCAGGTATTGCGTTTCGAGGTTGCCGCGTTCACCCGGATTCACATTGAGGTCAGTGTAAAATCGCTTCATGTGTTAAAGACTTGTTGAACACTCTCATGAAAGACTCTTTTTACTACAAGCCAAAGCTTCTGCAAAGAATCAATCTTGCGGGCTTGATTAATCAGGGACCCGCTCCCACGCGCACTTGGTAGTCCAACATCGACCTCTCCATCGAGTGTTCTAGGCAGGGTAAGGGGTGTAACGGAAACCAAAAGGGAGTGTAACGGAAACCAACCCAAAAACATAGCAGAAATCAAACAAAAATGCAACGGAAACTACGCCCAAATACCTGGAAACAATACGCAGGTGTAACGGAAACCAGACAGACCTGCGACGGAAACACAAAAGAGATGTAACAGAAACCACAGAAAACTAAACCCAAAACCCTAAACCCAAAACCCCTCAACCCTCAACACGGAAAGCTAAACTCGAAACCCTAGACCCTGCACCCCTCAACCCTCATCCCCAATGAGGTCTGGGTACCCCAATCCTTTCTTCGCCTTTCATTTCTCTGTTTGGGCAGTTGGTTTCTGTTACATCCCGCAGTTGTTTCCGTAATGGTCCCAGGTTGGTTTCGGTTACGCCCTCCTGTTGTTTCTGTTTCGGTTTGGGGCAGATAGTTTCCGTTACAATCCGGCAGCTTCCGTAACAGACTTTACTCGTTCTAGGCATCGTAGAATAAAGTGCCCTTGCCGGTGCTTGGTGAGGGGGAGCCGTGCTGGGTGGTTTGTGTAGACCCGGTGGGAGTGTACAGAAGACACTACGGTCCCACATTTCTTGTTGAGCGGGCATTCCATGGCATCAGTGGATCTTCCCGGTCCATGAGAATGCACCCGTAGGTCGCTGATGTTGGTGGATTTGGTCCGTGGGCTTAAAGACATAGATCTTGCCCGCTGACCCATGACCCGCCTGCCCGAAGGACCCTGCGGGCTACTTGCACCCTGTGAATCGCTTAGACAGGCAGACGTCAGGCTCGTGTCGGCCATGTTGGCAAGCTGGCGTTCATAGTGTGCTGTGCAAAAGTTCTCTTGCCGGAGATGCTCCTTGCACCTGGTGAGCATGGGTGTAATCAGTGACCTTCCTAGCGAGCAATCGTCAGAACCTAGGCCCGTGTTGGCTATCAGTGTCCAGTCTCTGTAGATTTTGTTTGAGTGCGAGAGAGAGAGGCGTCGTGCTCCTGGCAAAGACGCGAAAGGCTTACATGGCCGGGCACTTACAAGTCCGGCCTCTACTGCGCCTCCACGGTTTCGGTTTAGGCTCTGGGAGAGAACGCCCAAGAATGGAATCGAACGGGCTGAGGATCCCCACCATAGTACTTCAATATGGTACTTTGAAAGTGTGCCTGTCGACGTGCTTCACGTTTTGAACGCGGACGGCGGACGAGTCCGAAGACTTGCCCCCTCAAATCCCGCGCCTAGCGGGATTTTACGAGGCCCTCGCCCAGGAGCATGGCGCTGGCTTGCGGAAGGCGCCATGGCGCCACAGCGCCTCACTTCGGCACGGGGGGCTTTCGAGCGAGCCACGGATATGAGCTGGTCGATGTTTGAGCCATATAGGCTATAGGCCGGTGTGTGTTGACGTGTAAGTTGGAAGGACGTGGCTGCGTACATCAAGACTATGGAAAATGCTTATGCAACATGCATACAATCGTTTGTTGTATGCATTATGGATTGTTGTGTCCCTAGTATTTGTTTTGGCGCACATGCATGCCCACTCGTATGCGTGCATGTTGCCATAACCCCTTGTCCTCTCTCCACTCATGGTTAACGCCATACCAAAGTCTGGTGGATCCATGTTGAGCCTCGGGTCTAAAGCAGCAGATGTCGCAGAAAGCGTCTCTGCGGTGGCAACCCTGCGAACCTTTGCGTCCTCACTGCCTCAAGTCATGCCTCAAAAGCTGAGAACAGCCTCCACTATTGATCTTCATGCCCAATTTTTGAAAATCCCATTGGCATCAAAGGCGCGGGAACCACAATCATTTCATCCCAGCCATCTTTCAACGCAAGCCCATGTAAAATATGCCCCGATCCATCAACTCGATTCCTCGAAACCGCCAGCTCTACCTTGCGGGCGTTTGCGGCACCTTTGATGCTGCAGCCGCAGCAGAACGCTGGCCGCTCCCTGGTTTGTTTCGGAGCATGTTTGGGAGTTGCCATGTCTTGGCTGTTTAGATGTCGCTTGGATTGTGGCTGTGCTTAGGGGTTAGGGTTTAGGGTTTAGGGTTGCCGGGTTGAGGGTTTAGGGTGACTTTTGCCAGCCTAGATTGTCTTTGGGTCCCAGGCAGTGGATACTACGCCGTGACACTACGGAGGGCGACGAAGAGGCGGCCTGGCTTTGTGTGGCTCGCACCCTTCGAGGCTCCTTGTGGCACACGCTTTTTTCCTTCCCCCCCCCCTCTTTGCCCACACTATAATTAATCGTATGCAGAATATGTGTTCGCACATGGGCCCTCCGAGTTTGCACGACCTTGGGATGTTTTTTTCAATTTTTTGTAGTCCTATGGGCTTTCGCAGGGAATCTCCCGGCCCTGCAGGTGGTCTGCCGCCTACCCCTACGGGTGGAGAAGCATCGCCCCAACCAACCGTTGACGGTGGTGGTGGACACCACAGGCCAGACACGGGGCTGATGCGCCTTGTGAAGCTTGGCATATGGGAAGGGATGCCCAGACTGTTTCCTTCCTGATTCCGAATCTGGAGCCCCCGACGGTCAAAGCAGGAGCCGGGAAGAGCGCTGAGACCACCATACGGCGCCGAAACGGAAGCCTCCTCTGTCGCTTAGAAACGGGGCCGGGTGGCCCAAGACAAGCTTTCGGACGGCTTCAGACTTTCAAGTTCAGGCCTTGAGGAGTTCGGATTTCGTTTTGGCGAAGGGGTTTTGGTCACCTTTGCCCGATTTGCCTTGCCTGATGGGCAACCCAACCCTTGCGGCCTTGATTCGCCCCATCGCAGCGGTGAGCTCCCAATGTTCTGCATGTCACAGAGGCGAACCCACCAGATCCGCGTCCACCTTGCAGCAATGGGTCGGGGACCGGAAGTGTTCATCTACGTTCTTCTGTGCTCGTTGCTGACTCACATGCTACATCATGCTACGCTGTAATGGATTGCCCAGCTCGTGGCTGCGGGTACCGATGGACCCCATGTTGCAAGAGCGCTTAATTCGCGCGGCACACTGTCAGATGAGGAGCAAAGCTGGGCACTCAACAGGGTAGATCTAGTGTCTCCAGTGCATTCGCATCGAAGAAAGAATTAATGTATCTGTTTCTGATTTTTAAGGTATCCTCTCAGCCCCCCCCCCCCCACAAATACGGAAGCTTCTACGCATGTCCACCCGTGTTGAGCCCGCTTTGGCCCAGGATTTCCGATTGTTGGGGACCCCGTTTATGGCACTGCTGAGCCGAACAGTGAGGACTGGAGGCACTATTTTAGATTTGCAGAGTGAGTATTGTGTTTCCCCAACCTGAAAAAACATGGGGGCTGCAGGGAGAGTCATGCATTCAGGTGTGTGTTCCTTGTCTGTGCCGGCAGCATTTCGGAATATTCCGTGGACACTGCTCATCAGATGTCCACATAAAATGGGCAGTTTAGGCTATTCGTGTCATCTGCAAGAGGGATCCAACTACTAGTTGACCCTTCGTTGTCGTTGTTATTTTAAGTTTTCCCCCTCCTCTGTTTCTCGCACAGCTGGTAGGACACCCTCTGCTGCTGATAATCAAGCCAAGCCCTGGACCATCGCGTTGAGTTGCTTCGATTGACAGCTGGCAACTGCTGTATCTGGATTCGTGCAGGATGCGATGCATCTCCATGCTGCAGTGTACTCCCTGAGAGTCGACGGAAGCCTGGATGCTGGAAAGGCGGCTTGGAAGGTGTAAGAATGGGCTGAAGATTGCAAGTGATGTCATGGTCTGTGCAGGAGCCAATCAAGGGATCCAAACGTACCGTAAGGTTAAGGGATTTGTGGTGAGATTTGTCTTGTTTCGGCCTGCCACGGCCTTAGCTGTAGTAAAGCGTCATGATGGCTCTCCTGAGAAGTTCTGAGAAGTTCAGGGCCGGCGGTAGATAGACGTTGGCAGGGTGAAACTGTAAACGGCAGTAGACGCTTCAAACCTCTCGTGCAACCTGGTTCGGGCAGGCAAGGGCAAGGCATCCGAAACAATCTTCACACAACTTGCCACACAGCCTTTCAGTACGTGTAAGCAGCACCCCTTGCCAGTACAACTCCAGATTTCATCTGGGATTAAGTGCTCCAGGATCACGCATTCGCTCTTCGGATCAATGTGAAGTCGGTCCCAGTTTGAAAGAAGAAGCTTTGTGAATGCTCGCTGCGTATTTAGAGCCCCTAGGCCTGCCAGTCAAGCACCGATTTCGACAAGGAATAATGTTACTTCATCACATATAATGAAATACTATGTAGTTTTAAACTCATGAATTCACAACAAAGATATTTGAATGTAAACAGTCAGTTCAATATTTGTGAAGTGTTCAATGTGCATACAATTATCAATGAATGTCTAAAGAATGATGATTGTGCGAGTACCGGGGAGGCTTTTAATCACGCTCTGGGAATTGGTGCAACTACGACATCAAAAATTACTTGGTCAGCATTGCAGTAGACCTTGTAAAAAAAAAAAAAACAATCCAGTATACGTGCGAGGCCCTCGTGGATTTGCTTCCGAGACCCCGGACGGATGGCGCAGAAGGCTGAGTTGGGGGGCCTTCGAAGCAGTCGGTTGAGGGTTGTTTCTAGGCTCTGGGTTTGCAGCAGGTCCTACGTCTTGAGGTCTTAGCACAGTATTTGTTGGTCATGAGCGCGCTTAGCGTGAGTGTCTTTTCGGGTGTGTGCAGTGTATTTTCGAGCATGGAGGAAGCTGAGGGTCTCGCAGCCGTGTTCGTTCTCGGCTCTGCAGAGAATGTCATAAATTAACGTAGTTGAGCTGAGCGCGCTGGCAATTTGGAGCAGTACTCGGGGGCAATGCATCGCTTGGTTTTGGCTGCCTTGCTGGCCTCGGCCCAGGCGGCCCTAAAGTCCTTGCGCGAAAGCCGCGAAAGCCTGCACGTTGCTACAGCAGGCCCTGCCAGCCCCTGCCAGTGTCAATCAGACACTTCTGCTATACCCAGGCCGACTCGTACAAAGCCGAGGTGCATCTTCATTGATCTGGGAGCTGCAGATGGAAACAGTTACAATGCCTTCCTTCGCGGGGAGTATGGCAACCTCGCTGATTGCCCCAACCAGGAGTATGAGGCGTATTTGGTGGAGGCAAACCCGCACTTCCAGCAGGAGCTCAACAACAAGGCTGCCAAGTCGGTTCCTGGTAAGGACCCGGACCTACTAGGAATAGCAGAATTTTGCATAGCCACGTGAGCTCAGTACTTTGGGCACTCCACCCCCAATCCCAAACCCCGAAACATGGCTTCCTTGGTGTTTGAAGGAGATCTACCCCATGATGAACGGCGCTTGGATGTGCGAGGCGGACACCACCTTCCATGTCGTAGGCAAAACATCGGTACCATGGCCGATATGAGAGTCACTCTAAGGAAGGTTTATGCAAGAAACAAAAACACAAATATAAGCGAGTTAATCAATAAATGAAAAGTAGGTGCTTGGACTTAATGCGTGCAGCATGCTCACCCCCCCCCCCCCCACACACAGACATACATTCATGCATGCATGTGCACACATACATACATACGAGCATGCATAGTTAGGTAGACATGTAGATGTTTACCTGCTTCGATTCGGTCTTTGCTTTAGCAGGCAGATGTGTTCACATTACATCTGCGGTATCCATAGAGGGTTGTTCCTTCTTTCCAAGCTGATTGCACGACATAGCAGAGAGCTTTCACAAAGTATGAACAGCGGCTTCATGCAATTAAGTGCGTTGGTTTGCTAGAGTACCTGCTTGCATAATCACAAAGTTCACAAGACACCCGGACCCTCATGTGGGCCGTATAAATCTCACAGAAAGAGGTGCCTGTAGGACTGCAACGTGACTGAGGCTGCATCATCTCTGGCTCCGCAGGGCAACGCTGAGGATGTGCGAGTGCATCTGATAAATGTCGTTTCCTTGATCAAATCGAAGACCATTCCCGGAGACAAAGTCCTGCTAAAGGTGGACATCGAGGGCGCCGAGTTTGATCTGATTCCTTGCCTGGCGCGTGCAGATGTATTAGGCCCTCACATAACTGCATTTGTGGAGGAGCACTACTTCCTCGGTGGTGTCAAGCGGAGTCTCACAGGAGTCACCGATGAGGAATACAAGGCAGCCAAGAAAATGATGACGTCCAAGGGTGTGAAGATGCCTCACTACTCCTCGATCACCCTCCTCGCAGGCGCCTAAGCTCGTAACCAGTCTCCAGAAGCGCGCTGCTCCCGCTGAAAAAGCTGGAGGTTATCGCGATTGAGCTGGCGCATGGCCATGTGACAGCATGACAGCACGTTTGTGCGCCCATGTTACCCCTGTCGCTTCCCGGTTGGCTATGTTGGCCATGTGGTCTAGTTGGGTTTCGGCTCGTTCTGCCCATGGAGGTTTCTCTTTTCTTTTCGGCGTTTCGTGCTAGTCAGAATCTAGTCTGGACTCTCCTGTATCTTTCCTTGTAGGCAAGGGGAGATGGGAGGGGCCCCAATGCGCCAATGCCCATACCAACCCCGCAACTCGAACCTCTAAACCTGGAACCCTCAGAAGCTCGGGCAGGTTGCGGGGTTTCGGGGCAGAGCTTGGGTCTGGTTATCCCTTCGCTTGAGCACTTTCGAGGTTTGAGACAGCCTCTCCCTTCGCCTGAGGCTGCGCGATTTTTTCGTTCAGACTCGAAAAACAGAAAGACCACAGGACGAAAGGATCTCCTCTTGGCACCTGGAGCTCCCCTCATGCCCCTGAAACATGCTCTGAACCTTGTAAACTGAAACCACGAATTGAAACCAGCCACATCCCTCTGCTATAAAAAACAAGCCTGCGCCGTATCTGGAGGCATTTGCAATCTCTGGGAAGACGGCCAAGCAGATGCTGTGACTTACACCTGCGCAGACCCGCCATGGGTGAGCATCGAGAAATCCGGCGTGACCTCGGGTGTGTGGAATGTCTTTGAAATCTAATCTGGTATGTCAGGGCGAATGTTTTTGACCCGAGCACCAGGCCTTGTTGGGTTTCAGGATGTGTCAGTGTATTAACTATAAATCTTAGTGTAATTAGATACCTGCTATGAATGAGCCAAGTGCATCACAGGCCCGGACGTTATGGCCACTGTTCTTGGATGTTCTTGGTATTTGCCATGCTGCCGACCTGAATCAGCTGAAAGACACACTATCTGGTCACTATCCAAGACAGTCATCAGAACAAGCAGAAGCTACCTAAACATGTAGGCTGTCATGCACAAGATTAAACGGCATTTAGAGAGCGATCTCGTGCACCCAAAGTGGAATCCGACTCGACCCCGAAGTCAGCTTGGTGTGGTTTACCTTTTGTTCTCGATTACGGTAGAGTCGTTTGGGATCTCCTGTCATGGCGCTGAGCATGCAACCTTCCAACCCCACCAGGGCCTCTGTGTGCAGCTCAGAGCCTGCCTGTTAGCTTGCAGTGTGTTACAGAGTCTACAGAGGACTCAGTGACACCAGCATGACATGGCTGTTGAACTGTCGAACAGGGCCCGCAAGCTTTCAATTTGCTTGGAAAAGCTTGCAGCACGGTTCCTAGGCCCAAAGAAAAGGGTCCATAAAAAAACATAAGCAGGGACCCTGATTTGGCGCTCCATGTTCGGGATAATGATGTTGCGTGCTGCAGGCCCCTGCCGCGCGGCTCCTTTACCACTCCAGGCCCCGCTTTGGGCTTCCGCAGCTGGGCTGACCGTTTCAGGTCTCTACTCCGGCATGAGCTCTATCGTTTTAGGAAAGTTTAGGGTGCCAAAACAATAATGGTGCACTCTCTTTAGTATCTAGGCCCCCCCCCCCCAAACATTGCGGGGGTTTTGCTCACCCTCTATAAACGGGAACGGGGTCTGGTGTAGTGATGGTGGTGGTGGTGGTACTGGTACTGGTTGGTAGTGGTAGTAGTGGTGACAGTGGTAGTAGTAGTAGTAGTAGTAGTAGTAGTAGTAGTAGTAGTAGTAGTAGTAGTAGTAGTAGTAGTAGTAGTAGTAGTAGTAGTAGTAGTAGTAGTAGTAGTAGTAACTAAGAATAATAGACCTGACGACTTTTGATAACACAACCCTTTTTCCCCAAATCAGGATCCCCGGGCCACGAACTTCGCATAATCGCGGGTAACCAAGCCTTCAGGAGCACAAAGCTGTCAGGAGAAGCAACCTTTGCCACCTCCTCAAACCGGTGCCCTTGGATTACACGGCATTGTGGTTAGGGTCTCAGAAGGATCCAGGCTGAAGGGTCGTCAGAGCACTTCATGGTGCACATCTCAAGGGACCCCCTCAAGAAGCCCGTTGCATCTCGAAGGACGGAGCCGCACTCGGCGGGATTCTCCAACACCTCCCATCGGGCCCGCGCGCTCACAACCTGTGCGAGCCCATGTAAATATGTGCATAGGAAGACATTCACTTACATGATTATGATCTTGCATGTATACATGCATGTGCGCATACAGCATACATGTATAGGTACATACATATTTACACATATGCTGCATGCGTACAGGTATACATATACTCAGAAGTACCATACAGACATACGTACATGCAACATACCATCGTGTATATATATATATACATACGTGCACTGGGCTTTTGGCTAGTGCCTGTTGTTCTGGGTTGTACTATCGTCACATTTCGGATGGAGTGCGGGCCAGGGACACCCTGAACGGTCGGCACTGCCTCATCGAAATCCAGGTTGCCTCCACCGCACCTTCTGAGCAAACATGCCTGCAAGCCTTCAGTTCAATGGTGCAGTATGCAATGCTTCCTCGCCCGAATCAAGCCCTTGAAGACCCTCAGACCCTAAAGTGGCATCCGAACTCAAGAAACCTCAACTCGTGCACCTTACCCCACCCTGAATCATCCAACTTCAATCAGAATGCCATATACCCCTGTACACCCTGAGCCCTAATGGGATCGAACATGAAGCCAAACTGAACTTGAGTGTTACCTAACCTAAGCCTCGAAGAGGCGGCCGTGGCCTCAGCCGCTCTCCTGGCGGCCGGTCACTTGGGGCGAAGGCAGCGGCGCGGAGGCAGGATGCTGCAGGGCTTAGGATGTTTAGGATTTGGGTCAGAGTCCGTTTTCCTGGGTGGGTCCAGCAGACGTAGCGACCTTGCATTCGCGCAACCGACCTAGCACTGCAGGCTCCAAAGCCCTACTTGAGACCTAACGTGTGACTATTCTGGCTGTGTGCTTTGCTTGAGGCTTCTGACATGTGGCGGCTTTTCGAAAAGTAGATAATGGACGCAATGGAGAGACTCGGACATTGCTGGATCTTAAGCCCTGGTGAGGTTGAGGGCTTGGGTTGAAAACGGCCCTTTTGCAAACCGGGGCTCCTTCCTTAGGGCCCTTCCTCCTCCTCGCAAATCTTTGCAATTCAGGGGGCCCACGTGTCAGGTGTCAAAGCACTGAAGACACGCATCCAGCAGTTCGATGGTGCTCAGGCACGAGTAGGTGTTCGAGAGTTCCTTGTCGCTCTACTGTTGAACGATACGTGCGCCGGGGGTGTGCGCAGTTTGCATGTATTCTTGCATCTGTCAGTGAGTCAGCTGTGTGTTTGTGTTTGTCCTTGTCTGTGTCTGCGTCTGTATGTTTGGGGTGTTTGGGTGTCCGTGTCTGTCCGTCTGCCTATCTGTCTGTGTACAAGCTTTCAGCGGATGGGTCTTGAAAGGACCAGAAATGACAGGTTTCAAGCTGCTTTCGAAGTGCAGAACAAACAGAGTCCAAAATGGCAGCCTGCTCCATAACGACTTTTGCAACCAGTAGATGGAACCTCAGACCTGTTAAAGCTCTTGATCCAAGGACAATGTGGCATCGTAAGATCCAGAGAGCTGTCGAAACCCTGCACTTAGTATGTACACGTAGAGACACTGAGCAGCCATAGTTGTACTTACACTGCAACCTGGCTCCCACCATGTCGAAACGCCAGCCCAATCGGGCAAATGCAGCCGAGAAGCGCCGGCGGGAGGCTCCCACCAAAACCGAGGGGGACGTATCCATGCCTGCTGTCGCGGAGGCTGAGCACACTCAGACGACACAGCTGACCACCGAGACGGTGCTCGAAACCTACGATGTACAGATGGAGGGCGCCAACTGCGTGCACGAATGCGTTCGACCGGCGGAGCTCGCTGGACAGGGCAAGGCGCCACCGCCGGTCACACCGGCCAAGACCTACGAGTTTAAACTCGACGTCTTCCAGCAGGAGGCGGTGAACTGCCTCGAGAACAAGGAATCTGTTATGGTTGCCGCGCATACCTCTGCCGGCAAGACCGTTGTGGCAGAATATGCCATTGCAATGGCACTGCGGGACAAGCAGAGAATCATCTACACGTCGCCGATCAAGGCCCTGAGCAATCAGAAGTACCGAGATCTGCAGGATGAGTTCAAGGATGTCGGCCTCATGACAGGGGATGTCACGATTAACCCTCATGCCTCTTGCATGATCATGACGACGGAGATTCTTCGGTCCATGTTGTATCGAGGTTCCGACGTCTCTCGAGAAATGGCATGGGTGGTATTCGACGAGGTCCACTACATGCGAGACAGAGATAGAGGGGTTGTTTGGGAGGAAGCCATGATCTTGCTTCCTGATTCCGTTCGGCTGGTTTTCCTGTCCGCAACCATTCCCAATGCCCGTGAATTTGCTGAGTGGATCTGTCGAATCAAACACCAGCCCTGCCACGTGATCTACACAGACAAGAGGCCAGTGCCACTGCAGCACTATCTGTTCCCTTCTGGTGGCGACGGGGTGTACATGGTGGTGGATGAGAAGCTTGGCTCTCTTGAAAGCCAATAACATGCAACTTTGTTCACGGTGTCGTAGACACGCGGTCCTTGTGTACTGAATGTGTCTTCCTTTTTGCGACCCAATCATTCTCCAAGCCTTACAAGCCTGAGAGCCAACTAACAGCGCAGAAGCTCCAGAGCTGTAAGCATGAGCCCGAAGGAAAGGTCAGTTCCGGGAGGACAACTTCCACAAGGCGGTCGGAGCCCTTCAGCAGGCGACCGAGGCCCAAAATGTGGAGACCAAGAAGCAGCCGAGCTGTTTTTGGCAATGAAGTTTCTGCATCTTTCTGCCGAGCCTGCCGAAAAGTAGTGTTGGGATGTTTTCAAGTCAATGAGCCAGCCCCTGAGCCCTCCGAAGCCTGAAGACAACATGAACCAAAAGCAGCGAACTGTCTGCAACTCCTAAGCCCAAGGAAGCTGCAGAAGAGGGGGAAGTCCAACCTCGGTGACCTGGAGAAGCACCCGGCTCAGCGGGGGCATGTTTCGCTATTTGCGGGTCTATGGGGGGGTGAGGGGGGGGGGGGGGGGCTCGAAGAAGGGGGAGGGCGTTGATCAGGGTTTCGGGGTTTCCGAGCTGGAGATTTGTCTGGATAGCACTGTGGGGTAAGGTTAGTCGGAGTAGTGTGGATTTGCTTCAGCCTTTGAACTTCTAAAAGTCTCGGGCTGGTTGTCGGGATGTTGGGGTCGGGCTTGTCAGCCCACAGCTCTCACAAAGTCAAGGCCTAAAGCCCCAATTGGCACCAGACCCTTCGAAGCTTGCAGCCTGTGTTTAGTGTGTTTTCAAGATGCCTCTCCAGGATCGTCCGCATGTGCAGCGACCGAGGGTACCTGCCTCTGATTGTGCTCCCTGTCCTACAATGTGGGAGAGATGGGCTGGGGCATCGCCTTGATGCAACCGCAGTTTTTCATGGTCTTAGTTGCTCCGGTGCTGGCCTTTACACTTTGCTCGGGTGGTTCCCATATTCACATGCTGTCGGGCTTCTCTGCAGAAAAGGCTCGTTCAAAGCTCCAATGGCCGGGCAAAAAGGCGGAAAAAGACGCAAGCATCGGGAAAGGGCCGAATGTGAAGCCATGCTTGGATGGTCTACTGTTTCCCTAAACCTGCATCTCCTTCATGACTCCGAGACTCAATGTAGCGGCACCTGTAGGAGGTGCAACTTGCAGAACATATGTAATACTGCTGCAGGTCCGGAACGGCAGACTAGGTATCTTCACGGACATCTGGGTTGGAAGCTTGACGCAGGTCTTCAGGTCTTGGAAGGCCGGAGAAAGAAACTCGAAGTATCACAACGTGCGCTCCAGGAGTCCACATCACAGACAGGCCCCCATTGACTCCACATTCAGCATTTGTAAGCCACTTTTATGCCTTCAAGGCTTTCTTGAATGGTGGGCCAGTTCATGGTCACTACTAGACTAGAACACCAAAGCTCACGGAGGTGTGTGGGCTTTGTAGATTTTGGGTCACCGACTTGGTACACAGAAAACACGTCCTCACAACCCTGAGCCCCATATGCCAGAACAAGAAGCCGAATTCTGGAGCTGAGGTTCTCGTTCAGCCGGAAGGAGTGCGAGGCCAATGCTGTCGCCCTGAAGCGGATGGACGTCACTGACGACGACGAGAAGAAGCTCATCGATGAAGTCCAATCCTCAAACTGTTGGGCCGAATGTCCAGTCGGTGGGGATTGGAGACGGATGTTGAGTTCCACAAAGTCCCCTGCCCTTCCGCCTCCCCCCCCCCGCTCTCCCCCCCCCCACCCCTCCTCTTAGCTAAGGCTGTAAGGGTCCTTATGAACGCGAGTTCATGCAAAGGCTGCTACATTGAACGGATGGAGGGGAGGGTAGACAGCAGAGAGCTCCAGAAAGTCCTTGAACTTGCAAAGACTGAGACTGTTTTTCAGGGGCGTGCTATGTAAACCACCTCCCGCGTGCCTTCACCTGAGCCATAGCTTGTCAGGTGTTCAACAACGCCATCATGACCCTGGGTGATGAGGACAGGGAGCTTCCTCAGGCAGGGTGGATGGTCAGTTCTTGAACAGTCCAGAAGTGAGAGCAGGAGAAGTGTATCACTGATGTGCCACGATATGCCATGGGTCATGAAACTGACCAAGACTTCAATCTTCCAACCTTCCTTTCTTCAATGCTGGACCCTTCTTTCAGATCCACACCTCAGTCTGTATGTGTTGAACCTTTCTGCTACAGTGTCTTTCTCAATCTGCCTTTCCTCCGCTCCCTTCAGGCCATATAATTTTAAGCCTGCCCGAGCTACGTGAATCTGCAAGCCGCTCCTGTCATTGAATGCTGCTGAACCCAATTGCTGGTGTCCCATGTCAACGGCTGCCACGCTCTCAGGTACAGAGCATGCTGCCTCTGCTCCGAAGGGGGTTGGGCATCCATCACGGCGGCCTACTCCCCATGCCCCTCGGGTCCCAATCCTGCTGAGCATGTCGAGGCTTCCCCCCAAGTACATTGGTAGCCTGTCGGCCTCCAAAGCCTGAACCTCCTGAACGCTAGACACCCCGGGCCTAGCTGGATCCCAACGAAGGATGCCTTTTTGAGATCGTTTTCGGGTTTGTGCTGCCAATGATTCCGGACCTATGTGTAGATACACATGCTTTACATGTACAAGATGTACATGTACACAAGGTTATGGTTGCAGAAGGCTTGAATGGTGTATGAGGTTTGGGAGTATGGGTTGTGATGTTTTTGACAGATTGCAGAGCCTGCCACACGGGCAAGGCGTTACGACGCCAAGATTTACGGGGGGCGTCGGTGCATCGACCAAGTATCATGTTCAGCGCGTGTGTTTGTTTCAACCGTTGTTGCGCCACAAGGCTCAAGGAGGTGGTGGAAATCCTCTTCCAGGCGCTGGGAGCAAGAGTTTCGCGGAATTGTGGACAACTCATCTTGCGCAAGCAACAAGCTCAGTGCATACGCGGTCATGAACCAGCTAAAAATTTGGGGCCAAAACAAACCCCGTGCAGGACGGTGCGCGCAGTCGCTTCAACCCCCTCGTACAATGCCCTTGGGGCACCACTCCCCGCACCAGGATGTTGTGGGTAATCGCTCGCCTGAAATCCTAAGTCCAACTAGGGTTGGAACCTTTCAGTCTCCCACTCGAACCTTGCTCGCCAGACGTGCGCTGACAAGCAGCACATGCCTGTTCAGGAATCCCTCATCAAAGTCCTGTTCTCCACGGAGACTTTCGCGATGGGCATCAACATGCCGGCCAAGACGGTGGTTTTCACCAACACACGTGCGCAGGGCATGCTTTCAACACAATTCCATGAGCACCTCTCAAACTCACAAGAGCGAAAGTTCTGTTGTTGTGCGTGGGCCTTGCATCTTGGCTGGGATGGGTGAGGGGAAAGGGACACGGATGCGGTCGGAACCTGCTTCAGCTGTGTGTCACGTTTGACTGGTTTGGTGTCCTGTTGCAGCACATGCTTCTCGGCTTCCAGCAGGAATTGCCCAGCGGAAGCCCACGTTTTTGATCCCTTAGCTGCAAGCCTAAGCCACCTTCTGCGAAAGTAGCCAAGTAGTAGTCCGGAGCTACGGAGAAGAGTCAAGGCATGCGCATCAGAGTATCTCCCGGCTTGGCCAGGGAAATGGGATGGTCTCGAGTATCGCATCCTGCACGCGGGCGAGTACATTCAGATGAGCTCCAACGGACATGGCCATAGTATTCGATACATTTTTCAGTACTTGTGTTTGTGCTTGGTACGATAAGGCTCCGAATGAGACTCCAGCACAGAGCGATTGTTCATGGTTGTCGGGTCTGGCTATTGGTTGCCCCCGAAACCCTGTACTTTTACTACCCTCATGCCATCTCATAATCTTGCATCCATGGCAGGAGCAGCAAGGGAAACAACGGCTGTCAATGGGTTAATGGGTTGTCGTCCGAGCACAATTCCTAGTCGAAGTATGGCAGTATAGCATTGACTCCCAGCAACAACGGTAGTAATAGTTGTGATAAAGAAACCTAAAGCTTGAATATCCTCTGCTTGTTGATGATGGTTGGTTCACCCTGTTGGAGGTCTCAGAGAGATTCACGAAAGAGTACATTCTCGCACGATGCAGGCCGCCAACACCATAAGGACCATAAGCATACGAAACCTACAAAGCTCAATCCCAAGCCCTGATCCAAGGAGCGGCCGTGCCGGTCGGCGAGGGAAGGCCAGGTCGCAAATGTCGCAAGTCCTGTTGAAAACAACCATTGTAGCTCACGCAGCTGTAGCTGTTCGTGATTGCTGGGAGCGATCCATTCGACATCTTTTCCGTCGAAGAGACGCACAATGAGCAGTGACAGCATCACGGCAGTGGCACAGTTGCGGGGACTAGCAGCGGCAAAGAGACCACAGCTCTGCTCCACGTGGCATGACCAGCAAGCCGTTGAAAGGATGACCGTGGCTTGACCATCATCATGTTCGACGAGAAGGTGGAACCTGAGGTGGCGAAGGAGAGGTTGGAAGATGTTGGAAGTATGACGTGCTGGAATATCAACTTTGAGGGCATGTTGACAGAGTCGGCCCCAGGTGCATGCTTGACTGTATGTGAACTGCCAGGTGCTTGCCCCATGCCACGCCGAAGTCGATTTTCACAGCATTCAGAGGTACTGCAGGATCCGAGTTGAGCATTCGACTGTTGGAGGAGATGTTCCTGGGCCAGTCTGCAAAGATCTTCAGCGCCTTCCACCTTGGGTACAACATGTCACTGGGCTTCCCATGTTCTCTTGAAAGTGTGCTGCGCAGACCTTAAGCATCGGAGCTTAAGCCCCAAAACCCCAACACCTGAACCCAACTTAACATTAGGATTTAGGGTTTAGGGTTTAGGGACCCTGAGCCCTCAACCGCCCCAAAAGCCCCTCAGTCGCTAAATTCTCAACCCCAACATGCCGTTTCTTCACAGGCTCATCAACCTCCTTCGCCTGGAGGGAGCAGACCCAGTCACGTGGCCGGAAGCTCCGAAGTTCGGGGCTTGAGGGGGCTTAAGATTTTTGAAGCGGTTTTGGGGGCGTTGTTAGAGCTTTCGGGGATGTAGGGTTGCAACTTAAAAAAAAGGAGCTCAAAGGGTTTGGGAGGTTTGATGGGCTCTGGATGTTCCTTCAGGCTTCGGTCTTTTGTTGTTTTTATTTTTTTGGTTGGGGGGGGGGGTGTGGTCCTAATCAATCCGATTTGGCGCTCCATGGGCCTTTGGAGTAAGCTTGACTTTTTGGATCTTCGGATTGGAAGTACTGGGGTTCATTCTGGGCTGGGATTTGACCTGCAAGAGGTCTCTGCGAGGGAGCTATGCGTGCTTAGGGCTTAGCTTTCAGCTTCTATGTTTTCGGGGCTCTGTGGTGGGTAATAGTCAAAAGGTGCCATGGTTTCAAGGCTGAATCTATGGTTTTGGTCGCGAAGAAATCTTGCAGCCAGCAAGAAGTATAAGTCTGAACCTGCTTAGGAGTCAGATCTCGAGACCGATAGCCGAGTGACTTGCAGTTTCTGTGCAAGAACTCGCGGGGCTCCCTGAGGACTACATGATCCAGCGGAGCTTCCACCAGTTTCAGAAGGACAAAGGTGCCAGGAGAGCAGAATGGTCTTCTCCTCCTTTGCACCCTTCGGCAGTTCAGTGCGGTCAAAGGTGCCTTGGAGCTTCAGAGCAAGAAGCAAGACTTGGAGACGGAGCTGCTTTGATGCACAGAGCTCCATCCATTTTTCTCGTGAGTCGCACATGTGTTCTACTGCACCCCACCTGACACATGTGAACGAGGGGGGGGGGGGGGGGGGGGGTGGAACTCGCCTGTGACGAGGGGGGGGGGGGGGGGGGGGGGGGGCATGCGAGAATCTAGAGTTTGGGGCCGAGATTCGCTCACAGAGGTCGGGGATTTGCATCTTGCCTCCTGTCATCCGGGCCCCACCCTTTCGAGATGTTCTGGGCAGCAACCAGGGCAGCTGTAACTGCTCTACCCGGCGACAATTAATTAGGACAAGTACTATGATAGACGAACCTGCTTTTACACCGGTTGGGTTGTGCTGAGTCCACGGCTGTCGCACAAGAGGCTTGGCAACCTCGAAGACATTCGTGCAGCTGTGATGGATGATGCAGTGTACTCCTTCAACGTGGACGAGGCAGAGTTTCGGTCGAACGCCCTGTGTGCCCAGCACAGGGGCTGGCGCAGGTTTGTCGAAGAACTGCAGCGGGCAAGAACGGGGAACTTCGTTTGCTTAGTCAAGCTCTCTTGTCCAACCCTGCAGCGGCGAGGCTGTCCAGGGCGTGTATAATGTGTCGCAAGAGTTTGTCACTGAAGCCACAATTCGAGTTGTTTGCCCCGCTGACTCTTCGCCACGATGGATGGACACCTGTTTTCGGAGTGCATGCTCTTGCTTCTCTTGCTTCAGTTTGCGCAGGCGATAGCAGACTACTACTACATCGACAAGCAGCTGAAAAAGAAGCAGGATGGTCCGCGCTCATTAGATTGTTAACTATTGATTGATGGTGACGACGCAGGTGTGTGAGTGTTCCTTCCGGCCGCTAGCTGCTGGCTTTGTTCAGGTTGGCATCAGCGATTTAAGCCTATGCTGAACATGCTGTGGTTCGGAAGTCAGAAACACAGCAGACGCAGAAGAGGACGAGAAACGGGAGATCATCGTCCGACCTGAGAACATCGCTCCCTTTCTCAACCCAGGGCGCTTGGCACCTTGGGCGGCGGTTTGGTGTTTTGTCGCGCTGACTTAGAGGGGTAGATCGTCGAAGATCTCTGGGTTTAGGGTTTGGGGCTTGGGGCTTGGGGTTTGGGGTTAAGGGTGGGGCTGGACCTCACTTCTTGCAGGTGTACATGCAGGAGGCTGACGCGGACTGGGGTTGGGGCATTCTCGTCAGTGCATCCAGGAAGAAGCTGACAGGCCGGGTTTGTCTCTCGAAGTTTCCCGAAGTTTGCAGGCTGCGCACGGTCCGCAGGAGTGCGGTTCATTACCTGTGAAGATCTTAAAGACCTGGTACTTCCAACAGATCCGACACTACCCATTTGAACATATGCCCGCCCGCACACAGGCGACAATAATGGCTCAGTGCTGGAGGCAGAGGAGTCGGAGCCACAGTGGCTTGGGCGACTCAAGGGGGTGTGATGCAGGCTTAGGCTGAAGGCGAGTAGGGCTTTCGATCCCGCCACATAGACTCGACGCTCTTCGGGAACCGTGCTCATCAAGTGCCACTTATCTGTAGAGGGCGATGCGCGCCCTTCGCAGCCTGAAGGGCGCCGCCTGAAGTTGTCAAGGCTCTCAAGAACCCCTGAAAAGCTCAGACCGACATAGAGGAAGAGTCCTTCAGGTGGGTGCTCGACACCTTCATGCCCTGTGAGCCAGGGGCTGAGAAGCCCCAGCCGGCAAATGGAGGGAAGCCAGAGGGTGGCCTGGCAGGAAGTTGGTGGTCGAATGTGGGGCTCGAGAGGGCTTCTAGGGGGTGTCCAGGGGGTGCCCCTTCACAGCCCTAAGCTCTGAAGCTCTGGAGTGGATCCGTCCTCTTGACGAAGCCGTGGAGCTCAGGAAGGATACTGCCCATGGCCCTCACGCTGGTCAACAAGATCAGCAAGATTCGTTCCAACATGCCGTCAGGGGAGCGCTGCCTGGGAATCGGGCGAAGGGATCCCTTGCTACTCCGCCCAACCGAATCCTGGCCTAGCTAGGGCGCCAATCTCGACATTATGCTGATTTGTCTGATTCTCATTCCTTCCCATGGTTTGTTTGGTTTAGACACTTTCGTTCGGCATGCCAGAGCCTTTTTGTCCTTCTAGTTCTGAGTACTATTGCCACGGGCTCGGCGCCAATAACTCTGGTTCCCCAAGCAGGGAGGGGGTGGGGCCCTTCATGAGTCACTTTCTGGCTCCTGAGTCGGACTTGCAGTTGTCTATTTAAGGTGCGCAAGCTGTTTAGACATATTGTTTGGTCTTGGCTGTGTGTTTTTCATACACCTGCAAACACAATGGTGACCTAGAGCACGCTCATATCCTATAGAACTTAGAGCTTATGTCCGCTACCGCAACACACCTAGCTAGGGTAACCTACAACCCCTGCAGAATGGACATGTACCTCAATATCATGTGGGCAGCTTCGCGAATTTTAAGGCACGCAGTTACTCTCGGTAGCCTTTCAAAGACCATGCAACCTCAGCTTGCCCCACCCCCGCAAGCTTGACAGGACCCCGAATCGGAGGATTCCCGGCGGGCACTCCTGAAGACGCTGCAGCAGATCAAGATGCTGGGACGGCAACGGGCTGGGTGGGGGGCTTTAGGGGCGCCGGGGGCTTTGGGAACGACTCCAGTTCCAAAAGCAAAGAAGCTACTTAAACAGCAGACGGGGCGTCCAACAGGTCAAGTCAGGTGAGAACACTGAGGCTGAACCACCAATTTTTGGGAAGTTCGAAAACTATCGCGCTCAGCTCACCACAAAGAAATAGTTTGGGGTTCATGGACGCAGCTCAATCGCCGACCTAGCCCGGCACAGCTACAGCAATGACATGTTTAGGGGCTACGGTTCCTATTACTTATGCTGCGTTCCTCGAAGAAAGGCCCAAGTTCAAAAACAATGATACCCTGCCGTACATCGCATCCCAAAATAGCTACCGACCCCGTCAAGCCTCGAGAGGCCATCTCCCAAAACAAGAGCCCTGCAGCACCGCAGGTCGATTTTCTCAGTCCTTAAACCCCCCCCACGGTTACCAGTAAGTAGCCTTGGCCAACCAGAGCCCGAAGCCAACAAGAGGTGTAAGCCGGGCGTAGCAAGAAAGCCTGCCTCAAGCCTGTACCCTGGGCAGGAAAACAATCTGATGTGCTCATATCAATCCGTCGTGGCCCTCAAGCCCGACATAAACAGAAGCCCAGGACGAAAGCCAGAACCCCGTAAACCCTAAAACTCCGCAAGGCCTTATCAGCCAAGGAACCACAAGAGCTTCAAGCAGGGTATCCCTGAGCTCGACCCAGTGGCCGAGATGAACATCCAGTCGGAGGAGACTACTGGGGGCCCCAGCAATTTGGGTTCAGGGCTTTTAAGGGCCCTTGCAGGGGTTAAAATTGTCTTTAGTTCCGGGGCTCAAGGGGGTTTCGGGCTCAGGGTTTGAAGTTTCCAGGGTTCAGAAGTTTGGAAGCTGACACTGTAGAGAGCTGTGGCTGCCCATTAAGGGTCAAGTCATGTCCAGGATTAGTCGCATTTCAGGCGCGGCAAAGTAACTCACTTGGGAGGACCGGCATTCAGGGGGGATAGCTGCTGGGAGGTAGCTTTTCAGCAGCCGAATTTTAGCCAACCCCAAGCTTCAGCACAACGAGACGACTCCCGGAACTTGACTGCCGGGCTGACTGTAGCAAGTCGCTCAGCGTTGGCTTCTGTGAAGTCTTGTGGTCTTTGGCCGGCGCGAGCATGACGGTTGCTGCGCAAAACTCCTTTCCAATCACGGCCCCCATATTGTGTGCTCAGTGTCGAGAGCCTTCGCAGCGGGAACTTCCATCCCTGCGAGGAGATGAACAGTGTGCTGTCCAGCATCAAGGACCTGGAGGCAAAGCTGTCAGCGACCCTTTTTCGGCATCTAAGCTGGCCCAGCCAGAAGTCAGCGACCGCGACATCCGCAGGCGTAGGTTTCATGTTTCGGCTAGTACCGGGTGTGTACGTACAGTCCTGTCACGAGGATTAAGCCTCGTTACGTTGGAGGTGCAGCTCTATATAATGGACGGACAACTGGGCATCTAGTCTTCGACGAGTTGACCTTAGCCAAAGCCATAGACGAATTCGTGATCAAAGTGCGGGTCAATGGCATTCAATGGCCTTTGCGCTCGGCAGCTTATACAATCCAACGCAAGAGGCCGTGCTTGAAGAACTCATGGCTGATAGTTGTTCGATGTTGTTCTTTGGCGGCTGGGGTTAGGTGCCCAAGAACTCGAGGTGCGACATAGCGTGTTTCACGATCTCTTACGTAAAGAGGGCACAGCATGTCAGCAACCGGCCAAGATTAGATGCCGGAATCCACTCCTAGATGTTCCTGCATTCTAGTACAGACTATATAGAGCTGCACTTCCAAGTGAGCGTCCACATCCGTCGCACGTAAGATGTCTAGTCTGGTGACGCGCATTGCAAGTGGTTTTGAGGCAGTTGGCTCACATGTCCAGCTTGATGCAGCCTTCAAGTTTCTTTCGCATGTTGATACCAAAAGCTTTCCAAGGAATAGCTTTCACCAGCATGACAAGCTGCAGAAGTACTACGACTGCTTTGCTTCGAAGGCTGGTGTTTAATTTGTCACACCGAACGGTACACAGGCGTATTCTTCAACTGTGCCACAAGCGTGCGTTACCTTTCGGTGGCAAGCCCTTACAGCTTTGATTCTCGACGAAGACCAAGCTGCCATGCCCCTTCCCTGTGCTTGCGCTACGTGCTGCTGTGTTTCGTGGAGTTCTATTAATTGTTATTTTGTGGAGTTCTGGTAGTCATCAATGTACAGGGACGACCTGTTTTGCTCCATGCGTCTTAGGCATTTTGGTGATCGTAGGCCCTGCGCTGCTGCGAGTCAGGTGAAGCTCCACAGCCAAGTTCAGGAATTGGATAAGAAGCTCGGCTTCCAGTGGCCCCATTGTGGGCAGCGGCAGAACCACTCCTCAAGACCAAATCAAAGTTTGACCGAAACACAGAGCCAAACCCACTTGGTGGAAAGCTGGGAAGTTGGACTTTGCTCGATGTTTGGGCTTGTGAGCAGCGAGCAGACAAGGCAAATCAACCAGAGCCGCTTCATGGCCCCTCGAGCAGCACACGAAGTCACATTCTGGGTGTGCGGAAAGGGAAGGGCGAGAATCGCGGCGAGAAGGGGGGGCGGGGGACCTCAAATATAAGCGGTCACCCCGGGTGTGGTCTCCCAGGTCATGAATGACGACCTCCGTGCCATGAGAAGGGTGCTCCGAAGGTGCGCGGGGAGTTAAGAGGCTAGTCTGCTGGCAAGATGGTGACACGAACGAGCCAAGGGAGGCTGAGGCTTTAGGACTTTTTAGGGTTTAAGGGCTTAAGGGCTTAAGGGCTTAAGGTTCGGGTTTCGGGCTTGGGCTATTCGGGCTTCGGGATGTCTACCACGACAGGCTCGAGTTCATCGACAAGGACGGCGTCGTCCAACTGAAGGGTCGAATGGCCTGCGAGATCACAAGCTGCGATGAGGTCCTGATGACTGAGAGACTCGGACTCCACGACCCTGAACCTCTATGTCCCACACTTGCCGTACTTGGGTTACCAGCCGCTAGAATGCTACAGGCCTGTTCACTGAATCGGTTCCAGGACAGGAGGTGGTCTCAGGCTTTCGGTTTGGGGCTGGTTTTTGTTTTCCAGTCTTCGTTTTGATAGCCAACAACACGGTCCATCAAGAACACCACACGTCCCCGACTTGCGGGTTGTGATCTAGAGGTCACCTCGCAAGGCCGGCTCTTATCGTGACATCTCATGTTTCTCTTGTTTAGGAGTATTCTTTCGGAGGCCCGAAACCCGAAACCTAGCTCAGGATCGTCTTCCAGAACGTCTTCGCAGACATCGATGCCAACAACATCATTGCCTTGTGTTCGTGCTTGGTCTTCGAGTCCCGGGCTGACCATGGGCATCCCAAGCACCCCTCCTTAGGCCCGAAGAGTTGGTTAGTGGAAGTGTCAGAGTGCATCGTTGCCCTTCTAAGCACCATATACACATACACATATACATATATACATATATACATATATACATATATACATATATACATATATACATATATACATATATACATATATACATATATACATATATACATATATACATATATACATATATACATATATACATATATACATATACATATATACATATATACATATATACATATATACATATATACATATATACATATATACATATATACATATATACATATATACATGTATACACGTATACATGTATACATATGCACATATGTACATATGTACATATGTATACATTAGATGTTTATTTATTAGAGCTCATCTTCAATTTGCAGATATATGTATGTATACACACATGTACTTTCGAGAAAGAGTTATACAACTACACACTGAACATCACTTCTTAATCTAAATGCTTCTCATTCTATTAGGAACTTCCATGGTGTTGTTCAGCATTGAGTCGCCTCACTCAAGTCTCCTTTTGGTTCGGGTTTCTGATCCGACCCTTTGTGGGCTCGTCACCGAGGCTTGTGGCAGGTTTCTGGGTTTAGGCCAGCTGATTCCCGAGGACGAGAAGTCAGAAGACCCGATTACGAACAACTTGGACTTGATGAAGGCCTATACGGGTTTACGGTTTAGGGTTTAAGGGTATAGAGGTTATGGGGGCTTTCCGAGAACTTGCTTTTGTAGTCGGGTTGGCATCGGCTTGCACAGTTGAAATGCAAGGTATCACGCGTCTCGTATCCAGGCCCAAGCCGAAATATGCAAGACTGCAACTCACATCGATCAGTCTCCAGCCCATTTGCATGATCAACCCCGAACTGGAAGCGTTCAAACGCTAAGCCTAATGCAAGCTTGGAGAACACCTTCGCTAGCAGGGTCTATCGCACCGGTGCAGTATGCTGACGTAGAAGCAGTCGAGTTCATCCTTCGTGGAGTGCAGGCTTTCGAAACTTGCAAGGGCATCGCGCGCAATGTCGCCGAGGTGATGGTGACACGCCGGCATTGGCAATCAGGGCATGTTGATTGGACTTGGTGATACTGTTGACAGGCGAAATCGAGCGTCACATGTTCTACCACAGGCCATCCTTTCCAAACCCTGAAACTGAGTATTGGTTTTCCAAAACTGTCAGCTGAAACAGGTGCAAAAGGCCTGCGCGTGAATGATCGAACTCTTGCATCAGCCATGCGTGTCATCAACATTGAAATTTGGATGGGTGCGGGGATGGCGCCAGTTAACGTGCCATGCTCGTCTGGTACCGGGTCACGATTTTGTCCATCAATTTGCAGAGGCCTAGGGCCATCGAGACATTCTGCAGACCTGAACTTTCCGGATCTCAAGGTGCTGTTCGTCCCTGTGCTGGGGTTGTTTATGACCGCACGAAAGATCCAAAACCCGGGCACTCTGTTCGCGCCAGGCTGACATTTGGAGAGCCTGCGGGCGTCTTTGTGAGTCATGTATCGGGAAGCATCAAATGTAATAAAAAGCACGTTTGCAACTGACTGTGGTGTGGCAGCCAGTGGTCTTCCAATTCTCGGGCCCCCCGTTGGTGCTTAGGCTTAGGGACTGGGATTGAGCTTTGGGGGAGGGATGGATGAGCTTTGGTGGAGGAGCGAACATTGATGCAGCTGGTCTCTCTCTCCCGCCCGCTCTGCCTCTCTGCCTCTCTCTCTCTCTCTCTTTTTTTGCCTCTCTCTCTCTCTCTTCTTCTTCTTTGTACATGTGTACTTCTACATATACATTACATGGAGATTTACTTGTTACTTTGGCTGCATGGGTACTGGGTGATGAAAAAAAAGGCCTTGGGATGCTTCGGCTGGGCATATCGGGAGTGCATCAAGTGACAAACCGATACATCCAAATCTCAGGTGGAGAACAAAATCCCTCTGGATGTGGAGGCGCCCGGCATCGTGCAGTTTTGAACTCACCTGGAGCAACGTGCACAGGTTACCACAGGTTCTTACGGCGTACGGTCCTAGCATCGGAGCTTGAGAACTCGCTATCTGCAGCCGAGAGACCTGTACATCCAAGCCCTTTGAGCCTGACCGGGGGTGAGCTTCAAAGGCCTCAGTATTTGGCCCTGAGCTCAAGAGCGCAACAAGAGGCCCTGAGCAGCAAAAGCCACCGTGCAAAGCATCTAACACGTCCAAGAGGAGTATGTGCAGAAGTTGAAGCCCCAGCTCATGGAGGCCCCTTGGCCCTAGGGAGGTTGGGAGGGGGGAAGGTTTGGCTTCAAGCTTTCAATCCGAGCGGTGTGATTAGCATTTCGTGGTTTCCTGCCGCTGCCCTAGCTATAACATGAAGCAAGTCACGGTATTCCTGCCGCTGCTGTTGCAGCGGTAGGGCAGTTGAAGTGGCCACGTCTCTAGGTGGGCTTTGTTTCGGTTGAGGGTCTTTCTCAATCTGTGCATATCTCCCCCACTGCATCGGTGAGTCCTCAATCACACCATGTAGTGTTGTTGCCATGAGTAGTCAGGCTCCTATGCTGTACCACTATGTCGAAACTTAAAGGGAACTCGGGCCACATGTGCAGCGATGTTGGGAGCAATTCTGGTTGTGATCTGCTCTTTCAAGTGCCGAAGTTCGGGGGGAAGTAGCCTTCTGACCGCCTTGGCCCTCCGCATGTCCAACACTCCGCTCGGCTGGCAAAGGTGGTCTTGGGCTGGTTGGAGGGCAAGCGATTTCACGAGATCATGCCACTCGACTGAACAGAGTGCACAAGCCAAATGGTGCAAGTTTTGAATACAGCACATGGGATCTGGTGCGTTGAGTCCATGTTCATTCCCGGACGTGTCAGCTGTCACGTGATTGTTGCACCCACGCATGGCAGGAATCAGTGCAACCTCTACGAAGGCTCGGTCAATGCAGTCAACTTGTGTAGTGGAGCTTGCAAGACCCGCCCATCTACTCGATATGCTTGCCTGAAGGCAGCGTGGTCCGTGTCATCCGACGTCTGGAGGCCCCGGGAAAGAATGTGCAGAAACACGCAAAGAAAAGACCGCATGGCCCACGAGGCACATCAAAGCACCCTGAACTTAGCATGTCACACTGACGTAGCTGAACCTCGAGTTTGATGCCAAGCCCTTTGACAGTAATAGCCCCATACAGGCACAAAGCCACTTGGTGACCTCATGTGACCTCGCCGCACCCGGTATTAAGAGGAGCTAGTCCGAGAGCTGGCCACCGCGGCCAAGACCATCGGCAACGACGAGCTGGCTCAGCAACTTGGCCTGGACGATGCATGAATGGCATTGAATGGCTGCAGGTAGGAATGAGGCTCCGTTTCTCGGCAGGGTGGTAGAAGCTGCTCAAACCTCCTGACCCTGAGCCGTCCCAGGAAACTCAACGAGGGCCGGAACCGGCTAAAGCGCGGCATCATCTTTGCCGCATCGTTGTACCTCTAAGCCGCTTTGATGGAGCGAGCCGCCTCCATTCAGCGCAGCGAAAAAGGGGAGATAAGGCTCAGGACTGTGACTTCCGGCGTTTTGGGTTTTTTTCTTTGTTTTTTGTTCATTTTTGAGGTGCTGGTGTTAGCATCACTGTGTCACCAGCATAGCTGGACTGTGGGTGCTTTCTGCTGCTATTTTCTGTTCGGCGCGAAGGAAAGTACGTAGTGATGTGGTAGGACAGCTCCGTGCAAAGCAGTGTCTGTTAGTGCTTGCTGATTTATTGGCATCACTAGCCCCACGGATATGCAAGGGGGCTTTGTTTTGAGAGTTTTCAGCATGCACTTTCTGTAAACCGCACGAGCAGTCCCTTAGAAGTTATGCCTTGAGAACACTGCCCTCAAGGCACAAGAGAGAAGTGCACAAGCAAAGCCAATTCTTGTATGACCCAACGCCCACGGGGCATCTCCAAATGGGGGTTTCCGAAAATGGGGGTTGTACCTTATTGGGTCTTAATTGTAAGGGAATCGTTTTACTCCTTTGGGGACTATGTTAGGTTTAGGGGTCCCTTTTTTTCGTCAACCCCCAGATCTCCTAAATTTTGAGACTGAACTTGGAAAGGCTTCCGCACCGCCAGCGAACTCGTGCCCAACGTCAGTGGTTAGCGGGCTGCGGCCCCAGAGCCCGTACAAGTTACCTCAATATTCATCCTCATTTGGGATGTTCCCCCCTATACTAGCAGTCCTGAATAGGGATTATACTAGGGGGCATGAGAATTCCCATTAGGGACTCTTAGTATCAGGGGGAACATCCCAAATCCTCATTCTCTACAAAGCGCTCTCGGGCCCCATTGGGTGTCAACGTCGCAGCACTCAACAGCGGTTGATGGCTTTGGTTTCGGGAAGGCTTTGCTTGTTTCAGACTTAGGGTTCGGGACTTCTGTGTTCCCTCGGTTGCGGCCGACTTGTTGGGCCGGATGGTCGTGCTCAACCGTGTTGCTAATTGCCACGCGCTACGGGCAACTTGCGGTTGCAGCATGCGGGGCGTCTTAGGCAAGGTGCTTGTGATCAAGGGTTCTTTTTGTTTATGCTTCGGGGCTCCTGAATAGTCCGTAGCGTCTTGTATCTTCCTCTGAGGTCAATGCCCGGCAGATATGATTCTTCTGCCGTGGAGGAGGACCTTTACCGTTCGTGTCTGAGGAGCAGCTCACGCGGGCTCTCTTGTGAATCACCACATTCACTTGAAGTATTTATCCAAAAGCTCCGATTTGTTATAGAAGTGTACCTGTGAACCCAGAACTTTAAAGGCCTTAACCTTGTCAGTTCTAAGTCCCTATAGCCTGGATTCTTGTATTACTTCCTACATTGAGGCTGGTGGGAAGCCGCTGGCTTCTTTCGACCGGAGGTCGCAGAGAAGGCCTGCCTTGCGCCAAGCCCTCGAAGACCTGTCGAGCTCAAGTGTTTTCATCGTCCCATGTGGGCTTGCAAGGTTTCAGTTTCTATGGTCGTATGTCTGGGTTGAGGATGATTCTTGGCTGGGGACGTGTAAGCGTACTTGCCGGCCTCTATGGTCTGCAGGGACTCAGCCTAGATGGCGTTGCGGCGCTACGGATTCGGGGCTCAGTAGTCTAGCAACCACGTTCCAGCGTGGGAGTGTGACAGGCCTGTCAACCACGCAGAACTCTGATCGACAGCACCCCCTCGTACAAAAGGCCTTTGTTGCATTCGTGCTTCTGATATTGTTTTGCAGGTGCCACAGGCCTCTGAGGGCGACCGTGAGTCCTACGTGGTGCCCATGCCGCCGCCGAACGTGACGGGCAGGTCGTCATGTTCTTTCTACTTTTTGGAATCTGGCTCTGTACCACAGGGTTGGAGGTCAGGTAAGATAGGCGCGCTTATGCATCACGCGACTGAGTCTTGTACCTTGCGCTCGTATTGACACCATCTCCGGCCCTGCATCACCCGAACATCTTGCTGCCGCCAGGCTTCACATGGGTGTGGTCACCCAGCATCGCAGCTGTGGTAGTGGCGAGTTAGAATTTGGCACTGACCCTCTGAGTGATGTGAATCTGAGGTCATGCCATGTTCGTTAGCTTGGAGGATGCCGAGGCCTCAGAACCAGCATGCGAACGAAACGTGTTCTCCACCTATTCCGTAGCTTTGACCAATGTTAAGCCATGTAGGAATCTGTAGGTACCACGTCTGCATGGTAGAAATTGTTGCTAGTCAACTGATTTAGCATGGTGAAACATGGGGCCGACACTGCCGAGGTCCTTACCCGGTTCCACCGCATGCGGGGCGATCGCACGCTGTGGCTACCAGGCCGCGCATTTGCAGGTGTCTTAAGGTTTAATAGCTGGGCAGGCCGCCTAGCAAGTGATTCGTCTCGAGCAGCGAGTGTTGCAAGAGGGACTGGAGCGGAAATGGAACCAACAGGGAAGCAGTAGCAGCCATTGAGCAAGGTCACTCCGAGCGGTTGTGCAGCATTCGAAGGAACTGACCATGCTGGCATCGCGACGCAGATGCTGGTAGTCCGCACCTTGGGATTCGGCGGCCGCACTCCTTCCGCATTCTGTGGTTAGGTGCTGGGGTTCAGGCAAACTTCAGGTGCCCCAGCATTGCACTTCTTCTCTCTTTGCCTCTCCGTTTGGGCTGCTTCCAAGCCTCCTGGGCCTCACTCATCTTGCCCAATCTTCTTGTGAAGAATGCAAGGCGCCAGCGGCCAACGCTCCCACAAAACGCTACGACCAAGCACGAAGCAACATCAAAGACCGGTTACATCCTAACGAAGCAACTCTCATTTCTAATTTCTAAGACTACTTGAGCCCTGAAATGCTCTTGTTAGTTTAGGCATGGGGGTCTTGATTCAAAGCCTAAAGCAGCACAATAACAACTCAGGGTCTGGGATGTAGGATTTCCATGTTTGGGATCTAGTGTCTATAGGGCTATAGGATGGGCATGCAAGGTCGATTTAAGGGGCAGGGTCCAAGTTGTGAAGTTCAGGGGTTCTAGTTAGTTTTTGTTTAAGTATGGAGTTTAGGGTTCAACCAGGGTCTGGTGCTGTATGCTTAGGAACGCAGGGTTTCGAGGGTTGGCAGCCCCAGCCAGGAACGCCAGCTGGTGGCCGAAGGATCCTCGCCAGGGTCTCCGATTCAAATGTGTTTGGTGCTGGGGCTTGGGGTGGCAGATCTTGTGCTTCAGCTCTTTGACTCTTGAAACCTCGTCCTTTTTTTACAGCGGGCGAAAGCTGGCCTTGCTTACAGATCCTCTTCCTACTGGAGTAGTGTTTTTGGCTGCGGCAGGGCTACGATAGCACAGGGGAGGTTGCATTGCCAGGACCAGTTCGTCCATTGTGTGCTAGTGTTGTCGCACATGGCAAAGCAGCTGTGTGATAACTCCAGCATGGTTCGAAAATTGTAGAGTTGCCAGGGCGAAACGGCGGGCTGCTTGAGAAAGAGATGCCGGAAATTGAGAGAGAGTACATGAGGCGCCGGTGATGGAGGACAAGTCGGGCAGCAGCATCGAGCAGATTTTGAGAGGTCATTGGCTTGACTCCATGGATAATTCCATCCTGTTCAGCAGGTGTGGTGCAGATCAGGATTTCTGTCAGGACCCCTTTCCTCGGTGCGATGGGCGGACGGGAATCTTGCATCCGCGCGGCCGCGCGAGACGAGAAGCTCAGCATCCACCGTGACGAGCAGCAGCGATGGTCTTGCGGCAGCGCCACGTTGGAGCATGTTGGAGCTCTTCGACGAAGAAAGGTCCCGCTTGGTTTGGACAACTGCAGACGGGCGTCGCAATGTATGGTCGCGAACACAGGCCGTTGACGGTCCAGAGATCACGAGCTTTCCTTGGTTGATCCATGGTGCCCCACTTGAGCCCTGGATGCCATCAGACATCTCAAGAGACATTCTACATGACGCCGCACGCGTGACTGCTATCTTAGACATTCGACAGATGATGGGGCCCGATGCCAAAGCTCAGAATGAAATCACAGAGATCTTAATCGACCATAACTTGGAGAGGAAAAGGAACGGATCGGGGAAGAGTGAGGACTACTTGATACCCAAATAGCTCAGCGGGTTCAGAGGATCTCCAGTGAGTGCCTTGCGCACCGTCTGCAGTGGAGCGGTGAGAACGAGGTCTGGGTCGGGCCACACAAGATCATACTCGCGACATCCAGACACTGCAGTCACGGTGGGTTCTGGACCCGCAGGATGAGCAGATGGACATCGAAGTAGCAAGGTTACTCGCCTTGTGCAGCATCTTTGACATTCCGATGAGCCACCGCCGAAGTGGAATGCACCCAGGCATTGATCCTGAACTCAGGCAGCAGTGTGACTATGAGCTATTCGCTTCACCGCTAAACGCAGTAGTAGGCAATGGATACTACGCGAGCAAGTGGCCGCAGATTGAGTGGCGTTTCGGCTCGATGGGTTCATACCCCTCTGCTATCCTTGAGATGCCCGACAACTCGATCGTGGGCGTGAGCCCACCGTACACAGATGCCTACCTTGCCGACGTGATGGAAAGACTACCGCAGATGAAGGTCAGGTTTCAACTTCGAACAGTGATACAGCTTCGAAGTGCACCTTGGCGGGAGAGCGTTGCATCGCTGCTGCCATCCGCACAACTGCTGTATGACTACTACGATGCGTCTGCGGATGTGTGGGTCAAAGTCGTTTGCCCAACGTTGCTCTGGGAGGATCCTCGGTTGAAGTTGCAGGAGGCACTTGTCCCTGTGGGTTGTGCATCATCGGATCAACGGGCTGTGCTTCACCATCGAGGTGCAGCAAGCCAGCGGGAGGAAAAAAGCGACACTGTACGGCGGTCGACAAAGCGCGTCTCGTGGAGATGGTATGTATGTGTATCTTTCATTTGGGGGAGTTGTTTCTGGAAGAGCCAATGCAGCCATTGCCGAGGCGGCAGGAGGTCGGCCGAGATGAGTTCCTGCGGCGGGCCCGAAGCTTAATCCGCACTGCCCCCAGGGTTTATATGCCTTGAAGATTCAACATAGTAGAATTCGTCAGAGTTTCGATGATCCTTGACTCTTGGGCCTCGGGCTGTGTCAAGCAGTACCCAAGTCCAGCAGGACCACGCTTCACCACTCGACTTGTCCTATAAACCTCGAGGAAGGTCATGACACACAGTCCGAGCCCTTGGCCGGAACCATGCCTTCAGACCCTGATTCTTCAGCCGTTACAGCCCGCACTAGCTCAATGTAAGTACTTCACGTTCCGAACCCTCTTCGGGACTGCCATCGTGGCCAGGTGTGGGAGTGGAAAGACGAGAAAGGCGGCGCCATAGCCGCGAGCCACAGCAGAGCACTGGCAGAGCACCATGTCAGTAACCAATCATGTTAGCCGAGAGGCAGAGAGGGAGAGAAAGGAAGAAAGAAAGAAAGAAGGAAAGAATCACCTAAGGGCAGCCCTCCTTCGGGAGGGTTAAGCGTGTGGAGAGGGAGACAGAGAGCGAACCAAACATATTCGCCAAGAGAGGGAGAGAGAGAAAGCGAGAGAGTGAGCGAGTGTGTGTGTGTGTGCCACAGAAGCTGAGTCCACTGAGGCTCTCAAACTCTGGGTCCTCAAAACTTCCGAAAGACGTGATGTAGTCGACTCAACGGCACAAGCACAGGGTCGGCGAGGGCGACAGGAAGGTGGTGCACAGCTTCCCCAGCAATGCACAGTCCGATGTGGCTCAGCCAAGCAACTTTGAGCCTTGCACTGGCCTCAACATCTGGAACGCCCTTAGAGAGCCCTGAAGGCTAAACTGTAATTTTGACGCTACGCGGCCTCGGCCTGGGCACAAGACAACCGCGTAGATCGCGGGGGGGAAGGTGCTGTTGGGCTTCAGGGCTTTGGAAGCTTCGTGCAATCATTCCCTTTTGGGGATCCTGTTGAGACCAAGCCTCAAGGGGGGCGCGCAGGGCGGTGGGTGGGGACGTGTGTCCACCCCCTGCGGCCGGGCTTAAATGCCCCGTGGTCCTGATGCACCGTCCGCTCGGGGGGGGGGGAGTGGGGGGGTAATTAGCCTTAAGGCAACCCAGACACGGGCCTGGCGGGCTTTACTTCCACGTGGTACCTGTGCCCCTACTCAGACTCTTGAACCTGACTTGCTTTTTTTGGGGCCTCACCCTTGGCCCGAAAAGGTGAACCAACTGCGGTGCCTGGGGGCCTCGGCCGACTGGTCGCGCGAGCCCGGGGGCCTCGGGGAATGCTTCGGGTGTCCACTTCCTGCTTGGTTTGAGGCGCATTGAAGGATTTTTGAAGGGTTGAGGTCCAGGCGTTGGGCTTAGATACCTTGCAGCTGCAACAAGTTTGGCAGCTGCGGAGTAATCCCTTCCCCCTAATATTAAACGGCACCCCCCCCCCAACAGAAACTCGAAATGTGTTTTTATTGTTAGGGGGAGGTTTTATCCAAATGTCATGTTTGGGTTCCAAAGGGTTTAGGGTGTAGGCTTCAGAGAGGGAGCTCCACTCAGGCAGCACACCAAGGCTCAGACAGAGGTTTTTTCAGCCACACACACACACACTCTCTCTCACTCACACACACACACACACACACCCACACTCACTCACACTCACACACACACACACTCACACACTCTCACTCACACACTCTCACTCACACACTCACTCATTTGTTGGCTTGAGGGTTTTAGGAGCCCTGAACCCCCCCTAATTCGGAATAGTGTTTAAAAGGCAGGGTCGGTTTCGGCAGCATTTTCCGGAAAGCGTTTTTATAATTGGGGCGGGGGGGGGGTTTAATGAAAGGGGGAAGGGATTAGGCAGCTCTCACACGTGGAACTTGGAATTGAGCGTTGGTTTGTGGCTGTGGCACTTCGAAACATATTTGCAATCTGATTGAGGTTTCATGTTGCACGTTCTAGTCTATGTGCACCTTTTCGACTACAAGGGAGGCTGTCAAGTTCTTTTGCTCAAGTCTCGAAAATGTTAAGGAGTCTGCGAATCTTGTCGGCTGCGCTAGGCCATGCTAGAAGAACGGAGGGCTGGGGATTGAAGACGCCTGTTTCGATCCAGGCGGGGGGTTGGGGGAAGAAGCGTCTCCCCCAAATGCCGTAAAACCAGGCAGTTCACTTTGAACGACCACATGAGCTCTGCCGCCCGGGCCTCTGCTGGCCGTGCGCTGCGGCCATGCCGACCCATGAGGGATGGTTGTCTAGCGTGCCTTGACATACTGGGGGATCCTTCTCAATCATTAACTCTTGGGCCATGCAGAAGAGATTGACCGCTGTGTCTACTCGAGCCATGTCCAAAGCACCATGGCAACAGGGCTTGGGCTCCGGGGGCTTTTCTGGAGATCCCTGCCCTTTTCAGGTCGTTGAGGCCTTCTGTCGGCTGCACGAGCAGGGTGCCCAGCATTTCTCCGTTCAGATGTCTTCGTGGGTTACATCTCAGCTGACGCCACCGACGATGCAAGCACCCCTGTCCGCTTGAGCCCTGAAGCTTTTAAGGTCGCATGGCGAGCGTAGTCCAAATATTTTAAATGGGTTTGGAATGATCCCCCTTCTCTCGACTACTTAGATGCACTATGAGCACCAACAGATTTGTTGTGGATGGCCCTGTCTCGCCGAAAAACAAGCTCATACCTCGATGATCATGAGTTCGACACTGTCGTTGTCGCTGGCATCATCTTCACAAGTCATCGAGCGATCAACGCCAAAAAATGTAGTGATCGCCACGCCACTGCCGCCACCGCCATCATCCATTCTCACCCTCACACTCAGCATCATTGACCATCACCATCACCGGCAGTCTAGACTCAGTATACCAGCAACTGCAAAGCTGTGAAGAAGTTATTCGAGGAAGGGCGCCATCTTCCGGGGCCAGCGGATGGTCAACTGGAGCCCAGTGCTCCAGACGGCCGTTAGCGACCTTGAGGCACCCTTCCTGAAGCGGGGTGTCAAAGGATTGTCGCTGTATCGCTACAGTTACATCTATTCCAAAAAAGCGGCTCCAACTACACAGGATGTAACACGCCTCTTACCTGCGGAAGCTTGCTCATGTCGTGGCTGTCGCGCTTGAAGACAGCCAGGCTCCGAAGCCAATGCCTCCTGAAGCCAAGCAGGTGGAGTATTCGGATGTGCAGGGCCACCTTTATCACTTCAAGCTGCCAGCTCAGCCTTGGGCAGTGTGAGAGTTTCGGCCTGCAGGGCTGCCTGGGTTTAAGGAGGCATCAGCGAACGTGCTTTGACAATTTCATGAAGTGCATCTCTTTGTCTCTTAGTCCGCAAAACCCCCTTTCTTGAGGTACATGGTCGCGGACACTGAGGCCCTGGGATGCAGAGTCCATATGCGAGTTGAGTCCACACGTCACACGTCGCGTCCTGTGTTCTGGGAGGCATTCAATCTGAATCTAGAGCAGAGACATGCATGTAGACACATCTCGAGACTCAGAGACCACAAGACTGCCTCCAGATGCCTTGCAGCCTGTTTGTGGGTAGCTGTAGAAACACGGCAGTCAGTGTCGGAGACCTCGGATACAGCACCCTACTAAACCTACAAAATGTCCTCGCAGGCTAGGGCTGCCAGCCTGGCATCTGAGTTGAGAGAGCAGGGCTCTCTCCCTCTTTGCCGTAAAAATGTTCGGCCATGGAGGCACCAGAAAGCAACCGCTCCAGCGGCTCCAGCTCGTTGATTTGGTTGTTGCTGTTGGCCTGTGCCTGGCTCGGGGTAGCAGGAGCCTCGCTCACCCTGTCGCTGACCTGGAGTCCTCTCCACATACTGTACACTCAGAGAGATGGCAACCACAGCAGCAACGGCAAGGATGTGACACTGCGTGACTCTCGCGGCGCTGGTTCGGGAGATCTCCGCGCGACAACATCTCTGTCAGCGACGACGACAACGACCACAGCGACACGGGCGACGAAGGCCCAGCCTCTTGTCCAGCCGACCTTGACGAAGACTCCAAACACAGCTTCCGAGTGCGGCAGGTCCGACAGGGCTGGCACGTGGCTCCAGATGCCCGCTGTCGAACTTCCAGACCCCGGCTCGGGCGAGCCGCCTTTCTACTGGAACAAGCATCTGGTGATGGTCGGCGACTCGAGGATGCGCTATCAGTATGTGGCTCGCATACTTCTTCACGCATGGCACCTTTGCAACGAGCAAAGCATACGATTCCCTGGCCTCGAAGAATGAGCAGCAGTTTTTCAGTGCATGGCTCCAGCATGTGGACCAAATACTGAAGTATGATAAGTGCAACTGCCTCTCGGCCATGTTCGATTTTTGTCACGGAGTAAATATGTAAGTTGAATCAACTCTCACCAGATTCGGGTTTTTTAGTTGGGGAAGCTGAGGCTTTCGACCATATCACTTTAAACCCACAAATACGGTCGAACATCGCTACTATCGCAACCCTGAGAAGAACATGGCGATCACCTACTTGCAGAAGTTTGGGTCATCATTGATGCAAGGACACTGGCATTCGAATGGCACCAGCATCGACTTCTGCGGATTCCCATGCGCGCCAAACAAGTGTGACCCACTGCGCATACCTGCAACGTGGACTGCAAGCAACGTGTCCCAGCTTGCAAGAGTCGTTGCTGAGCTAAAGCCAGACTATGCAGCTCGGCTTTAAACAGAGGGCTGCGTTGCACCGTTGCACTCCCCCACATAAGTCACACGACCTGCCTTGAGACTCCTGTTCCTTGCAAAGGTAGTGTACCATCCCGGGTGGGAGGAGCTCACTGGATGGGCGCCAGAAGACGTCGCCCAGCTTTTCGGGCAGATCCAGGAGTTATGTCCTGCAGCCAAGCTGTACTTGAAAACCCGGCTGCTCACGCGGAAGGACGATCCCAAAAACTTCACTGCTTGGGCCGACAAGACTTATGCAGATATGTACGAGAAGTACAGATTTGCGGAGCACGGTTGGCACATTTGGGACGTCTCGAAAATCACAGCGGCATGGAAAGAAATGGACGATCCGGCCAAGTCATTCATGCTCGACTCTTATCACTACACCCTAAAATCGAACAACGAGCTCAATCGGCTCATGTTGCAGACCTTGTTTGGTGTCGACGTCCGATAGAAGCCGCGGCCTCCCTTTCTCTCTCTTCAGGACATCCATGCGCAACTTCGGAGTAAAATGTGTGTGCGTTCCAAGCCAGTCCTCTCCCTTCGATCCCGATGAGCTCTTGGTGGTGCCCAATATATGCCATAGGCAGTCGGGCCAAACGACACCAGGTTCTTTAAGGAGAGACTATCGCGTCTTGGCATAGACTCTGTGCGTCAGGAATTCATCCCGGTTGCAACAACGCGACCCGAGACGATCCTGGGTGACACGGCCGTGTGCGTGCACCCTGAGGAGAGGGCGGATGTGTTGAGACGAAAGTTGTGCCGGAAGGAGGCCCCCCCAAACAAATGACCCTAAAAACGACTCCCCGGTTGTCTGCGTGACCTGCGCACTGCGCCGAACGATGCTCTTCCTAATCATCCTACGGGGTCCCGTGACCCTTGGCATGGAAGGACCCGCGCTATGAGCACCTCATTGGCAAGGACGTCCTCGTGCCAATCCAGGGTCCGAGGGGTCCAAATCCGACACACGCCGCAACATGACGCAACTCTGATATCGACATTTCCAAGACTAAGATTGTACAGTCTTGCTTCAGGCTTCTGTTTGGAGAGAAGGGTAGGAGGAGGTGTTGCTCAGCTGGTGGGATGCGTCACGGGAGTCGCAACTCATACACGCCAGGATAGCACAGCACACAGCTTATGCTTGTACGGTCGCACAGCCGCCTCGCAGTTCTTGGTACAGCCCGTCTATAGCCGGTGGCTACAGGGTATGTTGCGTGTCTGACAGCTCGATGTCGCTGTCAAGGTTACTTTGGTGTCCCGTCATTCTATATGCAGTACCACCTGTGAAATGGGTCAGTTGGAAGAGTGGGATGAGGGAGGGCTGCTGGCAGCAATGTGTTTCTTGACTTAGTGGCAAGCTCGCAGTGTGAGCATCTCAACTGCGAGCTTTTTGTGGTCAATGTAATGAACATCTCTCCAACCGTTCTCATGAGGATTTGCGCGTTTGACAAGCATAATTGTCAATGCTTACGCGCGGCCGTCGGGCTGGCCGTGTAGCATGCGAAGCGGTCCTGGGAGGGGTTTGGGGGCGGGGGGGTTGCAAGAAAGCTCGAGGTTGGAAAGGTCCCAAAAAGGGCCCGCGGGGTGGGGCGGGGGGTCCCAGAAAAAAAGTGTCAGGGGCAGGTGACACCGGTCCCGGGAGGAGCCCCCTGCATTTAAGGCTGCTCCGGTCGGTTTGCGCAGAACAGGGCCGGGGGAGGGGGGGGGGGGTTGGGGAAAGGGTTGGAAGGCGTTGAAGTACTGATTGTGATGTTCGCAGTCGCAGTTCTGCACGGTTTTTATGGGTGCATACCACGCCTGATCTTCGAAGTTCGTAAGTGGGTCTAACCGACGAGAATCACCTTGTTATGAACCCATGCAGGCCGACGCATCCCAGTGATTGCAGATGCCTATGTGGACAGGGAGCAGTGGACCTGGGCAGGGTTTTGGCTGACACACGTGGAGGTTGTTCTGGATGAGGGTCCCTTTGGGTCGTTTGCTCAGAGCAAGGGCTTAGTAGCAAGTTGCCCATAAGGCCTCAATTTGGAACAAAAGCCTTGCAGACCAATTCAAAGCCCACTCCCCTAAAAGGCGCCCCTTTCGGCACGGGTCCGAAACAATTTGGGATATCCGGGCGCCTTGAGAATGCCAGGGGAAAGCTTGATTCAAGAAGGGCGTTCCTTTCGATTCTTGACCAATGCTTAATCCTGCAGATCCTGCCACACTTCCTCGACTGCTTGCAGTAACCCAGGTTCGGGACCGGGGCGCTGAAAATCACACCCGCCCACGACTTCAACGACTTTGAAATTGGGCAGACTCACAAGCTGGAGAGCCACTCTGCCAGGGCCCCGGCCAAGCCTTGCTGACGGCTGTTTTTCGATGGGCCCTCCGACACTTCCTCCCACTTTGTCCAAGGTGATTGGTTTGGACGGATCCATGGCCTCTACGCTGGAAGCATTAGGCCCAGCTACCTTTGGTTCTTTGGTTCCTAGCTGGTGTGGCTCTGTGGGCGCTTGTGGGGTGTTTTGGCAAGGACGTTGTCTCCTCGTTGGACAGGTTCTCCGCAGTACATCGGCTTGGACCGTGCCGACTGCGCTGGCCTTAGAATGCTTCCCTTAATGGAGGTGCAGAGATTCCGAGAAGGGCACACGGAATCTCGCGAATCCCTGACTGAGTTCCATTTCGCTGCTCAGGTCGGAAGCAGCTCTGGGCTGATCTCGAAGAAGCAGGCTTAACCTTGAAGGTCGAGGACCCACGGAGCATCGCAGAGTCACAGAGAGCAGCGGGGCGAAGTTGCGCCTCGTAGGGTGCCGGTGCTTATGAATCGCGAAGGACCACATGCAGCGCGTGCCGTTGTCGCAAAGGCTGGCAAGGGAACAGGCTTAGGGATGTTTCGGGTTGCACTTCGAGCGTTTCAGGTTTCAATTCGGGCAGGGCTCAAATGCAATTTCGAGCGGCAGACACAAAGAGATGCCACAACGAGAGGCAGACACTGCATGTTTTTTTTTCGGTTGTACGGCTAAGCCTTGCACTCTAAAGCTGAACAAATAAGCAGCCATGAGCACCTGCAACGATAGCCTGGAACCCAAAACCCTCAACGATCGTTGCAGGAGCGGTGAGGTCATTGAGCCCATGCTCTCTGATCAGTGGTTCGTGTCGACCGAGGTCTGGCTCATTGGAACATCTCCGGCATTGAAGTTTTAGGAGCCATACCTAATACCGGCACAATTGAGACCTCAAAGGAATGCCTCCTCTACGATATGCAGGCTTATGTGCACTTGAAGACTTTCCCCTGGGTGCATCATACGCAGTATGGGTGCACTCTCCCGCTCAGTGCTTGCAGATGGTTCAGGTATTCATGACTGATACCAGCAGGCAGGTTTGTGATTAGGCACATGATGGCATCTTGCGCACCTCCGATTTTGGAATATTGAGAACATTGTTTGAATTTGCCGTCACCGCATCATCTAGGAGGGCTTGGCGTAACGTGCTTGGAAATTATGGGAATGCTTGCCAGAACCTTAGCTAGCCCCCCTCCCCCCCGCCCCTATAATGTTCCTTTCTCCAAGTATCCATTCCTCAGCCCTAAACTTCTACAAGTATCCTTTACCAGGTCATGGCTCAGCGGGCCATGGACGCCGTGGAGCCGGCTCCTGAGGGAGAACTGGCAGGCAATCTCAGCCCAGAAGCTCGTCGCGGAGATGACAAGGTCCAATAAGGCCGAGAAAGGCTGTGACCAGCTTTTTGAGCTGAGGTCTGGCGACATTACCATCCAGCCGGATCGTTTTGTAAAGTGTCCTCGGCGCTGCTTCCTTGTGTCCTATGGAACATGGCCATGTAGACAGTCCTTGCCCGGTTCCCCCCCCATGAGCTGCGGGGACTCGTCATTGGCACGAGCTGAGAGACGGAGTTAAGGGCCTCCCACCGCCAGGACGTGGCAGGATTGGCTGAAGGAGAAGCAGCCCTGGTGCATCTCCAGGCGAGAAGCCCAACAGTGATTGCGAAATTAGAACTCTCTAGCTTGCCGTCAGGCATCTATAAATATATAAATATATAAATATATAAATATATAAATATAGAAATATAGAAATATAGAAATATAGAAATATAGAAATATAGAAATATAGAAATATAGAAATATAGAAATATAGAAATATAGAAATATAGAAATATAGAAATATAGAAATATAGAAATATAGAAATATAGAAATATAGAAATATAGAAATAAACAAATAAGATATAGAAATATAGAATATAGAATATAAATATAGAAATATAGAAATAGAAATATAGAATATAGAAATAGAAGTAGAAGTATAGAAGTATAGAAGTATAGAAGTATATATAAGTATAGAAATATAGAAGTATAGAAGTATAGAATATAGAATTATATAAGTATATATAGAAGTATATATAGAAGTATATATAGTGTGTGTGCAGCACACAAAACCTGGACCAAACCCTGTTGGACCAAGGGTCGAAACAAATCACATCAGTCGCTTTTGAATTCATTTAAGACGTACGCAGGGGGCCGCTCCGCCCACTGTTAGGGGGCGGCCAACGAAGAGCCTAACAGTGTGGTGCTGGAAACGTACCTGCAAATTCGAGCGTGCCTTGACTTGGCAGAGCAGCTGGCAGCTCATGAAACTGGGAGTGTGCTTGGGCTTAGCATAGCAGCTGGCAGCTCCACCATTGACGATATTTCTGCCTTCCCCTACATGTGTAGGGAGATCCCGAAGTGTGTTTCGGCAATGCTTCCGTATGCGGTCATTGTCGTGAGCCCTTGGAGGGCGCCCAACAACAAAAACAAAATGTCACAAGCCTGATGATGTTCAGTTCATACCTGTGGTAAAAAGAGGAGAAGCTAACAAAAGGCATTGGGGAACTGTCACCGTTCAATGGCCACAAACATTCTCGATGCGGATGTGTCGCCGAGTTGCAAGCTCTTGGTGGCTTAACAGCATGGGGACAAGTCTACGCCAAGTTCTTGTTGCGCGGTGTGCAAAATTGTTGGTGGAAGATGTCAAATGATGCCTCGAGCAACTATATTGCCCTGAGCAGCTACCAGCTGCGAGCAACCGGTTTTGCTTCGAGCAGCCAGTCGATGGCTTACATTTACATTGACTTTTACGTATACTTTTACACTTCCACACCGTGCAGCCACCCAAAAATGGTAAAAAGCTGCTTGACAAAGCCAGGTCAAAGAAATGTGCGTGCTGAGGGTTCAAACGGTGTACGGAACCAGGAACAGTTTGTCACCTTTGGTGTTCGCTACACGCTTTTTTGGACCGGACGTCCAACTCTGATGCGCAAGAATATGTTACGGTCAACGATGACCTGGTTGGTTTTTTTTATTCCAGTCCGATCTCACGCTTAAATCGTGCTTGTGAGATTGCCTTGAACCGGTTCTTTGAGAACAAGCAATCTGGCGGTAAGTGTCGCAGTGACTTTTGGTTCACGGTTGATGAAACATCGCCATCTTCTCACGGCCGAGTCCTACGTGGAAAGCCGATGAAAAACCGACCATCCACGTGCCGAAAAGTTTTCCAGGGTGACGTCCTCAAAATTGTCCAGTTATCCTTTTCCTTTGCATCGTTTACTGTTTTGGGCCGGACGTTCTCGCAAAAACGGGGCGGTCCAATTGGCAACCAGTTGTCGCCAAGTTTGTGTAACTTGGCTGTCTGCTTGGAAGAGGATTGTTGGGCGCGGGGATTGAGGCAGTGTTGGGCACCTGACAAGCTTGCATGTTGGTTCCTCCGATACGTCGACAACAGGTATTTGCTTTTTCCGCGGCGCTTCTTGCGGAGAGCAGCTTTCTCAGCGCTGGTGGACCCCACCTTTTATGGTCCACCTGTTGTGTTGGAGGCTTGTGAGATTGAGAACTGTTGGGTTGCTTTGGACAGGCCGGCTAGCCGTCGTTGACTTCCTCCTTCGGACCTTCAACCCTAAACCCCAAACGCGCGTGAAGACTGAAAGCGATTCGCCTAACCATCGTGCCCCGAGAGACATCGACGTAATCGTTTCGCGCGGATGCTTTGGCTGGACGGATACACTAGTGGCACGTAATCATTGTACGGGCATACATGCTCTGAGCGCCACGCCCACAAATGCAATGCCAGAATTGTTTTCAACACATGCCCATTTCTTCGTTCCACAAGAACGAAACTCAGCAGAGGCCTGATGGTACACTGGCATTCGTGGTCATTCACATGTGCGTTCAATTTGGCTCTCTTACGATTCTGATTCGTGACTAGTATTTATATCTCTCAATACTGATGCTATGTCTTGTTATACTCACTAGCATGCTTATATGAGCATTTTGTAAGGCTCATCGTTTGTGTCACTGTCACTCGTAGTCTTGTTGATAGTCTTTCTGCTTGCGATGTTCATTTTTTGTTCGTGCAATACCACTCTGAGTCCTACGGTCTTGCGGCCGGAGTTTGTAGAGAAAGCATCCTGGGTACTGTGTAGGCAACTCTGGTGGGGCCATCGCATCCCTGTGCCGATGCCTCAGTTTCGGAAGCTTGGGCGCGTCAGGAGAGCCGTGTAGTTACGCGTGGAAGTGCTGGCCTTGAAGGCCGTAAGATGAAGGAAGAGTGAGAAAGCTTGCGTGGTTCATCTCGGCTTGGTAGGTGTCGGATATGACCAGGTACTATCCCACAAACCAGCCCGGCAGCGACAAGTACTTCGTGGCCCGCTCTGAGGAAGAGGCTGGTGATCAGTTGAACCTGCGAGCTGCCAGGATGTCTTGTCCCTGCTTCTGTCTGGAAGAGCCATCCCGTGTCGCTCGGAGGGCCAAAGTCGGCATCACAAGCAAAGCTACTGAATTGCACCCTGAGTCCCTGAGGACAGGCTTCACTAGAAGTTGCTTGCAACCCCTCAAGCCACCTCCCTACAGACACACACGCACAGCTCACACGTCCTTCCTTACGCCCCTTCTTCTCACTACATTCCTGGTTCTAATGTTAAAGGTTAAAGATTGTTTCATCAAATGACCAAACCCAGCAGCGGCATAAGTGGCAACCCATCGGCCATGACTCGACGCCGCTGGGCGCTTGGGGCCTTCGCCTTCGCCTTCGGCATTGTCCTAGGAGGTCGACGGGCAGAGATTGACATAGGCATAGGGGCTATTTGGGGTTTAGGGTTCGGAGTGCGAAGGTGAGCAATTAACCAGCATGGCTCTGCTTGAATATGTCCGCTGTATAGGAATGACAGCCATGGGCAGTACTTGCAACACGCGCGGTTTCCATCCTATTTGCTCAGCTCTACTACTTTGACCACAGCTCATGTTCCCCAAAACAAGTACACACCTTTTGTGAATCTCCAATGCGTTTTCTGTTGGTGGGTGGGGCTTGTCTAAATGATGTGCCCGTTTTGTGTACAAGGCCCTGTGCTGAGGTAACCAAAAGGGGATCCTAATCATTGCTAGCCGACCATATGAGGGGAGGAGGCGATGCTCAGCACATCCCTTCAAAATGCCAGAATGCCAAGTGCCACGACCAAAGACCTCGAATTCTTCCTTCATGACAGCTAGATTCTAGAGCCCGGATTGAACTCAGCAGAAGATGAATGAATTACGGGATATTGGGCTCTCTGGGTACCCTGGACCCTAAACCCTGTACGAAAAGTCCTATCAGAAGTCGCACCCAGGCCTCCGGGCGCCTCTCTTTGCTGCGCCAGTGTCTGGTGACCAGCCAAGGCTTGAGGAACTCGGTTTGGGGTTTAGGGTTCAAGGTTTGGGCTTCAGATTGTCGCTAAGGGTTTTGAGTGTCCGGGAGAAATGCGACCCTGATGCCCCCCAAACCCCAAATGAACCTAAATCCCAAGCTTTAAAGGTCGTTGGGATGTAGGCGCCCCGGGCTTGACTTGAGGATCTTCCAGGGCTCCCAACTTTGCTGGCAGGGTTTTGGGTGACTTGGGTTGCGGTGCTGGCATCATCCTTTCTAGAGGGGCTAAGGCCTGACGAGGCCCACCGTGGCACTCTTCCCTAAATAGTCCTACATCCGAGCTCTCCAAAGTTGTGCAAAAGGCAGCTGAGGGCAATAAAAGGGCTTGAGATTGCTTACATCGGGATTGTCGCTGTCGAAGAATCTATAGCCTCACATCAGCTCCCTACAGCAACCCATCCAATACCTTGCACCCAGAAGCAGAAGCCATCAGAAAGGGTTGTTTTGATTCTTTCCTTAGGATTACGTAGACTGGGAGAAATTCTTTAGAGCGGGTTGCGCTGAGGGACCCTTGGACTGGCCACAACTTGCTGAGCTTCTTCTTGAGATTTCTGGGGGAGCTGCTGAGCTCTGCTGGTACTGCCAATGCCGGCTCACTCTTCAACTTCTGTCCAAGTTCTAACGCTGCTGTGGCTGGTTTTGCCCTTTGCAGGCTTGCGCTGCGACGAGCCAAATCGGCCACTAGCGACGCAGGCACCGACTCCTGGTTATCTATGACTACTTAAGACCAAGATTCACTTGATGCAGGACTTGATGTGCCAGGTTTAGGCTTTGAGTCGTGGATGGTTGGGGTCACAGGAACTGGTTGACGGAGCAAGTGCGCGAAGGTAACCATGTGGATCTAACTATAAACCGATGTGTTGTACAACCCGAATCTACTCCCAGCCTGCCCTTCCCGTTTTGTGCTCCACACAACAATGCAGGTGTTGAAGAACCTGCGGGAGCAGCTGACTGGGCGCAGTTGCTAAGCAGTGACAGCGCCCCATTCTTTTGTGAGTCTTCTTCTGTGTTACCGACACTGTGAGTTTGGGGTGTGGGGCTTTCAGTACACGGTTTTTGCTGCATGGTTGGTAATTACTTGTCGCCCATTCATGCGGGGGTTTACCGAGCACGCTGGACTCATATCGCCACGAACATGTCCCACCTTCGCCCTCGCTCTCTCAGATTCCGTGGCCTTGCCGCAGCATGTGCAGCAGCAGTGCTGATGGCTGCGCAGCTTGGCAAACAACCTGGTAGTCTGGAGTCTGGAGGGGCCTCACATCAGGGGCATCGCATCAAAGCTTCTGCTAGAGGCGCAGGTAAGTACTCTATGGGTCTATTAAACGCCAGTTTGAGGGTGCCTAGATGCCTTCAGCCTTGCCCGTCGCGAAAAAGTGGCTAAGGAGCCTGCTGAGACCGTCTCTTGCTGAAGCTGTGCCTCTGGAGGTCCCAGACTGTGCATGAAATGCCTTTGAGAGCTTTGGGTTCCTTTTGGCTTCATTCAGGTTTGACACTCAGGGAACTGCATTTTGGCACGGGCTTCGTGGCGTGAGGATCTAAGACGGTAGGGGTTGCGATCAGAGGTTTGAAATATTGCCGTGCTTTACAACGGCTGAGGCTAAGTGAGGGCTTGCTGGGGCTTGCTTCCTTCCCGGGCCCAGCAAGCTGGCGCAGGTTCTGAAGCGAGCGGAGCAGCAGAAGGTGGGATCCACGACAAGATGGGGTTTCGGGTTTAGGGAGGCTTAGTCTATGAGTCTTGCAGGTTTCGGGTCTAGGGGCTGAAAGGAGGGTTTAGGGGGATCCTACTTGGTCAGCTGCAGGAAGAGGTGCCTCCTCCGTTTGCGATCAGCGACGTACGACGTACAGCTTAGTTTCTGGGTTGTGAAACCATCCCACCATCCTGCCGTATTCAGTAATCTTCAAATCTCTCAAACACCATTCTGTGTTCTCAGGTACAAACCGAGAGCTCGAGGACGTCACTCTGATTTCCGAGTTCGAATGAGTATCCGAATGTGCCTTTCTCGTATCCACTACAGGCAGGTCTACTTTTAGGGTTACTCAAAGCAAGCATCCCGGAGCCCCAAGCATAAACCGTCTTCGACGCTTTGCAAGGAGTCTGCCGCAGGTTCGACAAGAGTCCTCTTCGCGGGCACTTGCAGTTGCCAGGCCTCCTTGTCTAAATATTTATCTACTTAGAGAGTCGGGAGTAGATATCGTCGGGTGCCATTGGGACTGCTGTGGGTTGCTCTCGAAACCCCATCGATACAATTTCAAGCGCAATGGTGGCTTTCTGTTTGGATTGTCAGGAGGGCGATCTAGTCGTTGCCGAATAATGTGCGCCCGAGTCCGACTGATTGGCATGTCCTGTGCAGCTCACCAGCGTCAACAAACGCCTATAGAATGCGCCAGTGCATCCACAGAGGATGACCGGAACCGCTGGCAGGTGTACTTTTCCCGAGTAAACTTGCCGAGTCTGACCCCCGACGCAGGAAGCTGGAAGAGAAGCGAGCTGTGCTATTCGGCACACTGGCAATATCGATGAGGAAGTTCGCGTAGCGATCCTTTTAAGTTTTGGGCCTACAGGCATTTCCCATTCAATTCGGCTGGCTTCGATGGCTTGTGTAAGGTCAAGGGCTGGTTTGTGCAGGGATCACTGCGAAAATTTGTCATGGAAACTCCACGCTGAATCCAGCTAGGTGCGGGCATAGCCCGGTTCGGAATTTCTGCTGATTTGCTGATATGGCTAGTGACCTCCATGTCTACGGTGCGCTGCCTCTGCTCAAAGTCGTGCTGAGACTTAGGTGCATATTGGTGCCCCTACTGCGACCAGGAGTGGCGCTGGCATTTGGGATCCGCAGTTGAGGGCTTAAGCATGCTATTATCTGGCCCCCGACCCAAAACATCCAGGAGCGGCAGGCTCTGGGCCGTCAGGTCTTCGGCAGCAAGGCGGCGTGCGTGGTGCGTTACTTACTCCCCTCGTTGCTCCACAGCCCTGGCTTCCCAGAGACTATCACGGATACCTCAAGCCCCAAGTTGAAAATACAGCCCGGCTGCTACACCCAAAACTTCAAGAAGAGGATGCGCAGTGCACCAGAAGATGTGTGTTTTCTTGTCGCGCCTTCCTCATAAGTCGGTTGGCGTGCCTTCTTGAGTATGTGTTGAAATGCCCATATGCTTGAGTTCTTGACGGATTGGGATTCTAGTGCTCTCCGACACAAAGCTGTGTACACCGAGCACGAATTATATCTCTTGATGTTAGGGAGGGAGTTTCAGTGCAATGCCTCATGTTGATTGCAGCACCAGCCGGCCCGGAGCCCACTACCCCTAAGACCAGACATTTGTAGATTCCTCAGTGCGCCCTGTGAAACAGGCCTATGTTCGATACGTGGAGTGCGACCCACGTGGCGAGAATGCCGAGCCAGGGCTTTGCCAAGCTGCGGGCGTGCCGCTGGGATGCACTGGTCACTGGTGATCGTAACCGTCAAAAGCATCGTCGTAAGAATAGAAGCTATCAGCAAAAAGAACAGCCTTTTCAATTACAATGCTGTACTGACAATGGCAAGCTGCAACAGTAAAAAGACCACTGCCCGGTGTCATCCCCTGAGTTACGCCCACTCGGCCAACCTCGTCTGGTCTTGAGGGAAGTGTTGAGTAGCACACAGCAAATAAATCCCCATGGACTCCAGCGACTGTCCCGGTGCACTGGCCTCAAAGCTTGCCGGAAGGTTCTCAAACCGACGCCTCAAATCCCAAGCTCTTTCTGAAAGCCCATGACCCGAAGAGTCAGGACCAGCTTCCCTACCTGGGCGGTGGCTATCGAGCCGAGCTCCCCAGACGCGCCGCCATACGAGCTCTACCCAGGTCGGTGTCTTTGTTTAGGGAGGGGCCCCCAAAAGCTGGGGGGGTGGTTCAAGATTGGTACAATGCGTGCTTCGGGCAGCCAGAAGGGCATCCCAAGGAGGGTTCAGGCGTTGTCTAGAGAGGCCCGATACCTGTATCTTGAAATCTCGGCGTAAGTTCCGAGACAGTTGCGCCGCTGCGCCATTTCTGGCAAGGCCCTTCGCGGGAACGCAGCACATCTGCCAGAACTCTCTGCGCTAACCACGCCTGAGACCCTGAACCTCCTCCTCCCAAACCCATGCCAAGACCCATCCCAAACCCCCCTGCAGGTTTCAAGGGCCTGCGCGGGCTGGAGAGGATGGTGGGGTTGCCGCCCGGACCCCGAGCTCACGAGGGTCAAACAAGGCCTTGAGTCATACGAAAGTTCTGATAGAAATTTCGGACCATACCCCCTGCCCTTGCCAGTCGGATCCTTTGGAGTGTGATCATCCCCCATGTTCCCAAGCAAGCTCCGTTGAAAGCCTTTGAGTCTGAAACTGTGCGCCTTCCACTCTGAGCAGAGGCTCTGTGCATCTGAGGGGCCGGGGGGCTCTCTTGGCCCAAACTCCAACAGGGGTCCCGATGACGATCGCAGAGGATGTCGCCTCAGAGCAAGGCTGTTGCACCTTCAGTCCCTATATCCGTTTCATCCATCTACACCCCTGGCAACCGGAAAGCTTATGCGCTCAAAGCCAGACAAATACTTTTACACTCCCATTTTTTCTAGATTCGTCAAGCACCCGAGTGTGTTGAGTCCGCGCGCCGGACGGCCCAGGCCTGACCCCGAGGAAGCAGCTGCTGCCGTTGCGCCGCCGGTGCGGACCAACTCCGACACCGAGGTGCAGAAGGAAGTGAAACAAGCAGATTGCAGTCAAGTACTTTACCTATATAAGCATTGGGGTTTTTGTCCATGGCGACGCTCGCCTTGATGTGGTTCAGACTGGAGTTTTTTTTTTTTGGTGGGGGGGGGTTCATGCTTGTACGTGGAATCTCAGGTTGCAGGTGTGCTTGAGTATTGGATCTGCGATTGTCGAGCCAGGTCTTCAGGATTCAGGCTCTCGGTTCTGCCATTCTGACTCCAAGTGCACCTGAACTCCTGCACCTACTCCTCAGCGGCCGGCCCGAACGCCATTCTGTACCTAGTGACCTATAGTGTACCTAGTCCAGCGCTGCTTCGGAGGCGCTGACGGTCGCCAGACGACTGCAGGAAGGTTCGCGTGGTGGACAGTGCACCGGGGGGGGGGGGGGCACCTTCCTCCCCTAAAACCGCTCCTGAAGGGAGACGGGTGAACTCAGTTGAGGCGGCGCAGTCTTCTACGGCACCTACTGGTGCCCTGCTTGTGACGTGCAGCGGCAGGCCTCTCCACTGAGTGCTGGCTTCACGGGGTCGTTCTAAGCTTGGTTCCAGAGGGTGCTTAAGATTCGGGGTTTGGCGTCTAGGGTTTTGGATTTTGGTAGGATTGTTCGGAAACCTGTGTTCTGCATCTGACTGATTTTTCGTTCATGGCGTGCGCCCCTCAGGCGCTATACAGCTGGAATCAGCCCAACGCAGAATTGTCAGAATCAAACCTGCCCATCATCCACCTCATGGGTTGCGGCTCATCCACTGACGCCTCTTTCGTTCAAAATGCCAGCAGGTCTTCGGGCAGCCCGCGTGGGCTAAGGCACGTTCAGGGCAAGGGTCCGAGGTAAGATGCCGATCTGGTGCAAGTGGGGTGCAGGATGGTGCAGGGCTTGGTTCTTTGCAAGGGAGCTTCACCGTGACGCATATTGAATATTGATGCTCTGGCTGCTGTCCCGCCCCCTCCTCTCGGGTCGACCAAGGCCTTGTAGAGGAAAAGGCAATAAGAGCAACTCCCACCTCTGTGCGTGGAGATTGGCTCAAACCTGTTTTGGGGTAGATGCTGAGGAGGATTGAACATACTCATCGTACTTGCTTTCTTCCTCATCTCAAAGCCTCAAGGTGCCCTACGTGGAATGTGATGAACGTGCTGCTCCGAGTTTTCCTCGGCACATGTCTGTAGATGATCCCTGCCTTGCCGCAGGGACCCAAAGGGCTGAAGTTGAAACAGAAGAGCTGTGGAGTTTCTTGCGTTGGCTTAAACGTGAGATCCGCGTGCTTGGGGTTCGAGTCAAATGAGGTTCTGCGCAGTCGGATCCGCTTCGGCTTCTCGCCTGGCAATTATTCTAGCGCTGTGCTGTCTTGCGACGGGATGTGTGCACATGTGGACACCATGAGTGCTCGACATCGGAGAACTCACGACAGGGGATGTGGATGTGCTGTTGGTTTCGTGAAGCACCGACCGCCAAGATGCCTTCGCGCTGGTGTGGATGCCATTCCCTTCTGGACCTTTGCAGATGGCTCTACCCACGCAGGGGTGCTGACAGTTTCAGTGACTCGACTGTCTTCGTTTGTTGCGACATATGTATAGCAGTAGTACCTGCAGAAAGGCATGGAGCTGAGCCCCAAGCTCCAAGGATCTCCAGGCAAAGTTGCAGAGCTCCACGCCTGCGCAAGGCCTCCTGTTAGACTTTGATCTGAGTCTGTGTGGCACCAAGAACGGACGGTTGCATGGAAACATGTACATGTATGATATCTTGTGTCTACGTAGTTGCATTGATTTTCCCTACTGCTTCTCGTAGCCGTTTACGAAAGCAGCCGCCAGCATGCTACTGCTAGTGCTGCTCATGCGGCTCCTTCTACTCCTAAGGGTAGCTGTGATTATGTATGCTACGGTTTCCATTACAAGTCCTTTCCTCGTACTGATACTACTTCTATTCCGGAAGAATGTGTATACCCGCTGCTATATTAACAGCTGTTGGCTTTTCTTATTGCCATACGGTTAGTTGCAGCTTGTTTCTTACTATGTACCTTCACATTACTCTTTCTCTTAAGCACGACCATCATGCGGGTGATTCGAGGAAAGGTTGACTGACAAGGCGTCTCAAGTGCTGTCAAGCCTCTAGAGCTGCAGCGGTACTCTTTTGAACCTAAGCGCTGACCAGGGTCCTTGCTCTCGAGACGCATTTTTTAGAGTCGACAGTCTGGTTTCCGTGTTGGAGATCCTTGCGGAACCCATCCCCCAGCCCCCAGCTGCTTGCAGTCCCTTCTGCTGCCTCGCGTGGTGCACCGGTCCAGCTGCCGATGCCCAACTCTGACTGCCCGGGCCTCGCAGCAGCTCCCTTTCTTAGCTCCTGTGCTCTGGGAGGTTCTGAGTAGATACAGCATCCTGCTTCAATCGATTCTTGGGCATAACTTGTGAAGAACGGTAGTGTATGATAAACACATATATATATATATATATATATATTATGCACATATTCTACCGACCCTCTCACAAGAGCGTACAGAAACGCAGAGACTTGGCGACTGCTTTGATCGGCTGTCCGTGGATATGGGCTTGACATGGTGCAATGCAAGACTACCTCTAGGAAACCTGACTCAAAAGCCGAAAACACAACCCCCCCCCCTCCCGCCCAATTGTTTGAGAGCCAACTTGCTGGGGTATTTCGGTATCTTGACATGCGACTAGACTCACATCAGCATTCACTGTAGCATCTGCACGGGGGCAAGGCCCAAGGCTGGTCTTTCAACAGCTACAGAACCGGATCATGGCTGGGTAGAGAAAATGGCTTTCAGCTTTAATCCTGAACCTGCTCGAAGTTCCTAAAAACTATATACATATATATATATATATATATGTATATATATATATATATTCCTAAACTCCCAAAACCCCTAAAGCTCCTGAGCCCTCAGCGGGGCACCCCAGGTAAGGACTGCAAGATCGGCGACCGTCCGGGCGAGAAGCCAAGCGCCGCAGCCAAGAGCTGACAGGCGGCCAGGCGGCGGCCCCCCAAAATGTGCTGCATGTGTAGAAATGTGTGGAATGTGTGGAACGATCTAAGTTTGGTCCCTTTTGGGTCTCCTAAGTAAGGCTCTGAGCCTGAAAGCAGGAGACACAATAGTAACAGTGCGACATGGGCTCAAGTTTCAAGATTGTGTGCTGCAGGCTTTGGCTGTCGAGATCGGTCGGGTCGCGACGCACCGCGGGGATCAGCGGAGATAGCCGCTGTGCACTCTGATGCGCATCTTTCTGCAGTAGACGGTGACAGACAGTACTACAGCTGCAGTCCGCGCACTGCAGCGCTTTGTTGTGGGCATGACGGGCTTGGGTTTGGTGTTGGGCGGTGCCAGGAGTTTTGTTTCTTGGCGTTCTTAACTGGCGTGAGGTGCCCTTATGTTTTTCTATACCTTTGTGTAGCTGTGGTTGGAGGTTCATGCACACCAAGTGCACTATAATACCAGCTACCTACCCGGTTACCCTGAACACTAGCATGCTTTCGCCGCTTTCACAAACGAAGCGAGTTTGGGCGGCATCGGTTCGCAGCGTGGACCCAGGAGCGTGGGCAAAAAGGACTGCGGTGTCTGGATGACAGCAGATAACAGCAGACAACTCCACGCATGCCACGCACAATGCACTCTGCCAGCTGCGAACTAGGAACTGCACACGTGGAAACCCATGTGAACTGGGGCGAAAGGCAGCAACGTAGATCACTTATGGTCGCACTTGGGAGGCTATGGCAGCAGCCCGCGAGGAGTTTGGGGAGGCTCACTTGTTCAGACTGAATACTATTAGCTCTCCGGGTTGCGAATTGTACATGGTGGCCATGCACGCGCAACCCGGCAAGGCCTCGGACATTATACTTCCCCATGCTGTAGAGCCGTACATTGCAGACAATCATTCTAGTCACCGTGCGCATCCCAGCTAGGGCGACCTGGATTTTCCGGCACACCTTGCCGAATGCTGAAGTCTCTTTTTCTGGCATGGCTTGATGAGGACGTCGAGCTACGGCAGGAAGATGATGTCCTCGACACTTGGTTCTCGCCGGGGAGCGCAGAAATGGGACTGGCTATGCGAGTGCATGCACCGGTACACCCACTACTTGTACAGAACCGGTCCCAAAGAAGTGTGCGAACTGTAGAGCTCGGCTTCAGAGGATACGTACGTCATTTAAGTTCCCATCGTGCTGCCCCCCCCCCCCCCCCCCCCCGCCCAAATCAAGGAAAAAGGGCCCGTGGGGTTTCGGACCGAAGCTTCAAGGCCTCAAAGCCCTGCAAGAATAAGCAAAATTGGAGGTCAGGGCTTTGGCCCTTCGCCACTGTGGGTTGGCCAGATGAGTCCTCGGGCGACTACGCCAAGTACTACCCAGACCCAGCCCTAGAGAATGCGCATATGAGAAGGCATTCACAGTATGAGGTGGCTTCAGCATTCGAGGTTGCAGTTGTGGGTGCAAGAGTCTTGTGAAGTGAATGCACTTTAGTTTGCGGAGCACATACAAAACAGAGGGCCGACAGGGAGTTAAGCAATGCTCACAGTGACCTTGCAACCGGGGTCCAAAGCGTGTGGAAATGAAAAGATGGTTCGAATGAACGTCCGGGACCTTGCACCCACCCCCACCCCCCACCCCGCTGGCCGCCGTTAAAAACGTTTTCAAACGGGTTGGGGCTTGGGCGTTGTTCCTGGTAGGCTTTGGGAGTGGGCATCTATAGGGGCATTGCGTGGCCTGGAGAAAACTCAGCCCATCGAGTCCACCCGATATCATGCGATGTCAGAGTCCAGGCTCGAGGTTTGCACATGCTGGAGCTCATGTTTTGGATTTATTCGCTCGGCCGAGGCCACGATGATGGAGACTGGATACGTCTTGCTTGGCTCGCTTTCGCCTTCCACGATGCGTAAGCCATATATACAGCAGCAATTTTTTGCATACTGACATCAATGTGGATCCAGCATTGAGCCCGTACTGTGCATGCTTCTGGCCTATCTCATTGGCCAGGACATCCTGTTCTTCTGGGTGGCCCGCATGGTGATGATGGGACTCACGCTCACAGACAAGGCCGGCCCCATCAAACACAGAGCCCCAGCCTCACATCCCCCAAAAAACCCCAAGCGAACTCCTAGAGCTTTCCCTTCACGCAGGCTCCGTTCAAAGAGATCTACCTTCATGGATTGGTTCGGGACGAGAAGGGCCAGAAGATGAGCAAGACCAAAGGCCCATCTCTGCGAATGTATAGTTCGGATTTGCTCAGAGTTCTTTGCTGCTCTTCCATGGGCTCTGACTTGCACATGTGTCAAAAAAGCCAAAACTAAGTGCAGCACTTCGGTTGAAGCAGCGCCGTGTGCCATACAGTCCATACAGTCCATGCAAGACAACAGCTGCGGAGATCCTGGCAGGCAACGTCGTGGACCCCCTGGACGCCATCGCTGACTATGGGACGGATGCCCTGCGCTACGCGTTGCTGACGAGCAGCGCCGGGAGACCCAGGTAACACACAGGATTGCCATCCTAAAAAGACTCCTGATAATCGAGGGAGATGTCGTAAGTTGGCCTAATCAGATTGGTTTTATAGGCGTGAAAGGACGCAGGAAAACCAAGCGAAAAAAGTGCCTTTAAATAAACCATTATATCGCACTTACAAAATCGGTGACCGATTTTCCCAAAGTCGGTGCCTGATCTTTCCACCGAGCCAGTTATGTTTTCCATCTGCATCGCACTTACAATACTTCTATTCATGCGTGCACTGATAATATTTTAATTAAAGGGGGCTCGCTTCGCTGACTATTGTACTACTATTCACGCGGGCCTTTATTGCTCACTATACGCCTGCGTGACGGCGAAAAGACAAGTGAACTCACTTGTTGACACTTCCTGCAGCACCCGTAACCCACAACAAGATCTAAGGTAATACCAGGATGATACGCTTAATGAATACTGGGGTGGGGACGCGGTGTTGCTGCCAAGGGAGCCATAGACAGCAACATAGGCTCGCAGCAACCTTTGTGCCAGTGCCTCTTGCATCCGCTTCCTGCATCATGCTTTCAATTGTTTACCGAGAATAGTAGCGCTTCCGTTTTCCATAATTTATCTGCCAAGCACATACATCTGATATCCGCGAATTCCCCTCGCATACTGGCGAGTTTGACATTAGAGGGTTCAGCTACGGTTCCAGCACGCCGCCAAGTACAAGAACAGCTTCAAGATTGCAACAAACAAACATGTACGATTTTCTGTACGATTCAGGTCGCTGGCATGGATGTTCCGATCAGCAAAGGCAGCCTCGAGAATGCCAAGGTGGCCCTGGCTGTATGTGGCTGCAGTTTACGAAGATAATGTCGACATTGGTATATTGGTACTTCGCCGACATTCTGGGTTCATGGATGCACAACCTCAGCGACAATGCAATCCTTGACTCCAACTCGCGCATGACCAGCAACACTAACTGAAACCCACGACTGCCTCACCCGCCGTTTTTAGGGCAGGGCTCTAGAAACTCAGATTTAGAAAGACATCCGTCGTTCTGAAACCCGTACCCCGCAGTACTAGTAGGTGTCACTGGCATGTCTGCCTCCTTACATGTTGGAAGGCTAGAAACATGCCAGGCGACCAAGCCGCTAGACCACTGGCACCCGAAATGTCTTAGGCTCCACTCGCACTTATTCCGGACTCTGGTAGTTCTTGGGGTTGGCCTCTGATCGCCCCACGTACGCCGCCTCAAGCTGTAAGCTGTAGGAGTGTTCATATGCAAGTGCTCGAAGGCCTTTGCCAACAAGATCTGGAATGTCGGCCGATTCATCATCACGGAGCATGAGAAGAATGCTGAGACCATCACTACGGTTCATGCCCTACTCAACTCGTGACAGATGTGTGGATCATGCTTGGAGTGTATGCCGCTGATAAGTGCATGCTGGTTCGTGTGGGTGCTCGTGCGGAATGTTCTCATGGTCATATATAGCAGAAGGCTGGGTCAGGAGGAGTCCGTATCCTCCAAGCCCCTTTCCTCCGTTCAAGCGCGAAGAATGCCCAGAACTTCCAGAGCGGCATGCAGTTCTCGGATGAGGAGATCGCCTCCATGCTGAGTCCTCAGGCTTACAGCAGGTTCTGAAGAGCAGCGTGCAAGTGATGGCTGTCAGATCGAAAAGCTGGTCCACCAGCAGCTGAAGTCTCAAGTCAGCTGAGAGGTGAGAGATGCGACAGCGAACCAGGGTGCCCGTGCCCGCGGCAAAACCCTAGCAGTCCAATACCCTAGGAACCCTAGCACCCTCACACCCCAAACGGCCCCAAACTGTTCAAGGCCCTGGCTTGAGCGAGCACTGCTCTCGAAGCCTTGAGCCCAATTTTCGCCAGTGACAGTGCCATGTTTCATTCCACAGCATCATACAGGCAAGTTTATGTGTACATGTGTGTACACGAGTTTTGGGAACATTGGCAATCTTTCATGCCTGCCTGCACGCATGTGCGCATGCAGACGTATAGTCCGTGAAATTTACCAGAAGCGAACAGCCGACAGAGCATGACTGACGTGTCACCTCCTTAACGCAGGGCCGTTGGCAAATAGTTGGACATTGTAACATTGTATGACATTCTAGTCGGACGTTTCTCAAAGCATTGCCCAGATTACAAACGTGTCGCCTGCCCCCTCTCCCCCGCAAACCTTGTTTCAACGCGGCACCTCCTGTATACTGGATACTATGCAGAGCACCATGAAGCCATAGCACCCGATCAAATTTTAAATTTCCTGAAGTACCATGAAGCTACAGTACTGACAAACCGCAGAGCAGTTGACCTTAGACATGCTTGAGAATGAAGCCCCTGACCCCTTCGACGACTCAGCTGAGAGGTGCAACGGCCTTTGCGAGAGCGTCACTGCGGCCTTGTCGGCAAACAGCTTCGCGCCGCCCACGAAGGCCTTCGAAGACTTGAAGATGGCTGGGCCTTGAGGGCTTCAGGCGTTTGCGGCATGTAGGCGTTGTGCTGCGAACATTTTGGCTTCCAGGGCTGTTTTGGGTGTCGCAGGGCTTTGGGGCCCATTTGTGTTGTGGGGGCTGTTATTGTGTTCAGGAATGTTCAGGGTGGCAATTGGCTTTGTGGAGTCCGTGCTTGTCCAGTGCGTATCTTCGGCGTTTGTATGGGAACAACATGGAATAACCAAGCAGTCATCTCCCTGTGATGAAAGCAGTTCATCCTGCCTCGTGATATTTGGCTTGGGCGGAGAAAGCGACCTCTGCAACCCCGACCAGCCTGTGATAAGGTGGGAGAGGCTGCTTCTACAAATTATGCCCTCCCGAGATCGACGAATTCTGCTGATGGTGGTAGTAGTCGTCGTTGTAGCTGTAGTCGAAGTAGTCATCATCGCCATCTTCTAGTAACGTAGTAGTGGTAGTAGGCCAGTTCCTGGTAGATTTGCGATTGTGTTTTGTGCATCATGCTTGCTGCATCACCATGGTGATTGTTGCTTGCTATGAGATGAATTGTTACCACAGCAAGTAATTCGTCCACTGCTCCTGCTTCTGCTACTTGAATGCCGGTGATTCTCTTATTGTTTTGGAACTGTTCTTTTTGTCCATTAGGGCTTTCCTGTTAATATACTAGAAACTCTTCATATGCTTCGCTTAAGCAATGGCGCAAGCCCCGTTTTCGGATGGCAGATCTTTCGGATCTGTGAGCCTTTACGGGAATCTCGTGTAGGTCACCGAGTAAACCTCTGGGGTCGAACTTGGCTCCTTTCAGGCTCCTGGATCTACGTACAGTCATCTATAGCTTCTTTCTGAACCAGGAAATCAAGGAGTTCTTGCAGGAGGATGTGGCATCTTGGTACGTGCCTCCTGCCTTCGTTGCAATGCAGCTTGAGCCTTTATGAGCCAGTCAGAAGGGATAAGAAGGGTGCACGTTTTGTTGAAGCAAGAATCAGTCTGACAGGCCAGGGAATAATTGATGTTGCCACTGTTTCTGACGCCTGAAGTTTCCGTCATCGGTATGCGCTGAAGTTCCAAGTCGAAACTCCTAGAGTTTTTTCATGTTGATGTCTGATCGCCGCCTCCCTTTCAAGCCCGTGACAAGAAAGTGCAACACGCACGTATTCGATCCTGACCCTTCCTGCCCATGATGGCTGCCGTGGGGACAAACAATCTGAACAGGCACCGCGCGAATTCAGACAGAGTCGGTGCTGTCGGTTTGTGAAGTTCGTTGCATGCCGCATGCCTGCATAACCAAGTTTTGTGTTCCGCTCTCTAAAGCCATCTGTGGGAAGCTGTGGATCTGCGAAGCCGTGAGCATGTTTCATTCCAACCAGCGGCCTCCATCACTGCATCAGGTCTAACTTTCATCTTGAAAATGTTCTCACCCTGCATCCTTCACTTCAACGTTGCAAGCACCTCTTGCTCCTTTTTGCTTTGCAGAGGCCAACGGGAGACCTCAGCCAGGCGGAGCGTGGGGAGATGCCGGTGGCACCTCAGCGGCTTTCATTCTTACATATTGTTCAATATTGCACATATACATACATAAACAAATGAAAATATAAATAATATAAATATATAAATATATATATATATGTGTATATATATATATATATATGCATATATATATATATATATATGTGTGTGTGTGTGTGTGTGTGTGTGTGTTTGTCATTTTGTTCGCAGATTTTATTGTCCACCAGAAGCATTCCCAGGTGCAGGGGGTCCCCGTCGGTGCGCCGGGCATGAGTTGCCCCATGGGCATGGGGCCATGGGCATGGGGGAGAGGGGATAAGTGTAATTTTGTCTATTTAGTTTTGCCTCGACCTCTTGAGTCTTCTCGTACTGTAGTTGTCCTTGCGGTTGCCGCTGCTTCCGGCAATCAGCTTCTCAGCACACTCACCTGAAACAGACGAACTTTGAAGTTTCTTGAAGAACCCCTGCAACGCCAAAGCCCAGTCAAGCAATCCTTATCACACAATAGAATACATACAATAGACAACAATATATACATAGATATATGTGGTAGCATATGTGTATATTGTGTGTGTAGAACATTATAAACATAGGTACTATCATCATACAAAAAATATATATTTTTTCTATAAGATATCTGGGACCCATGGCAGGTGGCCCGCGCCCCGGCCTCGTCGGAGCCCCTCAGATGATGGCCCCGGTGCCGGTCTTTGCGCTGCCGCCGGAGGCCTGGATGTGCCTGGATGTGCCTGGAGCAGGGTTGGGGGTTTAGGGTTGAGGGTTTAGGGTTTAGGGCAAGTTTAGGGTTTAGGGTTTATGGGTTTAGGGTTTATAGGGTTTAGGGTTAAGGGTGTAGGAAACCCGTGAAGTCCAACCTTCCCCTCAACTTCCTTAAACCCCAGAAAGTCCCTGTAAAGGCTGTTCTAGGCCCTAAACATCTCACGTCCCAGAAGCACTAAGCCAGACTCCGTCATCAGAGGGTTGGAAGGATCTGGCTGAGTGGAGTGTGGGCTGAAGCTGGTAAAAGGCATTTGTAAGAAAGCCAAGAAGTCGGTGACTTGAAGCGAGGAGCTTATTGCCCTGAACTACCGAACGGCAGTCATGTGCTTCGCCTTCGTGAATCTCATGACCACGGTGCCTCGGCTTGTGGTCCAGGCTTGTGAGCAGTGCTTCGACCGAGTGAGTCCATGAATAGCACAGTATGTAGACAGAGTTCTAGAGGGATAGACGACCGGATTCCAGGTTTATGTTTGTTCCTGCAGCCCCGAGAGAGAGAGAGAGAGAGAGAGAGAGAGAGAGAGAGAGAGAGAGATGGAGGGAGAGGGAGAGGGAGAGGGAGAGGGAGAGGGAGAGGGAGAGGGTCTGCTTCAATCATCATTTTCAGTTCACACCGGCTTCACTACTTGGCTGTGGAGCCCTGGGACATCTCGTCTCTGGGCCCGGCCAGAGTCCGACGTATGTCAATCAGCACCTGTCACAGACTGTCCTGCCAAGAGCCCTGTCCTAATCCTCAGAACCAGCACGCCTGAGCCCGGCACCCTCGGCTTTACCCTGAACCCCGGAGCCGTCCAGTTGAACTCGACCCCCCCAATTCCAGTGCGGGCAGGAAGGGGTGGGGTCCGGAGGTTAGTTGTTTGGGAAACGTTGGCTGTTTTGAGGAGGGTCAATACCAGGGTTGAAGCAAAAATTTGAATGTACCGAACCAAGGCTTCTTTTGATGAGTAGGGGTCAGGGCTTGACACGGTGAGGTGCTGAACGTGATTACCGCCGTTGCCTTCGACACAAGGTTGGAAAAGGGGGGGCCTGTGGTGTCAATCTGCAGCCAGATGGCACTTGTAGTGACTCGTTGTAGCTGCACAGTGGCACAGTGGCTTCTTGCAGGTGGGGCACTTGGTCACTGATCCTCTTGGTCTTCATTCTAGGCCTGCTCATGGATGATTTGCGGGGTTTTGTGGTGGGCAGCAACGAACCAGAAATCAGACTGTTAAGAAAGTAAGAAACCCGGCCATGCCAGAGCACCACAGAAAAGAACAGACAAGACGAAGAACCATTGCCAACCTAGTACCTCACAGCATACAGGATGGCACCCAAGACATTGCAGACGAAGGATCTCATACCCCTGAGCCCTACAAAGCCTGAATCAGAAACCAAAGCCAAATGCCCATTCCCAGTTTCATCCCCGTCGATCCCCACTCCTTCAATAACGGGATTCATAGCTTAGCTGCCTTGGAAATGACAAGGAAGGGAAGTAATAAGACCCTTTGGGGGCAGAAGGGGTTTACAAGGCCCCATCAGCGGTCTCGTGGGCGCCAAGCACCTGAACCGCGGTCTGGTCACTGCACCCCGGGCCAGGATGTCTTGAGACAGCGCGCTCTCTTTTTTGAAATCGTTACTTATACTTGGTTACATTAGTGCTTCTTTTCATCGTGTCTTACATAAGGAGCCGTAAACACAAACACTCAATCAATCTGAAAGGGTTTTTGAAGGTCTTCTCCACAAGGGATTCTGGGATGGGGAACATCCTTGAACTAGGTGAACTATAAGTTTCATAAATTGTTTGCGTCTTTTCACAGCAACTGAGATTGTGTGGTGAGGCTAGAAACTTGAAGTATTTTTCTTGCGAGGGTGACTGCCCCACACCGTTCGTGTAGATTTGTGCCGAATCCAAACACTTCGCATTTGGGGGTTCTGTCTGCGCTGTGAAAGATGTAGGGGTGGCTTTCCTGTAGAAGTTGTCAAGCTCGGACAGGCCGAGGATTTTGAAACCTTCAAGGCATACCATTCTTTGCCTCGTTCCGGCGAGCTGCAAAAGCATGGTTGCCACTGAGCTTTGCAGTCTGAGGTCTATTTCGCCTTTTGCGTGTTCCAGTGCATTTGCCAGATTGCCCTGGCCGCCTACACGTTCTGGCTTTGGACGATCCTCTTTGCGTTTGTACAGGCGAGTTCTGCGTTCCGGAAGCGTTAGTTTCGTATGCTTGGAAGCCTTGGGTTGCTCATGCTCAGAACAGCTCGCTGTTTGTTGCGGCTGTTTGCTCTTTACCCTGCACGTACCCTGACAGGTTGGGCTGCTGTAGTTTGACTCTGGCACCACATCCCTAAGCGTCTTGCGCTGGCGCAGGTCTGGGTGACGAAGATTGTGGCCACCTTCTGGTACGCTTTGGGCACCTTGGCTGGCAAGACCCCTGCTCATGTGTGGACCAGCAGCAACTGGTGGCAAGCTGGGACGGGCGCAGGATCAGGAACCGCTTATGTGGACAATCCTGTCATAATGTGCGGACCTTTCCCTCGTTCCAATGCTCTCAGGTAGGATACCGCTTGAGCGTCGCAGCCAGCTGCTGGACCTCAAGGATGTTGAGGTGCGAATGGTGTACTGGTAATTTCTTCTGAGCGCCTTCCTGGCTTGATAGATGGGATACCAGGAGTGACTTGCTCATTCAACATGGCAAATGTACAGCTTGCCTCAGTTTAATGCTTTGTCGAAAATCGAAGAAGCTCCATCGAGATCCGTCTGTCTTTAACATATATTTGGTGATTCATCGTCTCTATGGAGATTCCTCTTCGTCTTGTTCGTCTTCACCCTCTGAGGTTGACAGAAGTTCGCCTCGCAAGAGCAGCACAGAAAGAAACCCTGCTAGATCGAGCGATGCTTTTGCCATGAGCCTCCCAAAACTCGATGTCAGCATTAAGTGCAGACCGACGCTTGACTCGGACTATGTGGGGCCAGAGCTGATGCTCTGAGTCGTTTTCCTGAGACGCGGGTCATTGTAAAGCCGCGCCTTGGGGCAGAATGGATGCATGTTTGTGAGCTTGCGGCATCTGTTGCAGCCTGCACCCTCAATGCGCCAGAAAGAGGTACGCCCGTTGTGATTATTTGCCGTGCCAAACAAGACAGTCTTGCAAAATCATGTATATTCGGGTGTGGGTGTCATATTGTTGTATAAGATGTGCCATCTGAAGTCGTTTTAGACCTTTTCCCTTCCGTACTCTCGACTCTTGGCACGCGAAGCATGCATCTGGACGAAGTTATTGAAGATACCGAACTTCTTCGATGATGCCAGGTGGAGGCTTCCAAGACCCGGCTCCAAGATCACTTAGGCCGCTCACTGGGGCTCATAGCCGCAGGAGAATTCCATCCTCCAACGAGTAGTGGTTGCTGCCTGGCCCTTCGTGGCGAAAGCTGTGCAGCACCGCTCTTTGCTTCAGATGTGTTCACCACTACTAGCTTCACTTGCAGAAGCCCTCTAAGCTAGAAGCACTGACTGCCCTTACACCCCAGCATAAACCCTAGATGCTGTGTAAAGGCTATAAGCGTTAGATCTTCTGCGAGCCCTACAGTAGCTGCAATTCCAAGAAAGCCCTTGAGGACAGCTGAAAGCCTACCAAGCCCGTTTTGTTTGCGTGTGTTTTTGTTTGTGTCTTTGTTTGTGTCTTTGTTTGTGTCTTTGCTTGTTTGTTTGTCTGCGTTTGCATGTGCGTGCATGGAGGCGGCGACCCGAAGAGCCCGGAGGCTTGCGGTCCGAAGTCTTGACGTTTCGGCGGGCAAGGGCAAGTAGGGCTTCGGGGTTGCGAATCCTTTTCCAAAAGGGCGGCAAGAATTTGAGTGCTAACCAACTGCAAGTTATGTTTGATGATGAACCCCATCACAGAGTTCTAGGATGGGTTTTGTGTATCAGCTGGGTGCAGATTTGAGGCGTGGGATCCTGCAGACTTGACTTGGCACGTGCGAAGGGGTTGGGGTGCAGGGGAGCAAAGCACGATGGCCTGTATCGCGCAGCCAGTGTTTATGTTAATTCAGAACTTGGTACCTGCATTGCATTCTCATCATAGTAGGATTGGGTTTGAAGAGCCAGGACGGATCCATTAAGAAACCAAAAATGCAGTATCTCTTGGTGGTGTTCTGACAGGGAAGGACCAAGGCTAAGGTCGACTTGCGCAACTTGCAGTACACGCGTTGATAATGCTTTGCTGATGAGGGCTATCTTCCTCCACCTCCTCCAAGATAGCATCGTCAGAAGCTGTCCTGCTGTGCTCAAGGCCGCCACGGCTCAGAAAGTCCTGCTCTACCTCCTGGAGGTTCTGGCGCTGACTCTGTCAACTGCAACCTGAACACTCACGCCTTGCCTGTATCTTGCGGAACATCCACGAATGCGACAAGACTGTACTACTTAGTACTTTACCTAAGTCTGTCTTCCTGGGGAGCGTCACTGGCTCGATTTGGGCGCGAGCTATCTCTGTCTGCGGCACAGGTGTCCCTGAAGCTTCTTCATCCGTTCATGCCATTTGTGACGGAGGCCTTCACCTGCTTAGTCAAATCACACCATACCATACATTGTGTTGTCAAAGGGTTGGGATGTCACGTGTGCGTTTCCCGATCAGTGTTTGGCACTTGCACCTGCAACTGCACGTCTCCGTGAGGCGCTCATAAACCTTGAGCCTTGAACACGAAAACACGGTGCAAGGCGGTCTGGCAGCGACTGCCGCGAACCAAATCGTTCAGGGCTGAGACCCGCTGTGATCGCAGGCTGTATGTACTGGGGTCGAGGATGGTCTGGCGACTTCGGACAAGTTTGTTCTCCACTTACTGTAAACCTTAAGGGACAAAGCTCCAGTCGTTAGAAATCAGGGGCTTGTGTGGTCCAGACCAGTCCGGGCTTGGGGTTTCGGTACCAAAAGACTCTACCCACACCCACACATACTTGCCCACATCAAGTCCGTCAAAGGTTTTGCAAAGCCTTAGCGGCATAAATGCGTCCGCCCTCAGTTCTTGGAGCCTCGTTCCACATCAGGTCCCCGCAGTCTTTGATGATCAGCGCATGGACAGGCGCTTAGAGCTCTGAGATCGTTCATCGGCGCTCCGTTGTGGCTTTTGCAGGGGCTCCAGGGGCATGCATAACATCTCCGCTGCCAGAAGTTTCGAGTTGGGGTCGAGACTTCGAGACATGTTGGGACATGTTGAGGGTAAACACGGGGAAAACTCAGGCCCCAGCCGGCGACACAGCGCGACATGGAGGCGGAAGGCCAGCGAAGTGTAGATGCTGGTTTCCCTCTCAAGAAGGGGAAGAGAGGTGAGGCTTTCAGACACAGACCTGGAATCGTTGGGCCCATGTCTTAGGCATCGGGCTTGAAAAGAAGGATGACGGGTTTCGGGCGTGGCTTCGGACTCATCAGCAGTAAAGTAATTAGCCTATAGCCACAGAGCCGCCAATTTGACAAAGAGAGGGGATCCAAAACCACGAAGGCTGCGAAAGCCCTACTTGTAGTAACCTCAACTCTATGCATTATCATGCATCATCATGCATCATGCGTTGCCCTGGGACCCTACCAGCCCCCCAACGCTGCGAAAGCCTGAGCCCCAGGTTGGTTCGCCAAGCTCACCGCTTTGACTTCTGCGGTGCGCAATGCCCGGGCAGAGCAGGGCATTGCCCCGAAGGCCCCGAAGCAAAGAGGGAGTGTTTATGGAGTTTAGGGAGAGGGTTTGGGAGAGCGTTTGGAGTTCAAAGGTGCTGGGTAGGTCTATAGGAGCTGCAAGGGTTTAGGAGTTTTGGTTTTCGTACCCCTAGGACCCTCGCAGCGCGTCCGACCTGAGCCTCGAGATGCATGATCATTCAGTTAACATGAGCTGCGTGCTGGGATTCAGGCCAAGCCCCAAAGAAGGACTGGTTTTGCAAGCGCGGCATCCTCCCCAGGAGCGTCCGCCGCTGACATTCTGGTGCTCCGACGCTGGCTTCCAGGACCACGGCAAGTGGCAAGACCGCGACCCTGCTGCTTCGTCGGCCGCTGTTTGTGGGAACCGCATCCCAGCCATGCTTTTCGCCTCACCGAGCTCCGTGCCCTAAGAACAACGCAAATCATGGAGGGTACTCTTGAATGGCACGGTCCAACACACGCATTGGGCCTTGGGTCCGATTGTCGGAAATCGGCCACGTAGCATGTTGCCTGCAGCGCGAGGTCTGTGTAGGGTCCGCGTAGGCAAGTCTATGCAGTATGTCCGCGTAGGTCTAAAATTCTTAAACACCAGGTCGCAAAATTTCGAGTAGGCTTGAATTGACCAATTATTTTACTTCGAATATCCCCACCCTCTCTGGGAAGAGATACTCTGGGGTTGGGCAGTCCAGGGACACTCTGGCATTGGGCACTCAGTATGGGCTTGGGCGAGGAGTAGACCGGGCGAAGCAGACCGGGCGAGGAGAAGAGTTTAAATTCTAGCAACCTTTTCCCCACCACACCGAGGGTGGGGAAAAAAAACCTAGATTCCAGGATCTATGGCCCCATCAGCCTCATGGATGCCAGAATCTTGTCTATCTTTTTTTACATTCGATCCTGGCCGGGTTTTCGCGACCTGGTGCTTCAAGGCTTTTGCAAAATTCGAGCCGGCTCGAATTGTCCGAAAAGAATCTGTATTTCAGGATCTGAGGGGGGGGAATTACTCTCAAATTTAGGCTTGTTTTGGAAACCTCGATCTTGCTCGATTTTTGGCCACCTGCTGCTTCAGGTTGTTTTCTGATCCTGGCAGTGTTTTGGGTACAAAACATCAAAAAAAAGCCTGCATTTTTCAAGCCGACTCCAGTTGTCCTTACATGATGCTTTGCGAATATATAGGTGTTTATCGGCACTGTCGATGCAACCCTCTCCCCTTTTGAGATCCGTCTCTTTCCAAGTATTGAGGTGGATCATGGGGGGAGGGGCGGGGGGGAGGGGGTGGGGGGCGACATTCATATACATGTATATACAAGCCGTAAGAGAAGTTCACAAGCAGCGTGCCGTGGTCTTTGCGACGCAAATTCCGACGCTGCACACAGATACACAGACCTAGTGCTGGAGAAGCTTTGCAGTTGTTGCAGTTTTAGTTTTTGTTCAGCAGAGTGTGCGTAGATTCTGATTGTACTCTAGTACAGTCATTTGTAAAGCTTGGGGCGCATGCGTCTCCCGAAACGTTAAACCTTATACAGCAGTGATTCGGTTCGAGTTCCTTGCATGGCATCGCCTCGTAGAACTTAGATAACCTCATAACCCACAAAAAAAGTCATACCAAGGAGAACATAGGCTTCAAGACATTTGTTCTGTGTGCAGGAAGCACTGCAGAGCGAGCGCTACCCGGCTCGGAATGGCCAGAGTGAGAGATTCGCTGGTTTCGGGCGTCCGGTTTTGAGATTTCATGGCTTAAGATAAGGTACTAAGTTTAGTATTCAGTTGGCCGCTGGCGGAAGAAGCCTGTGTTGCCACCATGCTTGGCAATTTCCTGCCCAGCATTTTAGGTGAGGTCCGCATCTACACGGTCATTTCTTTATGGGCAAAACAGTTGCGCACGAGGAAACCCAAAGAATGATAAACTTGCTCACGTCCTGAATCCCTGAATCCGAGGCTCTGCTCTTTCTTGGCTCGCCAGAGCTGATCCCGACCAGATCGAGGTGCTGTGTGCGACCTTCTAAGCTCTTCGTGGTTCACCAAGCTTCAGTGATTCAGGGTCTATAGGGTTTAGGGGGTGGACATCGTGTAGGCGTTCATAAATCTGCTCTTTCAGGCAGCGTGCTCTCTGCCATTGCGACAGCCACGATGTGTTTGTCTCATTGTGCACCCTTAGCCCTTCTTCGTTAAAGGCTCCGGAGAGCCACCTACCCAGCCGCACGCAGGGCGGTCAGGCTAGTGCTGACAATGACCATTGCCAGGCACGTCCAATGGCAGATCGGCCAGCTGAGACGTGGCCTAGCACAAAATGATACAGATACTCTCTACGGGCTCATGTGTGATGTCCTACAGGGCGCCAGAAGGCTATTTGTGGAAGTTTCAGGTTGTCGCCTGATGATGCTAGAACTCAAAAAAGCACTATGCGCTGCAGACTGCTGCTTGCGGCATAGGTCGGCTTGCAGAATTTGTGTTGGAAGCTGCTGGCGTTGCGTATCCAATACAGACTCCCGGGTCTGTAGACGGTTTTCCAATTTGTCCTCAATTTTTGGAAAGTTGTCATTTGAGTCGAGTGGACCGCTGTGCCACCACGAAGGCCGGAAGGCTGCATCCGGATTGTGGTCTCTGAAGAGATCGAGGCGGTTTCGATGCTTAATGCATGTCTTCATGTCTATCAGGCACATGCTCTAGATTATCTGTCTTCGGACCGTGATATTCTCCAAGTTGCCTCAAGCTTCACTTCTCCTTTCGAAGTGCAGGTTGACATGCGCGTGCCAAAGAAGGAGATCGACGTGGAAAAGGTCCGGCTACCATGAATTATGCTTGGGCGTGGGGTTCGCGAAAGGTCTTCTTTCGATGAGTTTCTTTGAGGGCTGGGCTGACCGGACTCTGTCATGCCAAGTGAAGCAGCTTCTGTGCAACTCAAGAGCAGCTTCTGTGCAAGTAGAGATTCGCAAAGGGTGACACTCTGTGGCTTAAACAGACGTGCAAGGCTCTTGCATTGAACTATGCCGCCAATTCAGCCAAGCTTAGAATGGCTTAGAAGGCCACCCATAGCCAGTTGGCCGCATGCTGGTGGTCCAGTGGAGGGCCAGTGGCAACCAAGTGGCAGCTCTGGATGACAAGCAGCTTCCACCGAGCAACACCGTCAGAGATCTGAAGAGGTACTTGCACCAATTGACCGGGATGTCTCCATTCAGGCAAAGCCTCGCTGATAGCGAGGACCTGTCACAGGAGCTGCCTGATGACAACTTGCTGAAAGTGCCAGGAGTGCTAATGCTTCTTACCAAAAGCTTCTGCTCGGGTGAGGAAGCCCGGTACAATGAATTAAGGCAGGCAACCGAGAAAAACAGTGTTCAAGATGTCGAAGCCCTCTTGAGGGAGCCCCAGGATCCCGATCTTGTGGATAAGAGCAACTGGTCAGCTTTGCATGTTGCCTGCCGCAAGAACCACATTGAAATTGTCAGACTGCTTCTCGAGGCCGGTTGTGACAAGGATATTGCGACCCGTTCTTATGGTGACGACAGCCAGTGGACCCCTTTGATGCTTGCTGCAGACAAGGGCTATGATGACATAGTAGATCTGTTGATTGGTGCATCGGCTGCTGTGGACAAAGCCTCGTCCAGAGACCTGACTCCTTTGCATGTGGCTGTTCGTGGAGGGCGTGATCGGTGCGTGCAGCTGCTTATTCAAGCCAGAGCAGATGTGAATCACAAGGATACAGGGACCACAACGGCCGCAGCGCCTTTGCACAACGCTGCGCAGGCAGGACATGCTTCAATTGCAGAGATGCTTCTCAAGGCAGGTGCGCAAGTGAACGCAGTCCGTTTCGACTTCAAGCCTTTGCAGCTGGCAAGCCGCAAAGGCCATGACCACATGTTGGCGTTGTTGCTGCGGTATGGCGCCGAGCCGGATGAGGTTGCATCCTCGGTAGTGGGCAGTGGGCCCCAAAACCCCAAAATGCAGTCGCAGTAGTCGCAGCATCTGAAAGCCTGAGAGATGCAGCATAAGCTCCGGTAAGCTCCTAAGACGCCGCGCTATAGCAGCTGTCTACTCTTTGATGCGGCAGCAAGTTGTGTCAAGTTCAACCTTTGGTGCCTCTGTGCCGTTTCAGCAACTTTGCAGCTCGCCACGAAGCTCATCCGCATCGCCAAAATGCGAGCGATAGAATCACAAGCAAGGTCTATAGCCCTAAACCCTCAGCCCTATAAGCCTGAACGCCTAAGCCCGAATCAACCCTTATGAACCGATCAATCAAACCCCCACCCCCCCTGAGGTCATCCGGGATGGCGGATCATGGCGACTGTTTGCTGCGGCCATTTCCGATGGCGACCACACAGATGTGGTTAGACGGTTGCTTGAAGCCCGTGCAGCGATCGAATTCCCCCGACGCTGTCCATTACATCTCGCTGCTGAAAAGGGCCGCATAGGCACTGCGACTCTGCTTGTGGAAGCTGGTGCAGACGTTGACCGCCCTGACTGCCACGGCGGCCGGCCCCTGCGCCTGGCTGCAGATAGCGGCCATGCCCCAGTACTCCAGCTGCTCCTTCAAGCACGGGCGGATTTGTCGAAGGCCGAGCTCGGGACTGGGACGACGTACCACGACGATGTCGCGCAGCTGCTCGCCAAAGCAAGAGACCCCGACGTTAAGCCTTGAATGGTTTTCGTTCCAAGTCAGCTGGAAGTTGGAAGTGTCAAAAGCTTCCTCGCGCGGCACAGATACATGTCTGTGGCAAAAGCGGGTGTTGGCACGGTGTAGCGTCTGCATTATCTGTTGCCTTGCCTGGCCTGACAAGGAGCTCCAGCGGCTGCAAAAGCAGTTGGACCAGGCCGGTCAGAAAACACGATCATCCTTGCACATCTTCACAAAGCAGGATGAAACTAAACCTAATGAACATGTTCTGCCCTGTGTTTGCACAAGTGCGGTCCAGGAAGCTCATGCACTGCACATCTTCAATACTAATATCTATATGTATATGTGCACATATATATATGTATTTGTATGTATTCCACTCGGTCACTTCTTGCATAATTACGAATGCTTAGCTGTCGTTGCCTATAGATGTCAATCATTCGACTTTGCCCTGCCTTGGTGACAGGTCTCCTCACTGCTGGAGAACACAGAGAAAAAGATCACGCCTCAATTTATGGCATTCCCTGCTTGTCTTCTGCTTCTGCCTGTTGGTTTTTGTCCTATTCTGTTCTTGCCCCCATTGCGGCGGATGCAAAATGGACTCGTCTTTCTGCTCATATAGCTGCAGCTCCGATTGCAAGGTTGTACGAGGACACCATGTCAGCATGCAGAGCTTCAGTCGGTGCCTCTCAAGGTCCCAAGACATCTGCCCGCCAGCCTGAACCATGAAGTGTTCCTAAACCCAATACATCCCTACAAGCCCAATCAAAAGCCCGAATTAAAGACCAACCTGGTATCCAACTTTGCATTGCCATCGGGCCAGGAGAGGGCAAATCCTACGGCCAAGGTAGGGGGCTCAACAGTGTGGCAGTGTTTAGAAGGACGTTTAAGTACTGGAGATTTCGGAATTTTTAATTTGAGAGGTTTCAGTGGTTCTTCCAGATACGAATTTACAGTGGCGTGGGGTCTGCGATTCTTTTTGTTGTTTTCTTTGCACATTTTGTGTGTAGGGTCCCCACGGTTATTGCCATGACGAGGATGGACGTGGTGCCGCCATCGGTGTCGATGTGTGAGTGAGTGAGTGAGAGAGTGGGGCCTGCGCTTTCGTCACACAAGGGCACCCTCCGCTAGGGTTGCAGTTGAGGGTGTGCCGGCGCTTAGGCTGATGGACCTGAATCCGGTCTGAGCGTAGCTGCTGTCGCGGTAGATTTCCACCTGCCCGCTAGGACCCGCTAGGACTGATACCTTAAACAGGCTAACTAGTTCTAAAGCCCCACGTCTGCCCATTACACGCTCCACGCAGAGGAGAAGATTCTCCAAAAGCGAGATGAGCTGAAGCAGCAGAAGGCTGCCGGAATTTTCTCTAAGAGGTAGCAGATGAGTCTCAAAGCTGAGGCCTTGAGTTCCTGCAAGACAAGTTGAGGAGCATCCTGGCATCCTGAGCCTAACAATCCCCCCAAAACCCTGATATAATACATCACTCTAACCCGAACTTTACACATGTCGGAATAGGATTATCCCACTCAGCCCTTCACCAGGCCTCCATTTCCGCACAGCTGGACGAGCTCAAGAGTTCCGCCAGGGGCCCCCGAAGCGAACTCCAGTTCTTCCATGGTTTAGGGTTTAGAGGGTTTTAGAGTTTAAGGTTTAGGCTTAAATTAGTGTTTCGGGTCTGGGGAAGTTTAAGGTTTCCATGCCTGCGCCAACAATTTTTCAAAGACTCGATTTGCACACCCAGGCTGCAGAAGTGGACCGTCGGAACCTGAGCCAACCTGAAATCTCTGCTAGGACAACTATGGACGAATTAGTACACAACAGCACTGGCAGCCTGCTGCGGAGTTCTTCAGGCTGCAACCCCAGTTCTTGCGAGGTGAAGCGTCAAGAACCCGCGCAGCCCCTCTTGTTCTCAAGGTGTTCTCGATTCTCAGTATCAGTGCCTTTCATATTTCAAGCTCCATGGCTCTGCTACGGCTGCTGTTGCTGGCCTTTTACCCTTTGCTGGCCAGTGCAGTGCGCCCTTCTTCTGTGTCGGAGCTGGCGTCACGACGCATGCAGCAGGTGGATGCCGTCAGTTTCATGCTGCATATCTCAGCACCAAACTAACGAATCAAGGACAAACCCAACTGCACCTCAAAGCCTGGCAACTACGGGTTAGAGAAACCCAGAAATGGCCCACACTCGAACTATTTAGCTCACCATGTAGTAGCAAAACGAACCATGCACCAAAGGCCTTAAAAGAAGGTCTTAGTGTTTTTGACTTTGGTAGTTTACAGATAACGATTGTAAAATGCAGCGCAATCGGTTGATGGACAAGCTGTTCTGCAACAGCCAATGAAAGTGCTGTATGCCTCGGGCTCACACCTTAAACCCAGCACCCCCCCCCCCCCCCCCCCAATTAAAACCGTAAAGCCACTTGAAGCCCTCAGAGTCGGGATAGGTAGTCGCCTTGCGCAGCAACGCAAGTGTGCTGGAGGCATCCCCTGCTGAGGGTCGGGTTCAACCAGTTCTTAGCGGTTTACAGGCATTACAGGTTTAGCCTGAGGATTTCAGGTTGGAGGTGTCGAGTCAAACCTTTTGTTGCTCGATGGCCCATTGCGCGCTCAATCTGCAGTAGACGAGAGGAAGCCTGTCGGTGGAACGCCGAACACATTCGGTTGTTGATTCCCCAGGAGGGTCACGTGACAGAGCGAGATCCTGGCTGGAGTCTTGATCCAAAGTGCAAAAAAAGCATGCTCTGTCACCTTCCCATCAGCATTCTCCTACGTGTCCTACGTGGAAGGTTACGGGCTGGGTGTTGAAGCAATCTTCAGAGGCTCCGTGAGCAAGTGCTTACGTAAAGACAGACATCTGGCTTGGTGAGGTACACTGCCATTTGCTTCACGGCATGAAACGCTGAGAAATGTCATGAAAGCCTCTGAGATCAGGCTCCGCTTGTTGACCCCTCACCCCCTTCTTTAGCAATTTAGAACGGTATATCCATCAGCCTGTTGCAGCCCAGGAAAATCGCTCTGGGCCCGTTCACCTTCTGCGACACTGGCTTCACCGTGGCACCCAAGCCTTGCCTGCTTGCTTTCTGCACGTGCTTTCGCCTAAAGCCTTGAAACTCAACAAGCTATACGCCGAGAACGGCAGCCTAGAGAATTAAATCCGGTCGAAGCCTGATGCGAAGGTGGGGGTGTTTGAAGCTGTCGGCAAGATGCGGCATACGGCCTTTTGAGCAATATGCCAAGTTTGTAAGAAAGCTCCAGGGACAGCATGGCATCTCGGAGCAATGAGGAGGGCACTTCAGACCTACACTCGATACCGACCCGTAGAAGATATCCAATTCGGGTTCAATGCTTGAGTCGACAACGATCAGACGCTTGGAATGTTAAAGGGTGAAGGTGCAGGCTCACCTGGGATACTGAACATCCCCTTGCCCCAGAACTGCGTCTCAGAATCCAGGTCCGTGATACAGTACGACTTTTGTTCATGTTAGTGACTGTTAGTGCACATGGTTGTGGTTACCTGGCAGGTTCGAGATCGGTGTGGAAGTGGCTGGATGTGGGGTCATGGCTGGCCTTGGTGATGTGCGTGATGGCATCTCACTGCAACTCCGCTCTCACATTAAGGATACTTCTATGCCCGCTAGGTGAATTGACAGCCTCTACCAAAAATGGTTTAGCCGGTACGTATAAGTTCCGCGAACAAGAATGCCACGCCCGCAGCAACTTGATTTAGGCCCGCAATTGCTGATGGCCTAGATATGGTCAAGTCCCACAAGAAGTGCCCGAGCTCACCAGCAAAACCACGTGGCCTTGCCCCAGTACGGACCGCAAGCCGATCACGCAGGTTTGCCGGCGTCCACGCAAAGTTCATAGTCGACGCCGTGGGCAGGACTTGGGAGGAGATGTTCAGGAACCTTCGTGGCCTGGCGCACGGGCTTTGGGTCTTTTTTTCGGAGATGTCGCTCAATAACAATATTGAACAGCCTCCGAAACATCCTTGGAGCCTTGGTCCTCATAGTGAAAGGCACCAATGTCCATCAGCTGTCCGAGATGACGGGTGTGGATGCTGCGATCGCGCGGGCGCAGCAGGCGGGGACGAAAGATCCACCCTGTCATGGATAGTACACGTACAGTACACCTCACGGGGAGACTGACGGCACTTGAACAAGTCATCTCGATGCCGCTCATGCTTACTTGGATCGGGCTTGGACACCACTGTTTTAGGTCCTTAATTGATTCTGTTAAGCAACCGTGAGCGAGGTGATTGGCCCTTCGGGCAACGAGAACGACGAAGCGCTGCTCTTACTGGGCGTACCGGGTGCGCAGTTTTGGGTTTGCTTTGAGAGGTCCAAGGCGGACGGGGTAAATTCAAGGGGCCTTAGGTGGTGAAGCTCCTCCAGCAGAACCAGGCGAGAGTGAATACATCGGACCTCCTCAAGGCTGGGTGTCTTAGGAGCTCAGCCTCTGAATTCCAAATTGTCTGACCCGCGCACCCGACACGTGACAGGAGCATGCACGTGCTGACATGGAGGTGCAACTTGGCAGCTTTCATCAGCTTTCAACCTGGACCCCGAACAGCCAAGTGCAATCGGCGGCATTGCCAGGCCCTCCTACCGTCATCTTCAGATGTTAACTCCACTCACATAGCAGCCCAGCACTATGGAACAGTTACCTTCGTTACCTTCCTGCCATGTGGAACCACCCCCAACCCCTGCGGTGTCACCTCACCTTTTGGTGCCTTCGACTCATCCCTGAGCCTTGGCAAAGGAAGATGAAGGCCGCCACAGGCATCGGCATCAGTGCCAAGGTCCTACAGGGGAGGGTCCTGAGAACCATACAGGTTTCAGTCAGGGCGGGCACCGTGTATGGAGGAGAGGGGCGCGGGGGGGGCGTTATTTAATTCCAATGGGCAGTTTGCACCAGTTTACACGCTATATCTTTTTGCGAAGGACATAAGAAATCTGTCTGATTGCGTATACACCCTGACCCGCTGAAGTTTGTCTGGCCATGCTTCGAACGTGTCAGGTGTGCCCCGGCTGGAAGGATGCAGACGGCTTCCACAACGTAGGCCGGGCCGCTTCGGCTCTGAAGCCTGAAGCCTGAACCTGAGCCCGACCCGTGTAAAATCCTGCATATATGACCCAGACTGCAAAACAAGCTCAAGTATGTGACCATATATATATATACATAATATGCATGTATGTATCAGATTTTGCTTCCCCCCCCAACATCTACATTTGCAGGTTTCCAGAATCCCAAAAACGCCAACTATTTTACTTCAAACGTCCCCACCCTCTCTGGTAGAGATGCTCTGGAGTTGGGCACTCCAGGGATGGGCGAGGAGTAGTTCCGGGCGAGGAGAAGAGTTGACTTTAAAGTCTAACAACCCCACACCGAGGGTGGGGCTAAAACGCAAAAAAACACCAAAAT